GCGTGTGCTTTGATATTTCAAGAAGACGACGTGGATGGGGCTTAGAGGGAGAAACAAATCAGCCCTGAGTTTTAATCCTCCGGCTCCAAAGTGTTCTGCACATGTTTATCACAAAACAAAGCGTTTTTTTTATCTGAACAAACATTTTAATATTAGACTTTAGAAGCTTATGTCCACCGAATAATGTTCATAATTCAAACTTTGCATTGCCCGCGTTACACAAGTGAGTACATCCTGGATTTAACGGTCCCCATCCAAATGTCGACAGGAGCCAGAATGAGCAGTAACTGCACAATGTCATTATGTTCGTAGTGTTTCCTCCTGTGGTGTGATGTGACAACGCCAGACACAATGACCCAATTTGCCTGAGTGGCTATAGGGGGGTGCCATCATAAATACTGTACAAAGACCCTCTTAGAGGCAATAATACACTTTTGTATGTAATGAAACGCAGCCATATAAGATGTCACATTTAGAGAGTGTTTACACACTACATTTTCTTCTACACTCACATATAAAGGAAAAAAGACAGAGCCTAAAGAAATGCGAGGCTGGAGGTGGTGGTGGGGGGGGCAATGATGAGTTCTCAGACTAGCCTCTTTCGCATGCAAATCATATCTGAATTTCTCATTAGCATAAATGCATGAGCAACTTTAAATGCTTTTAATTTTCAATCTCGCCAAGCAGAGGAGTAATTTGTCACTGTCAGGATGGGAGACTAAAAAGGGGGGACCAGAGGGAGCCAAGGACTCATTGCTAAACTGGAATCACAGAACATTTCTGATTTACTAATTGACTGATGTGCAGTTCAGTCGAGTTGCCTTGAAGGTGTAAATAATTCTGTGTATATTCAAATGGCAGAAATGAGAGAGCGTGGGGTGGATACGGAAAAGCACATTACATGACGCTTCTCCCCAGGCCGTTCTCTTTTCTGGTGATTCTAATTCCCAGCCTTCAACGTTATCAGTCTTTCTCTTTGGAGGGGTGCGAGTCTGCTGTTTTAGAGCATAATCACAGATAATCAACTGGAAATTAAAACAAAATGTCACAGTTTTTTTTTTGCCTCTCTTTGCCATTCCACAAAAAAGGCTGCTCAAAGCTATTCAGCAGCAGTGCACAGAAACATTCACAACAGCTTATCACGGGAGCGGTTTTAAGTCATTTGAAATGTTATCTTCATTCTTTCAAGATGTAAGATCAATTGACAGTGCTCTCTGAAGTCTACACCACTAATGCCTCGTTTTTTTAACAAAGCAGTTCCGATTCAGACAGACCTTGTTAGCTAAAATTAGCTGTAGGTGAAAATGGGGGGGGGGAAATATTTAACAAGCTCCCCCTTTAAAGGACTAAAACCAATTATGCAAATATAATTAGTATTCGTAGGAGAACTAAAGACGAGAGCAGCATGGGGCTCGCTGCTTACCTCCAAAGAAGGCCCCATCAGTCCAGATCCTGGTGGATGCATCTGTCTGTGTCATGGCTGAGGAAATGCTGGCCCTTGCTTCGCTGGCCATGCCGTGTATAATCCCATCGGCCCTTTCGTCAGCTCCAGAAGGTTTTTAAAGAATGTTTCATGTTTCAAGTCCAAGATCAGTTCATCATAGCTCCAACTTCACACCTCCTGTAGGCATTTAAAAGCAAGACAAACAGGAAACAGTGAAAAAAAGACATGTGAAACACTTAAAATGGTAAGGACGTAATCATGTTCTGGTGTAAAATAGAAACGCCATTGTAAAACATGCAGTAGGTTTGGTTATAGCCCCAGAATTATTTAAGAAATTATAACAAAGTCAACTAAAAGTCACAATGAGTGAATTGCAAGAATGCTTCAATCACAATTTTACCACAAAAACTGAGAAAAATGCACCTTAGTTTACTATGGCTAAGTAGCCAAATACATGCACATTTCCCTTGTTTTACATTGCTCAAACATATACTGTAAAAGCAGCATTTTGTTCGGTTAAATGATGGTGACTAGCTACATAGTTACTCCTACTTAGCTTGGTATCATCTTCAAAGTTGGCCACATTCAAAGAAGTGTAGGTTTAATTATACCCGGTTATACTGTAGACACTAAGCTAACTTCCACCTTGTATCAGGCTTTCAATTCCATAAAACTTTATTAACTTATGAAGGGAGGCTGTGGCTCAGTGAGTAGTGTGCTGGACTTCAAATCAGGGGATAGCAAGGTCGAGTCCCACTGCAGTCAGCATGTCGTTGTGTCCCTGGGCAAGACACTTCACCCCAAATTGCTCCTGTGAGGATTGTCCACAGTAGCCTACTGAATGTATGTAAGTCGCTTTGGATAAAAGCGTCTAACAAATGTCATGTAATGTAATGAAGGAAATTTGATGTGGGGGCATAGGCCTAACTAAACACCGACATAATGCTCAAACAGACAATAACAAAATAGCTATTGAGGACGTACTTTAAATGAAGGTCGCACTTCACAAAAGCAATACAGTCAAGTATAAAGTACTACATACATTGACATTAGTACCAACCATGCTATCTAGCCATTACCTTAAACGAAGCTAATGCTAACTACATTAGCCACAGAACGTTCCAATTAGGCAGGGCAGGTGTGCAATTCGCTACTTTACCTGGCATAACGGTTGCGGTTTCTGGTGTTTTCTTTCGCAGTTTAATGGAACGGTAAGGTAAGGTATACGCTATTTAAGTTAGAAGTGGGGACATTTATATATATTTCTTTTATCATTTTAAGTGTCCTAATAACTTCAAAGCAAAGACGGGGGAATAAAAAAACATTTTACACATAATCGCCAAATCTGGCCTCAATTCAACCTGGTTGTGTGCCAGGAATGGCCTTGGCTTTATGTGTACCTGTAGAGCAAACGGTATACATTCCATAATGAATATAGTCCAGTATGAGCATGGATGGAGAAGGCTGCTGCTGTTATATTTCCATATTTTACATCATGCACATACTGCCCTCCAGTGTTGAAAGGGTGAACATATTGGGAAAAACGTGATATAAAAGTAACAACTGTTCAACGTATACACCTACCAATTCAATAATACACTTCTTGATAAGAGTCCCTTTTCAAAGCCAATATTTACTTTATGATATTTTTTAGGCTGTTGATGTGGCATTTTATTAAAATTAATGAATACATGAATTCACCATCTTTCTCTGGGAAGTATTATATTGAGTAAATCTGCAGGATAAGTTCCAATAAAAGGTTTACTGTGAGGTGTGGTATTACCCTAACCAGAACAGTGTTCCTGGAACAAAATTGAGCTATTTCAAATGCTGTGCACCGCAAAACAAAATTCCAATAAAAAATAAATATCCCTCTGCTTGGTATGTCATTGACTCTTTGAAAATATGCAAAGGTATTCAAAACATAATCACCATTAACAATGAAAAGATGCATGTTTCCATGTTCATATCATTGAGAACATGTTTACTGCAGAGGCATGACAAGGTCAGATTTTGAAAGCTTTTAGCCCAAAAATATTTTTATCAATTTAGTTATGTATTTTTTGTATGTCAATCACCAACAAATGTGGGCATGTGTAACATGATGTTTTGATGAAAATTTGTTTTTTGTATTGAGTGTACTGTAACATTTAGAAAACAGAGCAGTCTCACTACACCGGCTCAATTCATAACCAACGGAAGACCTTTTATAAACACAACGTTACTTGCCCAAATTATTTTTGTATTAGATGTTAAGACTTTTTTTATACAAATCAGAATAAATGGGTGTTGTGATATTTCCTTTTCGATTACATTTGGTCTTGGGCACAAATGTTTGTGAAGTATTGAATCTCAGAATTCTGCTTAAAACATAACTATTTTCACAAAAGTTGAATAATGAGGATCAAAAGGCACCGTAACTCTGTTCAATACAAGTTTTTTTGTTGACAGACACTTTTGTATAACTGACATTATTGAGCAAGTGCTGTGCTACAGTAGCACTATTTGTTCATCATGTTTCACAGAAAATAAAACAATAAAAAAACTCACCATGGATACATATTGGTGGTATCCATGGTCCCTTGTGGTCCCTTGGGGTCCATTTCAGGTCACGTAATGATAATATCTTTAAACAAAGAGAATCTTGGGAATTGGAGGAATATTTAATGTGCATTACCCTGTAATGTCCACCTGCAGCCACAGAGGCCGCTGTACATTGTAACTGTACAACAGTTACAATGTCTCCCTTCAGAATACACTCTCTTAACCCTTTGAAGGGATACATATGTCTCATTCTAATTCAATTAAAAGCACCTACAGTTTTGAGATAACAACATCTGCTTGTTTATGTCTTTGCGAGTAAAAACATGCCAATTCAGCCATTAACACAAACAGCAAAGACAACACTCGTCTATGTTGATGTAATCTTGCATTACTTTTTTATTTACTCATATTGCGTTTAACTTTAACTCCATATACATTATTATTGTTATTATTATTATTGATATTGCTTTTGTGAAAAGCTTGCTGTATTTCTAAAGGTATGAGATAGTATTCATAATATCTAATAATTATTAATAATGAATAGAAAATATAATGATTCATAATAATATGGACACAAAATGAATATGTTGGAATTAGGCGTCCATTTTGAACTATATTTATAGAACATTTTTTAACTGACTCTTAATATATTGATGATGCATGTGATTGGCATGCTATTAAGAGCAACTTTATCGTGTGAATTCACTCTGGCTAGGATGGAATAACATTATTATCAAAAGCTGCATTTGTCATAATTCTGTTCACATTGACTTAAACTCAAGAGCTTACTATGATAGAATTTCCCCTGAAGTAACACTATGAATATTACATACATTTATGAGATAGGAAAATACAGCCATCTGAGTTCTTAAACGTTTTATTGGCACACAGCATCACTGTCTGCTGTTACAGGCAGCATCCACTAGATGGCAGCTCTGTTTCAGGAAAGGTAGACTGACACAAATAATGCAGCACCATGCTGAATACACATTCAGAAAACCAGATCATTTTCAGACACAAAATCTTTTATTTTAAGCACTTAGTTCTGACTGATACACATTATCCAACAGCTTTTCTTAGCCCACTCCGTATGCATTGAACAGGAAGCCTAGCACTGCATCACTTTACAGTCCATCACAGCAGCAAATCCATGTAAAAAAAATCACAATAGCCAGCCAGCAAAATATCAAAAACCACATCCACTCTGTCCTCCTCACAGTGACTGCCTGGAGACATTCCTACAAATGTTATCAAAGCAATTTGTTCCAAGAATAAACCAGCATTAGGTTCCATACAAAACTCCCATTGTGTTGTTGCAGCAGAAAAACACTTTTATAATGTTTAAAAAAATAACATTTAGTTGGTACTAATTCAAAATGATGAAAACAGAAAAGAGTTTGTTAAGAAAATCTAGTTTGTGGACAGAGGTGTTCACTGTAGTAGCAATGTGAAACAGTATCTGATTTAACCTTTGACCTCAAGGGTGGGCCTGCTTTAGTCTGGGAAGAAACCTGCTGGAGCATGAACTTGGCTCCATTGCTTTTTCCTTAAGCAAATACAAGAAAATAAAAGATAAGGGATGAGTCTTTGTGTAATCTGAAAGCCTGTTATCAGCACGTCTCTTCTTACACAACTGACTATTGTTTTCGTTCAGTGGAACCATTTTTATAAATAATTGAATCCACACAGAAGAAGTCAGTTCTGATAGATTTAGCCCTACAGAATCATTATCTTTGGCAAATGTGCTAAATGTAGGACCTGTGATACCCGTGAGTATGCACTTCAAACATAATGGCATTTTCTAAATCTAAAAGTCAATATTTATGTACTTATAACAGTTATATTTTGAATAATTTAGAAAAAAGAATCTAAAGCATCTTGTTTTATATTTCTGACAAGATTGCTTTGACCTTTTTGGAGAAGAGAGTTTTGCAAAGGGAGTATTTGTTCAGTATAATAATGATTCTGATGCCCTTTTACTTATGATAATTTACCTTTGATTCACATGTTATAATTTAAAGCCCGAGAAGACCAGGTTTCGAGGTAGAGCTGCAACAATTTGTGGTTTACTAACACAAAATATTGATCATTCATCATTCTAAAAATGTTTTAAATAAAACCAACCAACCAAACTTCTTTGGGCTATGGAGCGTTGGTTGAATAAAACAAGACCCTTAAAAGCATCTTCTTGGGGTGTTAAAAATTATCTAACATAATGTTGACCAAACAATAAATCAATGAAAAATAATGAAAACAATCATTAGTTGCAGCCCTGGTTGAAGGAAGGTTCCTTTCCAGTCAGATTCCCATTAAACTATAACTATTAAATAGCCTTACAGCTGACATGTATATTCTCTCATTTGCATAGAACCTGTGTTTCATCATTCATAAGGCGCACTACAACTGTTTCCATTCTTTGTTTATACAACTTTCAATAACTTCTTGTCACCAGCCATCTAGTTAATATGTTCTAAATAAAATCTATTCTAACTGTAAAAGTGCACCAAACCACACTGAACACGGGAAATACACAAAAGAGCCTACAGTCACTGTCATCATGTCATAATCTACAGTCCGATACAAATACAGTTGCATTCATTCACTTTAAAAATCTTTTTAAGGCCTGCAGACACGTTAAGTTGCCATGCAAATACACACATTCCATTGGTAGCAGGCAATGAGACACCGAGATAGAGAGCTGACATTGAAGAGTTTATATAAGGTCTTCTGCTTATTCCAGTTTCGCTATGACACATTTATTGAATTACTCTGATCACACACACACTATGTAACTTTTTCAGGCTTTTCTGGCAAAGTGAGAACAAAAGGAAAAAGAACGCCTTTTGCCTCCAGAGGCGCCCTGAGCAGCTCCTCGACGAAGAAGGCGTTGTCTTCCTCCACTACAAACTGAAGAGTCTGGCTCTTGTTCACACAGTAGATGCAGTTCCCGATCACGGCACACCTGAAGGGTAAATGGCTTCCGAGCTTCTGTGATGCGCAATCGTGCCACATCTTCACTATGCTGTTGTACTTAACCACGGTGATGCCCTGCTCGCGGTTGACATCGAATCGGTAAATGAAGCTTTTGAAGGCCACCATGTCGCTGGACTTCTTCCTGCTGTTGTTGTAGGGGCACTCCTGCCACTCGTCCCTCTTGGTGTCGTACCTCAGGAGGCGGTAGAAGAGCGAGCCTCCTGAAACGTAAAGTTCTCCGCCGCAGGTCGTGGCTTCGTGGGCCACTGCAAAGGCTCCTTTGGGTAAGGGGGCCACGGAGGTCCATCGGTCCATGCGAGGGTCATATTTTTCCACTGTAAACAAACATTCCCCTCCAATGGCGTACAAGTGGCCATCCATTGACACAAGCTTTAGCTGGGAGCGAGCTTGGGTCATAGGTTTGATCTCGGCCCAGTTGTTGGTTATGGGGTTGTAACAGAAGACCTTGTCTGACACTTTGCCCTTCTCCCCGTAGCCCTTTATCCCCCCGGCCACAAACAGGTAGTTGTACATGGTGCAGATCCCGCACCCTTTAGTGTTAATGTCCTCAGGCATGGAAGTTAAAGGTCTCCAGTCATTTGCCGTTTCGTTAAATTTGTAAATCATATGGTTATCTTCCAAAGACCCACCGGACAACGGGCTCTGCGGTCGACTGCCGCAACGACTCGGAGGACGGCTTCCAACACGATCAAACACATCGTTTATCTCTGCAACCATCAGAGTCTGCCTCCCCTCCATCCTCTTCTTCAGGATCAGATCTCGCTCAGACCCATTGAGGCGCCCGTACACAGCGGGGTCTTTGAGGACCTGGAGGAAGTTGTCGCTCATGAATCCGTAGGCAGTCTCCTTCAGTTCGCTGAGCCTCTGCTTTTTGGCGATGTTCAGGATCTCGTAGCAGTTCTCTGCAGTGATTTGTTCGGTCATGGAGTCCATGGCGGCCTGTACGGCACAGGGCATCTGCAGGACTTTAGCCCCTGTGATGACATCCACAATATTGGCCTTGGAGACATTCATCTGAGAAGTGTAAACATAGTCTACTAATGTCGACAAAGTCTTGTAACTCAACCCCTTGACTTTCAGGATGTCTCGTGACAGCCGTGCTTTGAAGTAGTCGCTCTTCTCTGCCAGGACAGATTTGTGAGCGTTGATCTTCTGCCCGCCGACTTCGATGACTAAATCAGGCTCTTCGTGATGGTGGGTTTTTCCAGCTTCCAGACTGCTGTCCCTGACCTCCAAGTTCAATTTAAGGTCTGACCAATCAGTTTCCTGTTTGGCTTGGATAGCAGAATCTGCACTGTAAGACACTTTAGCTCTGGCGCCATTGTGCGTTTCACTGCTTGCACAATTTTGTTGCACTACTCCCTTATCATTCGGAAACTGATCATCGCTGGAAAAGTACGAGCCGTTGCCTTTCTGCCTTTCGATGAGGTTATTCTCCATCAGTCTTCCATCCAGCAGGTATTCCTTCTCAGACACTGGAGAAGGGCTGAAACCCTGGTCATCCTGCGGTAATCCTTGGATGTAACTTTGACATAAATCTCCAACTTTGTCAGGAGGTGTGACGAGGTCAGAGTTCATGGCGTGGCAGATGACATCAGCCTCCACAGTGATAGCCCCTCCTCCCTGCCTGAGACCCTCGTTCATCTTGATGTACTCACTGGGAGATGATCATGATGTGTGGACGTGTAGAAACTTGTGAGGAACTCCTCCCTGTTCACCTACATGGGGGGAAGACAAGAAGGGAATTTAACCAGATGCAACAAAGGATGGGGAAAAAAGAGTCTTAAAGCTGCAGAGTCTTATTTACTCCCTAAGGGGCGCCCTTTCTCTAATAACAAAACCATGGAAACCTTACATTTAAAGGAAAAAATGACTTAGTGCTGCCATTGCCAACTATGCTGTGTAATCCGTCCTGTAGTAATGTGTCATCAATTGAGTCAACACAACTGCAGCTGCTTTAATGTGGAGCTTAACAAAGAAACCAAAGCCATCCCAACATGCAGCTTCTTGCAGACTGCCTGACCCACTGCAATAATCACCCTGCATGTTCATTATTTGTGGTAATCTGGAGTCATTTAGAGCGCATGCGCAAACGGTGTTGAGTTGATGGAGGAATTAATCTCTAATATGACTGGAAAAGGGCGTTTGTAATCACATCAAAACTCTAACGCGTCCCCCATACTGTCGGATGAACGCTGAGAGCAGCTCGTTTAGTCAAACCAAGAAGGAATATAAACGTACGTGTAGTTGTATTCAAACTACAATCCAGAAATAAGGAATATGGAAGTGTTACGCGACCTACCTGCGATTCCTCGCCGTGATCAAACACCAGCAGCCAGCCCCTGCACAAAGACCAGTTACGTAAGGCAGTCCTGATGAAGAACCCAGGCTGTGTGCTCCCCTCCTGCACGAGTTTTTTTTACTTCACCCACAAATCCAGCTGGTGTTTCCCCATCCGCTCACATTTTATGCATCGACCCTCTCAACTGGTTGTTCCACGGGATCGGTTCAGTCAGTCAGTGGTGGGGGGCGAGGCAGGCAGAGGGGCGATCACACACTGCTTTCAAGTCGCACCTCCTTCAGATCCGCACATCGCCAACTCATTTCCTCCCGTGGAAGTGGCAGCGTCTTTTTCCCTGCAGGAAGCTGGAGCTGTCCAGCGTGGGCAGCAGATGCTCTGGCTCTGAGAGATGTTAAAACTGGGATATTTGTTGTCTTTTTTTTTACAGTTGACTACAGTGAGGCGGTCATCATTGATCTAAACCACGCCCCCTCCAGTCGGTATTAACCCTACACTCCACAGCAGGAGCACGAGGCTCCATCTGCTCATTGACCCATCCCAGAGATGCGCCATTCCTTTACGCATCATCCATGTGCTGGGTACCACGATGGGTGCGGGGGTCAAGGGATGGAAATGATAGGAAACCCCCCTTCCCTGCTTTCACAAACATATCATGAAATAAGATTTAGGTTGTGTCTAAAACTAATTGAATTACAAAAAGTGGGATCCTTTGTGTAAAATACCCCTAAAAATGTAATCACAATAGAATATCACAGTGATTCAACACATCCAAATACAATTACACACCAGAATCTGAGCACCTAAATTGATTATACATTAGCACAAAAAAAAATCAATAAACGTACCCTCCTCCACCTGTTTGTGCATGAGTTTATTTATCTTAAGTACTGAGATGATCACTTCCTAAAGTTATTGTAAGTGTAAATGTAATTCAGGTTTAAGCCAAGGACTAACAATAGTCTGGAAATGAGTCACACTTTCCTTTTGGAAATGATCCAACGTTTTTCTGACTAGAGTACAGTACATCATTTTGAGCAACAAAAGCAGAAATAATGTGTAAATAACCCTGGAATTGGATATGTTTGTGTTTCTGTAATAAAAAGGGCACACAAGGCTTATGCACTCAACACATAAAAAGGCCTGAAATAGCACAACCTCACAGCAGTGCTTTTTTATATCCAGGGTCCATAAGCTCTCCACTGCGGAGACAGAGAGTCATAACAACTGTCCTTCACATATACAAATAGAGAGGAGCCACAGCGAGGCCATCACACACTATCAGAGATTAGAGGGCATTCAGCTGGGACGTTATAATGCCAAATCTCTGAGAACAAAGACTCGCTGAGGACCGATACACAAAATGAGCCATCTCCATGGAAACGCCAGGGTCGAATTGAAAACAAAAGACTTCCAGTTGCACACAAACTGATAACTGGGTATTAGCTTGAATAGTACAGTGTGACTGAGGAGTTGTTTACTTAGTTAATACATACAAGCCAGTTTTCAGTTACAGTTAAATATTATCCCAGGTTTAAATCAGCATACTTACATACTTCCAAAAATATTAGCTATGAAAATATTTTGGATAAGTCCAAGGTGCTGTAAATTCTAGCATGGGAACGACTCCAACCTGAGATCATCTTATCTATTTTTGTTTCAGCTGACAATGTAGTGAAACATGTTTGTACTGTGGGCGTGGGCGCTGAAAGAGAGAAAAAGTCTTGACCCTCTCCGTTCGGCAGCAGGAGAAATGAGCAGTGAAATCCCGGAAGAGCCGTATCAGGCTCAGTTCCTGCGGCCCCCGGGCACATTGCTAGTCGCAGCATGTACTGATGTCTGCACACAGCAGAGAGGAGGCCGAGTACAAGGTTAGCCTGAGACAAGAGAGAGGGACAGGAACAATAACACTCTGTTCTTCTACCCCTATTATACTATTTTTCTTCAATATAATATAGTTCTCAGATATACAGTATACAAAACATGTCTCTGAAGTGTTTGGCTCGAAATACCAAACAGATCATTGTAGCATCCCATAATCCCCTCTGTTTCAGCCCTGTTTCAAACGTGCTGATTCTCTGTCTGTTACTTTAGATCAGGGGTGCCCAACCTTTTTTGAACCGAGAGCTACTTTTAAAGTTGCCAGTCTGCCGAGATCTACCAGTCCAAATAGAGAGGCGTAGCCATTACTGACAGCCTACAACCAGGTAAATACACACTTCTACTTGTATAAAACTGACCTTTGTACGATTAATACTTCATAAAATACTGCAGATCCTTTATCTTACCTCTTTCTCATCTACACACATACAAGTATTTAACTGAAGTTACACAACAGTGTTGTTGATACAGAGTTGGAGTTTATTCACACGTCACATACTACAGTGGGTAATGTTTTCAAGAAACATTGAACAGTGCTGCCACATATGACACAGGAAAAAAAGAAAAGACTTTGAACCCTTTCTTTGCCATTATATAAAAATAGTGTTGCTACAAAAGTATAATAATAATAATAATAATAATAATAAATGGAATTTATAAAGCGCCTTTCAAGGGACCCAAGGTCGCTGTACATGGTGGACAGACAAAACAAAACAGACAAAGAGGAGCAAACAAAACAAAAATAAAATAAAGGAGGCCGGGGGACCAGGAAAGGACTAGGGTCCGAAGGCCACGGTGAACAGGTGTGTTTTCAGTGCGGATTTGAAGATGTCCAGTGAGGCAGCGTTCCGGATCTCAGCAGGAAGTGCATTGCAGAGGGTGGGGGCCGCAACACTGAACGCCCTGTCACCCACAGTACGAAGGCGTGAGCGGGGGATGGAGAGCAGGCCCGTGTCTGAGGACCGCAGACTCCGAGAGGGGGTGTAGGGATGTAGGAGGTTTGTTAGGTACTGGGGGGCGAGGGTATGGAGGGACTTGTACGTGAGGAGGAGTGTTTTGTAGTGAATCCGGGACTTGACCGGCAGCCAGTGTAGGTGGATGAGGGTGGGGGTGATATGTTGCCATGGCTTGAGAAGCCTTGCGGCAGAGTTCTGGACATATTGGAGTCTTGCCAGGGTTTTGCTGGGAACCCCGGACAGGACTCCATTGCAGTAGTCCAGACGGGATGTGATGAAAACGTGTATGAGTGTTTCTGCCACAGAGTCAGAGAGTGAGGGGCGGAGTCTGGCAATGTTTTTGAGATGGTAGAAGGCGGATTTGGTCAGGGATTTGATATGCGTCTGGAAGGAGAGGGTGGAGTCCAGGATGACTCCCAGGTTGCGGACTTCAGTGGACGGTGGATTTATAAAAGTATAAATTAGGCTTACTAATAAGACAACTCAGATCTGAAGCTACACAGGAATCTGCTGCCAAAGTGCAATCAAAAAGACAAAATGAATAGAATCAAACCCTTTTTTTGTTGCATTTTAGTAGAGTATAAAAAGAAATGCCTTTAAAATAGGATGCAAGCAACACTAGTTTCTTAACCTGAATTGATAATAGACTATAATCAATTTAAGTTTGCATTCTTATACCATTTTGTACAATAATTATAATGAATAAGTTCAAACAAACTAAAACTTACAGCTGACGGTATCTAACTTGAGTTTTTATTATATCAAAAACCTGTTGAAATGCTACTGTTATTTTTACTGTCCCCAAAAAGCGCGTCGGCAGCCTCCAGGAATGCTTCTTTCACAACTTCGCCATCTTTGAAAGACTTCATGTGTTTCGCAAGAACGTGACTGACACGATAAGATGCTATGGTAGCAGCCTTGCTCTTGTTGTTGGGCCTGGTGAAAATTGACTGCTGTGCACAGTGGCGTAACAAGGTTGTGATTGGCCCCGGTGCAAATATTGTTTTGGGGCCCCCATCGCCCCAAACATGAGCGCACGTTGATGCGCTCACACACACACGGACATACACAACCACTCAGAAGCACCACATGTATAGGCTATCAACAACAGCCTGCCCTGGCCTCAGACCACCACAGCCTGACAACGGCACAGCGAACTAAGAAGAGGATTAAACCTGTTTCCTTGATGTTTGTTTCTGGGGAATGGGCCGGTAGGCCTACATAGACCGGTTGCTATAATATAGCTTTTGATCTTGGCGTCGGGGGTCTCAATAGCGCCATAGACTCCCCTATCGGTTGGGGCCCTTGGGGGAACTGTTGGACCACCGCCGGGCACAGCCAAATCCAGCCTCTCCTCCTGGCTGGCTGGAGAAGAAGGTTGCACAGCCACGGATACAGCTTCACTTGTGGAGCTAGATGGCAATGATGGTGGTGAGCTATCGTTAGCCTCCGGCTCCGGCTGCCGCTGCACGTCAACATTGCTAACGTTAGCGCTCGATTTAGAGGACGATGTATGACAAAAAAAACGGTCTAATTTTGTCAGTTTAGCTGTTACATCTCTTTGTTCTCTCTTGTCCTTTCTCTTTTGAGCACCGCTCTTGTGCTTTGGTTTGCTGTACATTATAAATGCAAGCTATTAGATTTTTTATAATGCTGCCGAACTTGCTGCTGCTAGCTGTACAGTACAGGTTGATTAAACGGTTCTCTCGTCACGCAAGGTATCACATGACATGAAAGGGAGCAAGGTCATTGGACAGACAAATTACAAATTAATTTAGGTTGCTTGGTTACTTTGAAGACTGAACCGGTCAATGCCATTGGGGCCCCAACATTTTTTTTTTTTTAAAAAGAATATTACATTTCTTTTTCTTTTTTTTTTGCATGGGCCCCTTGCCGGCTCGGGGCCCTGGTGCGTTGCACCGGCTGCACCGTCGATAGTTACGCCACTGGCTGTGCATTTAGCTGTCCTTTCAGGTCCCTCACCTTTTGGGAGCGTAGGGCAGAATTAGGAGGGAATTCCGTCTCGTAGCGTTTGTGCACTGTTTTGAAATGCCGCTGCTAAATTACCCTTCTTCGATAAAGCCACGCTCGCATTGCAGATGAGACAGAAGGACTTTGAATTGGAATGGATACAAAAATAATCATCCTCCCACTCGGAGTGAAAATGATATATTTTGGGCTTTTTTGCTTCTGCCATAAATGCGGTCTTGTGTGTGTGCGGACTGTCACTCCTGTTGCCACGGACAACGTCAGCGAACTAGTGCCCACTGCCCACCAGCCACGCCCCGACACATGGGGTCACGCCGGCCAATCACAAAGCTTTGATGCGTTCAAGTGCATTATTCTGGCACAGGAAGATTATGTTATAGGACATTAACGATAAAACAGAATATTGTTGTTCTATTTTTAGACACATCTCGCGATCGACTGGGAATCTCCCCGCGATCAACCGGTTGATCGCGATCGACTGGTTGGGCACCCCTGCTTTAGATGAAAATAAGGAGCCACTCCTCACGCCCCTCTGCGAGATATTTAGTTCAAAAAAACACAATGGTGCTCTCGGAGGAGATTCAGGTGATAAGGTGACATTATAAAGTGGCCAAAATCTGATCAGCTCATTTTCAGACAGGTTTTTATATAAATGGATCAGGACAAAAAGTGAGCGAATCTTTGTTCCTGACACTTTCAGAATCTCTTTACACAGAGGGGACACATGTTTATGTATAAAAGACGTGAAAAAGTGAATTTTGCATAATAGGTGACCTCTAAATATTACCAATATCTGTTAGCTTTAGCCATCTTTAGCGCACTGCTTTACAACAATGCCAACTTCTCAGCGTTATTTTCTTGGCTGTACAAATTACAGAAAATGTTCATTTGTATTTCCCAAGAATCAAGTCATCAATTAAATACCACTCCTGATGGAACAAAAGTTAAAATAAGTGGACATTTAATTAAAGAAATGTTGATTCAAACTCACACGGATCCTTTGAATGATGAAATACACAAGGTTTTTCAATAAAAGAGTTTATGAATTTGTTAATAAACATTACAGAAGTACAAACAAACTGTGACAAAAGTATAAAGCTTTTTTTCTTTTTTTAAATATTCTTATGTGAGACAAAAAGGGGGGATACATTGGGGGGGAAACATCTCTCCTAGTGATAACAACTCTTTTGTGCCTTTATGAACAGAAACCTGGCCAGCCAGTGATTCTCATCAAGCCTTCCCAAACTAATTCAGTCATCAATATTTCACCTTCTTTAAATCCCTTCCCTCTGGTAACAGAATGGTACGAGCACCAAGCTGGTCCAATAATAACAGGATTTGATTCCATATAAACACAGAACCTTCCTCTGACTCCAAAACAGGTGATCCTGAGTTGTCATACTTCATATTTACAACTCTTCCTTTACTCAAACCTAATCCCAATCTTAATAAAACCTTAATGTAACAGATTCAAAGCGCCATCGTTACCGTACACGCCTTTCAAGCAGGAGGAAGTCTCCTTTCTTTTCAACACTGATGTGAATACTGCAGTCCTACACAGTCCACTGTATGGCACAAACACTGTGGAGGATGTGTTAGCCATGTTACAGAACAACAACTTTATCAGAGGGTGAAAATAAAGACCTTTCAGTGTTTTTAAACAAGCATAACAAATACAGTATAACTTCTGACTGGCCTGTGGGGAGTTGTTTGCTCATGAAGCATCATGATTGAGTGGTTATATTGATCCTTAGTTTTTTAGACATCATTAGAAACATCCTCAGAGTATTGTGGAGTGTGTGATGGACTCCTGGTTTCAGTTTTGATCCATCCATAATGTGAAATGTAACGTCAGATCTCCTTGTGAGTGTGCAGCGCTGCTCTGACCTGGAAGAGAGAAGAGAGACAGAAAATGTAGGTAAGATACTCATAGTTTAAACAAAACCATAACTTATTATTTAGTTAAATGCTTAAATAAATGCTTAAATAAACAAATAACTATGTATTTTAAGGATTAATTGTCAGCATAAATTAAACATTCAATATCAAATGTTACATTTTTTTGTGTATATATATTTAATATATATGTACATATTTACACATTTGTGTATTATATTATATTTTAATTAATCAACCTTTCATTTCATTTATTCACACATTTATGTATTTATCTTTATAATATTTTAGTTTGTACTTGAATTTAACCATAGTTTAAGTTGCTTCAGCTAAATAATTAACTGCATCAATACAATTCATATATTTAATGTCTATTTTACTTTAATATTTATTTATGGTGACTTTTAGGCATTACATTATAGAGTGGTGAATTTATTCATTATTTTAAGAATACATTTTACAATTAGTTATATATATATTTTTTTGTATCAGCCCTTATTATTCTCCATATTATAAAATAAGCATTGCATTTTTCTTTGTTTATTGTTAAAACGTTATTTCCAACCTACCGAGGTGCTTTGGTACATGTTGAGTAGGGGGATCTGCCAGACCATGATGGTGGAGGTGGTGTCGTCATGGCGAGACTGTTTGGTCTTCTTGTTGACCCTGCGGTGGCCCAGCCCTCCGGAGACCACCAGCAGAGAGCTGACGTCCACCTTGCTGGCCCGGCGGCCCCTCAGGTGGTGGGCCGGGTCGTGCAGCGTATCATAGAGGGCCCCGTCCTCCGGCCCGTGCTCCAGGGAGCCCTGGGACGGAGCCAAGGAGCTGCAGGATGAGGACATGGAGTCCTGGAGAGCCATGGAGGTGCAGCCCGCCTCCCCCAACCACACGCCGCGTCCCTGAGGGGGAGACGTGGCTGAGTCTGGGGGGGGCTGTGAGGTCTCCCCATCCTCTGTGTCTGCTGGCTGCACTGAGGTGGGGGGGTTGGATGATGCAGGGCCAGAGGGCCGGTTACACACCGCAGCAGCCACGCTCAGGAACTTCACCGGACCGTTGTGAGCGTGTAAGGACACCATGCCCCGCCCTGACCACAGGAACACACACTTTAACATTCACACACTTTATTATATATCTCCTGTATACATTAAGTGAAAGTGATATTTCCCCAAAACCTGTATACGTTGGATTTTCCACTTTGTTTTTGACAACCATATGATAGCTTGTGAAGTTTAGAGTAAGTAAAGCTTTGCTAAAGTTGGTTGTTGTTTCAATAACCATCTAGTTTTCCATTTAGTTTCATTCATCCGAGTTCCCTTTGCTTGAACAACCAATGTTAATCATATCTGTAAAACCAACTAATAATTGCGCTAATTAGCTTCTAAAAAAATAATGATATTGCTGTTAACTGTGTTCTTGGTTGCAGCAGCTGCCAAACTCTAAGTCTCCATTAGTGCGCACTGATGTTAGCTTTGTATGGCTGTGTCACTAGCATGAGTGGTAACTTGATAAAATTGAATAAAATAAATATTATTGAAAGAAATGATTTGTTTTCTTTGCCTTGTCTAAATCATGAATCTAAATCAACCCATTAGTTATGAAAATAATCCTTTGTAATAGGCCTATATGTCAGAACATAGCAATATGTGATGCAGTGCTGTTTGGGTGTTACCTGTGACCTTGGGGATGCCCTGCAGTCGGGGGACAGAGAGGGCCACAGTGACCCCCAGGTTGGTCCCCACCAGCAGCAGACCATGACAGACCAGCAGGCTGCTCACTGACACTCTCTGGCTCCCTGTGAACAAAATACAATTTAGTTTGTGACATTTAGAGAAAAAAAAAAGCTAACAAATGCTTCCTGGTGAACACAGTTGCAAAGTGTTCATATGTATCCTGAAAAATCAGAGAACTGTGATTTGACTACAGTGTGGTGCGGGGGAGGGAGGGAGGGAGGAGGGGAGGTGTATCTTCTCAGTGGGCGGGGGCATTTGTGCAAAGAAAGCATGCTCAAAAATGTTTGTCTCCAGGGCAACGTGAAGAGGAGCCAGGATAAAAGCTGCTCTTTTCAAGCGTCTGTACACAGCAAAATGCACCACTTTGAGTCAAGCAAACAAACACAAAAGTGTTTTGTTACAGACCGAGTGAAGCGTAAAGCTGTAATTAAGCGAGGGGCTCTGCCTCGGAGGCAGCTACCCACAGGACGATCCGACCCGACCTTTTCTCTTCCCTCTTGGTCGGAAACATCTCTGAGATGCCTCTTCGGACTGTCAAAGCCGGGATTGTTAGTTTAACAGCGCCCTTCAGATAGAGCCAGCCTGCTGACAGCGCTCTGTGTTAGACGACTTATTATGTGGAACTTGGCACTCGCATCACACCGTCCCCACACGGGATCTTTTTCAGGAATAAGCAGAGCAAAGAAATGGCATGTCGTAAGACATTTTTATGATTGTACTAAGAATCTGGGGTTTTGCAATAACAGTCTTTTTGGTCCTGCTATGTGGGAGGCGAGACTGTCATGAGTCATTCCTGCTGTAACAGCTTGACTTGAGTTTCCTCCTTCAAAGTAATCCTCTTGGGCTTTAGGAAAAAGTACTGCCAGTCTCTCGGCCTGACCCTCTCGGCCTGACCCCCCCCCCCCGGAGCTGACCCTCTGCATGGGGCACACGCACGCCATCCTGCAATACTTCCAGAAATCACGGCAGATAGGCAGCCACGTACAGTAAAGGGCCGGGGCCCGAGTCCTGCCCACATGTGCTTCTAATGAGGGCCCAGCCTTAGCAGAATCACACAGTCTGCTGGTGGGGGCCTTGCTCAACTTCCTCCTTTCATAATATTTGGAGTTCCCCACCCAGAGGGTGAACTAAAATAAACCCAGAGTGAACGTCAACAGTGCCCGGCTCTGGCCCTGATCCTGCACCAGAGACCCACTTTGATCTGCACTTAGTCCTGACAACCAACAGCAGGAGGGAGGAGCAAATCCCAAACATTACAAAAATACACTATTTCAGTCTAGAAATAGCTCGCATCAGCACAATTTCAGTCTCTATCTTAGCAAGCTATACCCTGGTTTTACGTTACTCCATTTGTCTATCAAATTCACGTTGGAAAAGGTTAAGGGTACTGTGTATTTTATAGAAATACAGCACGTTAACGGCTCTGTGTGGATGTGAACTACAGCAGTGTTTTAACGCTAGCATGGCAACATGCTAACAATGACAGTGTTAACATGTTGATATCTTGTAGCTACAGTATAATGTTTACCATGACCAATTATAGTTTAGCTTTTCAGCTTGCTAAAATGTCATAAGTACAGCATCAGAGGGTTATCAATTATAATTAGTTTGGAAGGGATAACTTAAATATACACCAAATTTCACAGGAAGTTTAAAACTCATGGTTTGGAGACAAGAAAGGTCAAGGTGTCAAGAGTGTCAAGAGGTCATCTTCTGGAGATATCTATATAACATTTAAAAGAAATCCCCAAAGTTGTAGAGTATTTCAGAGGAATCGTTCTTATAGTTGCTGCGATATGGAGTGAACAACAACCAAGCCAGCGAAGCTAAATAGGGTTAGCTTTTAGTAAGCGAGACAGAGATGTCATTTCAATCACTGGCAGTGTCACACATATCTTGGAATAATTACACACTGCATACTTCACTGATCATGAAGAATCATAACTTTCCATGTCAATCTGAATGTTTTCAAGTTAAGTATCACATGAGGACACGTTTTAACTGGAGCTTCGGCACATTGCAGCTGCAGTAAATCATCCAGTCCTATCATGTTTAATCCTAGCATCTGTGAGGGAGTGGATGATCACTCAGGAATAAGCGTCTTATTGGTGTTGGGATATGTGCAACAATGGTGGCGTAGAAACAATAGCATGGCTGTAGGTGTTATTTACTGACCCCCCCCCCTGATGTTTGTCTCCCATCAGGCCACGCATGGCTGCCTATTTAGGTCACAGAGCAGCAGCAGACAGACCCTCAGCACAGCAGCCATCCTCTGAGACATCCCCACGGTACAGGCTGTACACACTTATCGGAGGACTACTGCTTCTGGCAGTACTTTATTATTATTATTTTTTATAATTTTATTTACGATATGATTTGCCTCACTTTTTCTTTAATATGTGCATTTTATGAGCATTTATTTTGTATTAATGACTTTATTATAGCTTTTGTCCTCGTCCCGTATTAATTTGACTTTGGAAAAGAAATGTGGTCCCAAATAAGTTTAATAAAATAGAAAATGCACATTTCTATGACTATGTCTAACTCAGAAGAATATAAGACATGGGAATATGGACACAAACGTGTGATAGTAAAACATGGGAATGTGGAGACAAACGTGTGATAGTAAGACATGGGAATGTGGAGAAAAAGGTGTATGTTTTTACAGCACAATCCCGAAATAATTACCCAATTAACTCCTAATACCACTAAATTACTCTAAAACATGAGACATATGATTCTTCAAAAAACACTAGCCTCGAGTTACAGTGCAAATGACGGCTATTACAGCGTGTCAGCTAGCTGCAGGTTTAGCGCCTGGATAAGGAACTCCTGTCTGCGATGGAGGGAGTTAGCGAATTCCGCTAACTCCCTCCATCGCAGACAGCATGTTGGAGCAATTCCTCCAACATGCATGAACATGAGAAGAATAACCCCACCTCTGGAAAACCTCCTGCATTCAGAGAGGCATTCACACTGAAGACAACGCCCCATGTCTCCAATTGTTAGTCTGATTGTGTGTTCTGTGGACAATTCAAAAGTGTATTAGGGTCTGTAATACAATATCCCTCCTAAATAATGTAGACTTCCTGGAAAATAGGGACGCAGAAATCAAATTAAAACAGAGTCCCTTCTTGTCATTTTCTCATACTATGTTTAGCTTGTGTCTCAGTAAATGTTCTTTAATGGAGCCCAGGATAGCAGTTGAAGACCCATCACACTGACATCGATTACAGGCCGTCCCTCCTGACCAAAGTGTTTGGTTGGCAGTTCCAATTACATCGGAGTTTGTGCAGAAACAGCACATTTTTTGGTCTCATTCTGTTCCACAGCGGCAGCCAGCGGTGATAAACACCACCGTGGAGCGTTCTGGAAAATCCCAGATCACAACAGACCACAGAGAGCGCGGCAGATATAGATGGACTTCATGCGACTGCTTCATTAAAAGCGTTTGACTTCCATGATTACCGACAGTCCAGGGACCCAATACTGTTATCAGAGGAAGTGAGCTCCTAATGGCGAGGCCCAGAGGATGAAAGCGTTCATGTGTTGTGGTCTGTCCCAGGACCAGCTTCCTTTGCGATTGCATGGATCTTATTAACTAGTATGGGCAAAAGCAGGCTGCTTTTATCATTCACATCTGTCTGACAAAGAGGCCTCTCTACACACTGCGTATCAGAGTCAGTATATCAAGTCAGTGTAGACACTCCAAGCTATTTTACTTTTTTACATGCGGTTATGGATTTCCTTAAGGAACTTGCAAATTCAGCGTTTCTTCTGTTGCCAGTACTGTTCATAAATAGGTTTCCTCTGCTAACCATTGTGCCACATTTAACCACTTGTAGCCATGGATACTAAAAGCTGCGAGTGGATTTGTTGAAGTGTTCACAGCATTGGATTCATAGCTGCTCATACAGCTGCTCATACAGCTAAGTGGTATTTAAAAGCAACTCCCAACAGCTTATTACATAAGATCTGACATTCTGCTGATTAATCAATTCAGCTTGAAGTGCCCTGCTTCAGCAGATGTTACACAACCTCAACAGATTCTCTTTGTCATTTAGCTGAATACTTCTGGTGCTTTTCCTAACGTTATTGCTACCTTGTGGCGGTAATAGAGGAGCCTAAATGTTCCCTCAGTTTAGTCCAAGCTGAGCTAAGCACTGCTAATGATGCTGAAGATGAGATCGCACAGAACAACTGCAGGCTAGTCATCAACTGCACACACCAATACACATACAGAACAACCACAGCTGTCAACAGAAAACTAAACCCAGATCCAGATCTAATTTAAGAAACCAACCTTAATGCAATCAAGAGGAAAGCAATGAGATGACTGCCAAAAAAAGACAAACACCCAGACAACACAACAAAGAAGAATGAGGGAAGTGCATGCCAAACCGCAGCTGTCTGCATTACTCAGCACAGAGGGAAAAGGGATTGAACGCAGCAGCGGTGGACTTCCCAAATTCTGACGGAAGCAACAAGAAACCCCACCCAAAAAACTACACTCATTCTTTTAGGCTGTGTGTTTTTGGGTCAAGATGATGTAACGCAGCAGATTACAAGATCTGAAGCAGCAGCACGCCACTTCCATGACTTCAGCCAGGGACAAAAGTCACACTGACAGTCATTCGGTTGGACAGCGACAACATTGGCTTAAACACACACGGCAGGAAACTGTTTCACAACCAACCAACTGCCACACACTAAATACAACGTAATCCACTGTGATGACGAAGGTACCTATAGTAACAAAGCTCATTTCTAAACACATTAGCTCGCTACCCTTCTGGTGTCCAATCGCCTTTGATGCTGTTTTGCAGTGTTACTACCTGGTAATGACAGGTTTACATCTGCAGTGCCTTACACAGTCAGAGATTAAAGGTGGGCCATTAAGTGCAGTAAATCGCTCTTCAAATAGGAACAAACCACTGTTCTGAGAATCACTGCACTCACGGGCCAACCTGCAGGTACTCCCACATTGTTGTTTATGTTTAATACAGATAGGTCTAGTTTTATCTGTCATAAAGGTTGATGTAAGTGTTAGTAAGACCAAAAAAAATGTTTTGATGGTACCATTAACCTTTAAGATAGTTGGGGGACACTATTTTGTGCTGAACTCCATTAGCTCAGCCATTAGCTATTGAAATGTGATGTAATACTTCATAATGTCGGTTGTTTGGCCACTTATCAAAAGGACATCCCATTATTTGTTTTCACAAGTGTTCGGCCTCTTTCAGAGCACACTAAGTTTCCTTTAATATGATTTTATGAGGTGAAAAGTTTCCCTTATGCAACGCTCAGAATAGAGACAAAATAAGAGGTTCCTGATTCACTGTTTAGACTTAAGGAGGACGAGAGCATGACACACCTGCCATAACAAGAGCTGTCTGTTTGAGCACTGATGTCACATAATTACTGACAGCACCTTGAAAACATGAGGTCATTGCAGGACTTGCATCACACTCAAAGACGCTGGGATGTCTCTGCATAAGTATATTTGACTAGATGATCACAATATCAGATATCAGAAGAGTGAACAACTACTCTTTGCTGTTCTTCGTCAGTCAGTCAGTTTGACACTCTCTAAAAGCTTTCAGTCTCACTCAGGCGTACGGATCGCATTACTGACTGACACTCAAGGGCAGGCAGAGAGAGGCAGTGCTTTTGAAGTGGTAAAGGTGGTAAGACCACAGAATCACCATGACTGAATGTTTGGAACCGCAAGGCTCTGAATACTAACACTATGGTATGTTTTTCTATTAGTTACAGTCTAGGATATAACATCAAAGATTTAAAAAGATTTATTTTAAGAACGACCAACAAGAAAGAAAAGTAATTACATCAGCAGGTTAAACAGGCATCCGATCTTTGTGAATTCTACACTTTTCATTTAAAGGGGCTATATTATGCAAATGTTCAGGTTCATATTTTCCATGTGCTTCTACTGTGACATGTTACCATTATTTAATGTTAAAAAAGGTCTTTATTTTTCTCATACTGCCTGTGCTGCAGCACCTCTTTTCACCCTCTGTCTGAAACCAGAGCCCAGTCTGCTCTGATTGGTTAGCTGGCCGGCTCTGTTGTGATTGGCCAACCGCTTATTGATGTCCTGCCCCTTAGCCTATCACGTACAATGTGTAAGAGTGCTAGCCAAAAGTAACACAAGTGTTATATAGTGATGTCACTATGTCACGGAAGGAACAAAGGAGTCCAATGGAGGCGTTTCAGGCTGGGAGGGGGGAGGAGTGTGTGGGAGAGAAACTCCCTCTGGCATGACAGGAATGTTCCTCTGGTTACCTTGGAGATGTAACTTGAAAATCCCATCCAGATTGTATTTGTCCAACAAAATAAAATGTTGGTGTGGGATGGAAACAAAGAGAAAAACAATAATACAAAGCCATGTAGGTGGACTTAATTCTGACTCTGATGCGTAATATTTGAACTACAAACGTGGGTGTTATTTTACAAATCTGTTTCTTGACTTTGGACAGATCCTTTTAACTCAAATAATACTAATAATAATAATAAGGCTTACATTGTGTTGAATAAGAGTCTGGTCCCAGTTATGCTGATATTTAGAAAGATCATATCAGCCTGGAAATGAACGTTGTATGTGTCTTACCAGGCAGGGTATTGTGAACAGGTGTGGCGATGTTAATGTCCTGCAGGTGCTCCAGGGTCTCGGTGTGGAAGAGGCGCAGAGTGGAGCCGGAGCTGGAGGCGATCCAGATGCCGACCCCGGCCACCACCATGTGGGACACCACCATGCCCTCCTCCTGGTGGGCCTCCAGCTGCCTCTGGAGGTGGGAGAAAGGATTTAGGCATTACGTTATTACTTACTTAATTCAGAATATAACCAAGTGAAATCTGAGACTTGTAAGGATTTTTCACAGATGTACTAAGACTAAAACAAAAATAAAAAGACCTTTAAGAATTTCATTTGCATGCTATTCAATATTCTGTGGCTCAGGTTAATTACCTGGTTACCAATAATGAGCTATATAGCCATCAAACTGAGCTTAGCATTGCATTTTACCCCAAAAATGTTTGCTTGGTTGCTTGTGCAATATAAGATATTCAATCTAAGGTTCTTTTTTATATATATTTTACCTCTGGCGGCTGTTTGTTTTGTGTCACAGGTTGTTGTCGGGCTGTTTAAGTTTGACTGTCAGCCTATGAGTGAAAGCTAAGGTTAGAAAAAGACTCTTGTGTTTGCTGTATGTGACCTAAAACTAACTATTTCAAAAGCAACCAACCCACAGAGGGTTTGTTCAGTCTCAAGCAGCCCGTGCATTGTCTGTGATTATAATGTCTGGGATCCTGCGATTATACTTCACCATCGAAAATGTGTTTCTGCCAAATGCACCTAATATGTTGGTTTATGGATGATGTTGCGAACAAGATTAGTTTTAAATATGTACTGTGAGTAAGGTTAGGGTTTTCTGTTGCTGGAGACCAATAAACGGAGCTTTTTCCATCTCCACTGGTTACATAATCTCCCCACACATTGCTTTACATGTAGGTGGAGTTTTATTTGGCCAAGGAGAGTCCATTAGCAAGTGTCAGAACAGGGTTATAAACGTAAAAAATGTGGTGATGAAGGAGCATGAGATGTAAATGTGACTTCCTTGATTTGTTTTGCACACATTAGTACTTATATTGCATTTACCTTTGATTAATTATTTGATGATTTATTTATGACTTAATTGTTTATTTGTATCCATCTCACCATCCGTCTCTGTCTCTCTGTCTCTGTTTAACTTCCTGTCACCATGTTGGACTAACTCCTCAGTGAGGAAAAGAGAGCGAGGCAGGCAGGTGGTCCGACATAATGAGCTTAATGAGGCTAAACAGATTATTAGTGAGTGCATGTCACAGGAACGGTGCTATTCCTGTACTCATGGCAGGTGCTTCCATTCCATGAACCAGGCCAGAACGCACACAGGGAATACCAATTATATTTAAGGATATGGAAAGAAGAATTCCCGGGAAGGGAAATGTGGGACGTTCAACAGCTAGAGGCAGACCGCAGTTTACACAGACTGCTTCTTGGGAGATCTCCCTGACAAAGAATACTTTATATCCGCACTCAAATTGTTACACGTCTTAACTTTCCAACAGTTATACAAAGGTTTATTTATAACACACACGATGATGTGCTCTGTATGGAAGCCCTGAGAGGCAAGTGAGAAGAAAAAGTCTGATCTAAATCGTTTTCTCTCCTGTGTATGAATTAAGAAAACTTTAAAAGTATATCTAGTATCTTATCTAGTATATCTTTAATTACTTCTTTTTTTTTCAAGAAGGACAAGTAGGGAAAAATGTTTGAGAATATTGTTGATCAACATTTTTTCTCTGTTTGTTGTTGTAATACTCAATCAGCCACACGAGTCTGAATTGCATAACTAACCCATTTTCGAAATAAGACTTAAAGCATTCATGTATTCTTCCAGGTGAACTCGTAATGTTAGATAGGTTGCTAATACAAAAACATACTCTGGTTACCTTGTGTTTAGAGTGAATACTCATTTGTAAACTATTCAGAAGCAAACACAAATTATTTTGTCTTTTTTTCACCTGTTTTTGTAATTAATACGAGTAACCTAGAAAGATTATTATTTTGATTTGACCTGTTTTAAAGAAAATGGATCACCAGAATTAGTGTTCTTACTTGCCTTTCAGGACTTAGATCCTTTCTAATGTAGGTATGGTAACAGTATCAGAGCTAGGCTTCTTACCTCTATGGAGTGTGTGAGGGTGCTGATGATGAAGACCTGTCCACCTGATGAAGCCCAGAGGTGCTCCTCCACTGCCAGCATGGCCTTCACTGGCAGGATTCCCAGTTTCAGCACCTTAGGCTTCTCATGGCTCCACAAACCATCTGTAACAAACACAAAACTGGCATTACTTACAATTAGCATTTTACAAAACATTCTTACCAAAAAATGCACTTTATATGCAAACATTATAGTATTATTTATTACATTCTCTTTTGCTATGTTAACCTCCAGCGATGTTTATGTAGAAGATGAATGGATTATAATGTTAAAGGAAGACACAATGATAGACACTCTGTCTTTATAAGTGTCGCCTGAAAAGGTCATTTGCATTTATGACTCTGCTAATGCTGGTGGAGTGGCCATTGATGGTTTTTAAAGCCTATGAATATAGATGGGCTGCTAGGCATTAGTCAGAGCCGAGCTCTATCCCACACACACCTCCTACACACTCCGTTCTACATGTGCCCAGGCACCTACAGTGCCAGCTCAACTGCAAAAAAACACCACATGCAGTGCCTTTATAAATATCAACACATTACATCTCTGTGTGACCAGTCTATCTTCTGGTTTGGAGTCAGAAAATGGGAGAAAATGTAAGTTTGTTGGACAGAAAGAAGGTCTATATTCGGTTCATTTTATATACAGATATGGGAATGTACGGAAGCCACAAGCTGCCTTTCTTAAAAAATATAAAAATATATCCACCAAAGCACCATTTTCATAGATGAAGTCAAAAAATGTTTAAACAATTGACAAATCCCCATTAACATGTGGTTGATTCATTAACACAGGAGTGAAAACAATGTTGATGAGACTTTGAAAAAGGATCTCCACAATCTTTCTTTCTCTGGGATTCCGTAGAATTTAAACCAGTAAAACTGGCATGTACCTTTTACTAGAAGGGCTTGTATTGAATACAGCCTTCATTTCCTTCAGATACCACATTCCCTCAGCTAATCTAGGCCAGGAAGTGAACGAGGCCTCACCAATGGTGTTTGTCAAGCGGAGGCACAAAGGCGGCTATTGAAGGCTGAGGTGCCATGCAGGGAGAGATGTTCTTTCTTTCAGGGGTACAGTAATGAGTGAGGAAGTGAGGGTAATCTCCCACTACAGGGGCTAGGTGGGATTAGCATTCCAGCAATGCCCTGTGTATATTTTTTTAACAATCATACTCTGCAGGTACATGAGGAAGAAAAAAAGGAGCAGTGGAAAAAGAAATACAGGAGTGCCAATTTTCAGTCTTATGTAAGTCTGCCCACACCTCGCACTTTTTCAACTGTAGCATTCTTTCATGTCAGGTGTAACAAATGACCTTTAACAGCGCAAACAGCAGCACAAACCAAGCAGCTAATTTGTCTTATTCTTTCAAATCTGAAGCAGAAAACTAATCTCTCAATGAGGATAAGTAGGAAGATGCAGGATGGAAGAATGGACAAGAGCAGAGTTTATGTTCTGAGTATCTGCCTCTGACGTGCAACCTTTTGTCGAATCATTGCCTCCTTCTTTCTCCATCTCTCACACAGTCAGTCACAAAATGTAACAGCAAGCGTGGCAGAATGAGGCTGCCCGGCCAGCATCAGACACACAGCATCTAAGATAACTCAGCACTGATGGCTTCAACAACAAGGCAACATCCGTCTTGCATCGTCACAATTCAATGTGAGGGTTCATCAGCTGTGAGTGTAACATCAAAGCACATAAGCGGATCATTTTTTCCAACTCTTTTCTCTGCAATGAATCTAATTTAAATGCTAATGGGGTACAGGCAGAGGGTTACACGGAGTATTTGAACATCGTTACAATGGGGATGCAGGGTACAGCTATCCTATTCTAACCGGCTATGACTCATCATTTAAGCAGCAGGCTTCATGTTCCAGTGACAGATGCCACACAAATCACAATCACAAGATCTAGGGCCAGGATTTTCTTCTAGGATTTTCTTTTGACACACCAGCATACTCTGTGCCAGTGTAATGACTGGAGAATAGAGGGGGTAAATGAGGTACAGTAACATGTGCATCAAAACACGGAGTAATGAGACGCTTTGAACATTCCTGAACGGTTGCATACACGCAGTTTGTTTCTGCCAGGCAAACCGTCACTCAACTGTGGAATAAATGAGAATATTTTCCCTCCTCTTCATCTGTCCTCAGGCCTTCTTCCATATTCTATATGTTCCTATCTCTTTCCAGCAAACGCAAGCCAACTAAATAGAACCACAGAGGAAGGAATTGAGCATGTTCTTTCTTGGAGATGTTGTAAATGTATCTTGGGTCATATGAGTGCATGACTGTGTGTGACTGAGCTTAGTGAAACCTGCCTCTAGCATTGGTGGCATCACAGGATAGTGAGAATAACACTTATGTAGGGATAACAAGACTGTTCCCTTGTGATCTGAAATATGTACTAATTTTTTATAATTGTATTTGTATTAGGACTTTTCAAGCTGGGAGCGCAATGTGCTTTACACAGATAGCATAACAAAAAAAGATAATGATGTAAAAAGAACAGCAACATTCAAGCACCCAGGTTAAAGGCATATACAAATAACTTACAAATAAATCATTGAAAAGTGAGACTATTAAACTTTATATCAGGTGGTTGAACAAGAACGTTATGTGACACAGATAAAAGGCTGAGAGGAAGACGCTCAGACTGTTTGCACGGCTGCCAATGCCAATAAGAGATGGAACAAAACACAGAATAAGAATAACTATGGGAATAGTGCAGCTCAGATCCTCTCCTCTAATGCGCCTAAGCTCGTCTGGGAGGAAAAGACATAATGTAGGTCACGGTGAAACAGATTGGCTTCTCCCAGACAACCGAGCAAAGGGGAACAGAACCTCAACACAGAGCAGAGGTGACCCCTGACCCCCAGCTACACACTGAGCCTCTGACTAACACACTCAAAGGCAACCGCAGAGACAGAAACATAGAAGTAAGAGCAATGCACCACAAAAAAACACCTACAGAATAACCCTTCTCATTTAGTGTTGCAAAAAGTTGTAGCACTGTAACCCATGACAAGTTCTGCCTGTTATTGGAAGAAGTCATCAGACATGGTGCTGAAGGCTTTTGGTGAATTAGGTCAGGGGAAGTGGGTTTCTAAATGTAACAAAGTCAGCAACAGGGCTCCTATGCATGTTCCTGGCCAATTATGGTTCAGGTTTCAAAACTCAGGGCTGGTGCAGACTAAATATTGAGGTAAACACTGTCAGCCTACACATTTTTCAAACCAAATCTAATTAACTCAGTGAATGCATTTCTGTTTCCCATAACACCAGTGATTTATCCCTGTAATTGCTCCAATTACAGCCATTTAAGAGTATCAACAAACATTACAAAGGCAGAAGTATGAGCAGAAGAGATACACAAATTGAGCCCGTCCTCGACTTAAACACCCACCTTGTGATCTGGAGTAGACGGCCACAGAGCCGCTGACCAGGCCGACGTACAGACAGTGTTTCTTATACACTAGACTGGTGACGGTGGACTTGTCCGGGGTGAAGAAATGCTGCAGGCGCACTTTCTTTGATCGCTGGCTGCTCTTATACACAATGATACTGAAGGAGAAAGGAAATGAAATTAGATCAAACTTACAACAGTGTGCTTCTTTAAAAATACTTGACTTCTTTGTCAACTATAACATTCTGGTAGTAGATGCAGTTAAAGAGATTTAAGAGACAGTGTTTGACACTTTGAATGATTACATTTAATTAAATCTATTCTATTGCTGAAACAAGTTCAATGTTTTAAACATGCTTTTTCTGATGTTTTTTTCTGACGTTCCCTGAAGCTGGTTTGTTAAAGTATTACCCACAGTAAAGTTTGGGGCAAAATAGAAGAAACTCTTGAAAATGCATTTGTTTTTCATCCTTTCATTCCCCATGTATACATGCATAAATACAACCTGACATTGGATGGATCATTGAACCACTTGCTGTATCTTTTATACATTAAATTACATGAAAGGCACACTGTTGTAGGCACACTGTCTATGTTCTGTACCTGCCCTCCTCCATGCCCAGACAGACACTGGGGGACTCACTGGCCTTCGCTGCAGGGACACAGTTCTTTTCTGGAACCTTCTCTCCGTTCTCCTGAGGCTGCTCAGCAGGGACGAAGGTCATGCAGAGGATACGGGACTCCACGTTGAAACACTCAGTCACCTTAGGGTTGGAGCTCTGCATGGCCACGATGGATATCTGGCCCATCTGGTTGGTGCAACTCGCAACCTGAACACAGATTAAAAGCCTTTTGTTTTGTCTGTCTTAGAGAGACCCAGCACTGGGGGCACAGTATTAGCACACAAAAAAAAGCAAACATCAGAAATAGACATACGACTGAAGTACTTAAAGTACGTAAAAAATGTATAATATAAACCAAACTGTATATAATTATCTACTACAACATACGATTATGTTGAAAACAATATTTAATATCTCGGTTTAACATCTTTCTGATAGAGTTTATATTGGACCTCACCATGAAAATAACCAGCTAGAGAAATGTTTATATCTTTAACAGACCCAAGGTTTTCCCTGATGGTGGAAAACACTGCATTAGCAGTGATGACCACAGTCATGACAGTCCGTTTATTTTGCTTATAAACTTAGGTAATGAAGCAATTATAGTGAAACCAAGGTTATTTTCCCAAGGGGACATTAGACATTTTAAATGAAGAACAGCAAAAACGTATTAAAACTAAATCTGACTAAGCTAACACACTACAGTGAAAAACTGCTCTCAGTCAAAACTAAGAGCCACACTCAAGTGGTTAAACCTAAATAATCTAGGGTGCTGAAAATAAGAGTACAGCGATACCATTTGCCAATGAACAGTTGTTAAATCCACTTAACACACTTAACTAAACCCTTAAATCCAAAACTCCAATTTCAGGGGTGAGGCCCATGAACGTATATTAGCAGAACTACTAATGTTATTTCCCTCTGGATGGAAGAAGCCCATGTAGGTAACCACTATAAACATTGAAATAAACTCTTTAATGTATGTAATTGTTGAAATATTGGCTACTACAGTGTTTGTTTTACTGAACAAAGAAGGGAAAATGTCTCACCCAGACACAGCCATGGCCCACGACCGGAGTATCAGCTGTGCTCTCTGTGTTGATGTGGGGCTCTGGATTATGAACGGCACATTCCACCTGTCACACAACATGAAGACAGGTCAGACGAGTAAGTCATAATGTAGGAATTCACAGGATAGAGAAAACAGGTGTCTGGTTGTTCTTTATTGGTGTCTATATAAATGTTAAGCCCCTGTAGTAACCCTATTTTGTCCACCAACATGGGTCAAATCAACTACATGTCAATGTTTCTCCCACCAAATGACCCTTATAGTTAGTGTTATCTGATACTTGTTACTAGTCTAAAATCAGAATGGCCAGTACGGGTATCGAACCCGCGACCTTCGCGTTATTAGCACGACGCTCTAACCAACTGAGCTAACCGGCCTGAAAACTGTCAGCTATTTTAATCATCTATGGTATGTCACTGCTGGTGACATACTGTGATCCTTGTACCACCACAAATCACTGTCATGTCATTTTTTAAGAGCCAATTCATAAATAACCATCTTAGTATAAACAATGTCCATGAACTTTTGCTAACCCTGTTTGCACTCAAATGCTCACAAACTATTTGAAACAAACACCTGCATCCACCCATTTAAAACTATACAAAGAAACATTAGAAATTGTTTGTAAGGATTACCATGTTTCCTTGTTTGTTAGTGTTCATGAAATGTGTTGAAGGATGTACTGTAGCATGCCGGGGAAGAGCTATTCAATTCTTTCTGGCTGATATCACAAAATCGGACAGACATTCATATTTTTTGCATTATTGTACTGTCACATTGTTTATCTGATTAACTTTACATTACGTACGTCAACGTTTGAAATTCTGTTTCAAACTGAGCTAAATTGCCATAACTATTGGCCAGTACGGGTATCGAACCCGCGACCTTCGCGTTATTAGCACGACGCTCTAACCAACTGAGCTAACCGGCCAACTTACAATAACCACATGGCATGCTTTCAAAAAGATGGTAGGTATATATATAATACTGAGTTTAATAATAGGGAAGAGATGGAGTTAAGTACACAGAGACTCACAAATGCAATCACACACTTACACACAACAAAAACTGAGACAGAGACACTCAGACAGCTGATTTACAACAACATTTATACTGATGACCTTCTGTTGACCACAGTAGAGGCCTGTTGAGAGGCGGAACAAATGTGGCTGCTGGATTCCAACTAGGGCACCCCTCCAATACACAAGACTTAAATATACAAATTCAAGTCCCAAATTGCAGTCCAACAAACAAACAAAAAAGGAAGCCATTTATTTTGAACCCATTCCTTAGTGCACTGAGAGGAGTGAAAGACATTCAAATGATTAAAAGGTCATGTTAAGTACTATGCGAGGTTTAGGAAGGGCCTCAGAGTGACATAAATTATTCTAAATGACTCATGATCTTAACATTGTGTTGTCCATTCCACAAATCAGTGTAATAACAAATAAACCAATATCATTTAATGGTGACATTGCTATTAGCTTGTTTCCTGTGTTTCTAGTCGGTGGATCAAGCCCCGATGGCATCACACTGTAACCAACTGAAATGCTGGACATCATACATTTTTAAGCCTTTTAAAAGGATGATAACTGATCAGACACTGCTAGTAGACATAATCCATTGAATACTGTAAAGACATGCAGTTTGGTATTTAGGACACAGTCACACACACATGACTGAGATAAGAACATTCAGACAGTTGATTTGAGATTACATTTATACTGATGACCTCCCTTTTCCTACACTAGAGGCCTGTATATGTTGGTAGCTGCTTTATTCAAACTATGGTAACCTTCCAAATGCAAAAGACAACATGAACTCAAACACAGTGTATCTAACTCCATTCCACAAATCGGTTGAATAAAGGAATATAAAACCATTAAATGATACACATTTTAGAAATCATTAGTTGAATATGCTTATTCCTTGGTTTTTAGGAAGTGACTTGAAACAAATGTGATATATAAAATGGAATAGGTCATTTGTTATGTCATTGTGGTTAATCTATAGGTTAACTGGCAGTGTTATAATATGAGCATTGACCCATACTGTTGCCGGACCTTGGCATTGAATTGACCAGCCACTATGTATATTGGAGGTTACTACATTGGACTTAATCTTGGCAATGGCCTAATTCAAACTGACCGTGCACTCCTGTGGGGGAAACTTCTGTGTAGCAATGCAGTGGGAGTCACCGACTCAGGAAGGAGACACGGGATAGAGCTGGAGCTTTGATGTCAAACACTGATGGTTTATTAGGAGCTTCGGCCGGAGAATTCACAAAACAAGTCCAAGAGCCAGAGGTTCTGACTTCACGGGAGAGTTGCCACGTCAATTCTGAAGAGCCTCTCTCTATGTTAGACCTTTTAACTGGTTCACAGAGAGTAATCAACATCTCTGAGGGAGTAGACTAAACAGCTGGGAACACTGAATCACTTGCGTCCGACACTTATGGCCTCAAAGATTTCACACCTTAAGAGTCCACAAACACCGATAAGGAAGTGCCTCAGCGTTCTCACAACAATTACCATTTGTGCCCGAGAGTTGACCGGTCACAAACTGGTGACAACAACACATATGGCACCAAGGCCTTTCCTTAAAGGAGATAACAGACGTCAGAGTAGATCATAAAACGTCACAGAGCAAAAGGTTAGATATCTAGAAGAATTATTCCTTAACAACTCCAATCAGCAGACAATATATCCATAGATCTTGTTGCTTGTTAGTGTTTCAAACTCACAACCTTGTTTCTTTTAGGACCATGATATAACCAACTGAGCTGACTGGCTGGTTGACTGTTTGTTGCATTCACTTAAGAAAGTTACATGAAAATAAAAATGTCTCACCTTGAACTCCTGCAGCTTTGACATGACCACAGGCATTTGCCGAAGCAAAAGAGGGTGTTTCTGCTTTTTGATCTGATTCCCATCTTCCTCGGCGAAGAACCAGCCCTGCAGGTTGTCCTCCTCTGATGTAACACACAAACACACACACACACACAATTAGCACGTGATCTGATGTACAGTATGCAGCAAGTGTTTTTTAACCACAACAAGTTATCTGCCTTGTTTTTTAACCACACTAATGTATCTGCCTTCAGAATAAAAGACTCTAGAAGTCACATTAAACAACTATCAACTTATAACTAGTTTTAAACATTGTTTGGTGCTGATTTTAATACACTAGATTTGGTCATAATATGAGGATGACCTAACAACCATTAGCCAATAATGTTTAACTGTAGTCACTTGAAAAGTCATAGGCAATGAAATAAAGAGATACATATACCAAAAAGTCAAGAAAGTAAACAGATACATTTTATAAATGCATGTATACACAATTAAAATGAAATAAAACAATGGTAGAACTGAGACAGTGTTGTTGTACTGTACCTAGAGCCAGCTTAGCCATCTGCAGGTTGCTGATCCATGACTGTTTGATGGCCGGGCTGAGGGTGTTGAACACTGCACTGAAGTAAGTGGGTTTACCCAACCTGCCAATAGAGAGGACAAAACAAAAACACTAGATTAGAAAGTTGAAAGAAAATTACACACTCTGAGTGTTATATGTATATTATCACAAAATATGATCAATGTGTTTCATAGGATATTTTGTGAAATGTTTTTCAATGTCCATCTAGATTTACTCCACATATTTAGTATTTTTTGAAAGCTCTATGTGATAACTTAGCACAACAGCCACACACTGGACAGGAGTTCAGAATTCAAAACTAATGTTTTCATAATTTTTTGTTAAATAAATACAACATTTTTCTCAATGTCTGTATGGGGCTTCAATGCCTTGTAAGTGCAACTACATATTAAAATAGGTATTTTTAAGTTAAGAACAGTGGAAATTATTTTTTTCACTACATTTAAGTCCTCACATACAGCTTTAAAAAAGTACTTTCATTACCAGACAGTGTTTTTAAAACAAACATGACAGATGCTTTAACAAAATGATACTAAATGATGAATTTAGTGCAATATGTGTCTACTCTTTAGCAACCAAAGGGCCTTCTTTGCTTAAATATTTCTTTAGGTGGTCATGTTCATTTCTGAATATCTAAACATATACACCAGTACAGTGCTTAGTATCTGTTACAGAAAAATATCCATAATGAACAAATGAAAGGGCTCTATCTGGGTTGAATACCAGCCAAGGGGGGAAATGATTCTGTCCATTCAATACTGACTGACTAGACCTACTGTGACACAAATGTGACACAAATCAATGTCAATTATCGCTCCTATCAGCAGCTCATGTGGACATTGTGTGTGTGTGTGTGTGTGTGTGTGTGTGTGTGTGTGTGTGTGTGTGTGTGTGTGTGTGTGTGTGTGTGTGTGTGTGTGTGTGATATGCATCTCTACTGCCACTGACTGGTGCTGAGAAGTGTTGTGTGTGTTTTGAGATTTGAGAGATCAGGAGAGGAATGAGTGAGGCACAGCTGTGTTTCCAAACATACCCGAGGATAATCTCACCAGCTAAATGCAGCAGGGATGAGGGATGGAGAGCGGAAGTTAAGAAGAGAAAGAGTGTGTGAAAATGCCAATGAAGGATGTACTCATAAGGGACCACTTCCAGACTATAATAGTGTGTGTAAATGTGTGACATGGTCAGAACCAGCTGCAGCGCTGAGTATCCTTTTGCTTATAAACACTGATGCACATTTCCTCCCCTGAGATTAACGCCTCAGATTAGAGCTGGTGGAGAAGCTTGTTTATCCACATATTCAAATGTGCTCTAATACTCATAAAGCTATGGGCACACAGGGCAGCTGGAAGGCATTCAGAAGGATGAAAGGGGATTGTGGTCAAATCAAGGAAAAACAAGACGATTTTGGAGACTGTTCAAATGTAAGAGTTGTGTATATGTGTGTGTGTGTAGAAAACGAACTTGTCATGTTTTCCGGGCAGCTGGAGTTGGATCCTACAACGGTCAGCTGCTCTGATCTCCTCCTCCTTCTTCAGTATCAGCCTCTGGAGACCTGACACCCAATCCTGGGCCACTGTGGGGTTTACATTCTGTACACAGGAGGGAAAAAGAGATGAGGGAATGAGAAAGAGGGTAATTAATGGGAAGTGAGTGGGAGAGAAAGGAAGGCTTATTGTTGGCACAACAATGGGAATAGGATTAGGATAACATTACAGTTATTTACATTGGGGATACTAACATGAAAAAACATGTCACAGCAATGAAATACAATACATTACACACATACTGGTGAAGATGACATATGTGGCCTTCTGTATGTAAATGATATTGTGCTTGTATACTTCTCTTGCAAATCAGTGTAGGCTACTTTATAAACTGTAGAGGGATCAGTTATGCTGGAAGCAGATGTTGCCTTAAAAGAATACTCCAATTACTCATACAGGAAGGAAAGGCTTGAAAAAAGAGGGGGGTATAGATCAATTTAACAATGGCTGAGTAATAGATATACAAATGGTCATTGTGTGGGTGACGTTTTCCTTTACAGTGCCATCACAAATTTGTCTTGATCTTTCAATACATGGTTCCTAACTGTATGAAAGGCATTTTATTAAACATGTTAACGGTTGTCTGTTAGCATCCTTTACGTTAGGACATGTAGTGAAAAATGCTTGGCAGTGTACAGCTCAGTCCTGCTTCTTTTTTTCCCCCATCAATCTCTCCATCTCTGGGACACACGTCTCTGAGAGCCTCACTGTTTCTCTGCCTCCCACTCTGCCTCTGACAGGCCGACCACTACAGCACAAACACATCTCACACACACTCATGCTGCGCTGTGCAAACTAAAACACTATCCCAACAGCACAGAAAGACGTGTGTGTGTGTGTTATCTTTGTGTGTGTGGCCACATGATAACATGATATGACAGGCTTGAATGTTGCAAATTAAGTCATAAGAGACTCGCAGTGTTCCCGAGACGAATTGCCCACGCCGGCACATTCCTCAGTTTAGACATTACACGCCTTCATAAGAGCCCAGCCCTTAAGCATCTGAGGAAACATGATAAAAGTCCTGAAGTTCACTGGGGGAACATTCGTCAATGTCAATTCTTGGCAAACTTCCAATAATATTAATAGACACAATATAACTATTCAACTCATATTCGTTTGAAATATGACCAAAAACAAGTAGTCAATTATTCACAACAAAGCTAAATGTATGTGTGATAAGGTTTTTTTATTTTTGATGACCTTTTAATATGTATTCCCTTGCAGATATAATAAACTGATGATGAAATGTGATGACATTTCATTTTGATTTGCACTTAAATAAAACGTTCTCCAAGGCACAATAAAGTATATATATTTTTTGGAAATATTATTTAACCTATTATGTTATATGTAATGTTATTGCATCTATTTCATATTTTTGTAACACCTGAATGTCCAAACCAGGGTGCAAGGTTTGTTTATTTGTTACATTTGATACATTTCCTGGACCACAGGAGGTAGGTAAAAAGGTTACTTCTGTTACTTTTGGGTATTTTCTTCCATTTAAACTTTTGTTATGTCTGATAATATGTCATATCAGTACTGAAATGTTTTTGCTAATACATAAAGCACTAATTTAGTTTTTAAAAGTGCTATATAAATAAAGTTGATATTATTATTATAGAGCTGTGTTGAGTTGAACTGATGTGACTTTAACTCACAGCTTGTGTTCAGTATAGTCATACAGTACCTGGTAGTTTCCTTTGAGGCTGCTGATCATGGTGGAGATCTGGTTCACCAGACTGAGGTCATGGATCAGGTTCTGCAGATCTTGGTACAACTGACCGGGGCCCATGTACAGCTTATCTATGGAGAACACACACAAAAACATAAACAAATGTTTCACTCATACATAGCAGTGACAACAATCAAGAGGCTGTGTTCTAAATTTCAGCTAGAAATAATAAAAGCCTACAAAACTGCCAAGTAGCAGGGAAATTAAGCTGAGACCTCAAAAGCTGATGTCACCTTTATGGAAAGTTAGATAAACCGGCAGCAAAGGGTGAGGCCAGTGTTGTCGGAGAAGCCTTTCAAATTGGACAAAAAGAGAAAATCAATAAAGGACAATCACTCACAGGGAGCGGTGACAGCTCTGCAAACTTGGCAGTGATTCTCACCGAGTGCTCTGGAGTGTGAGCTTTCAGAGGCAGCACAAATATTCCATTTTGTTTGGGGAATTGCAACATCTAAGTCCAGGAATATTCAAGGTGGAAACGTACCATGGAAATGAATGGGACATTATGGGGAATTGATGGAAATTCAGTGGCTTAAAAGACAAATATAGGGGTTATCTGCTAAAGTAGTATAAACCATGTCACATGCAGAAAGAAACACACCTTTTACCTTATCATTAGTAGACAATTCAATGATTTACTAAAACAATCCAATAATGTTTGCCATGTGGTGAGTAAGCTAGCTAGCAATTAACTAATGTGGAAAGATACTTTCAAATTTGAGCCTACAATGTTGTTTTGTGCAAACTTAGGGTTTGAAGTGAGCAACTCTTAGAAAATGAATGTTTAATACTAAGTTGAAATAAATGAACTAAAACTGTTTGACACTACAACCCACATGGTAACAGCTAGCTAACAAGAACTAGTAGAAGGGTTTACATACAAGTTATAAAAGGTGTACTTTTACTGCTTAAGTCTGCTACCTGCTGGTTAACTTTAAAAGCAAAAGCAATATCAAATATATTCTTTTCACTTCTCTTAAGGCTCAGAAATTGCAGCAGTGTTGGCAGTGGTGTGAGCCTTACAGGTCATGAAATGGGAGGATGCACGTTCCATGCAGAGTTGTACTTTTTCTAAATTCCTTTGTAATGGGATGCCATTACATGATAGGGGAGTGCTCTGCTGAATGCAGTGCAAGGTTACAATTCAAATAAATGGGCAATCTTTAAACCAAAACATGCCATTAGTTAGACCTAATATTCTTTATTTATGTGTATCTCCACCATTAACTTAACTTTCCTTGAAAAATGTTCCGCCCATTTGCAACCTTAGGTATTTGCCTCTCAGCACTTGATATATTGATCCCAATAATCCTTTGTTTTGATGTTTTGTATCAAAATGAAAACACTGCTTTTCCTCTCCATCAACTTCTTTCTCTCATAAAGATGATCATGAAGACTTGCTTGTTCAGAGCACAGGGGGAAAGCCTGTCAGTTGGAAATAAATGGTCAATGCGAAACGATATCGAGGTCATTCGATCAAATGGCTCAATAAACATGCACAGGGCTTTTTCCAATTAAAGCTGAAAACCGTAGAGCGTGTATCGGTGAACAAACAGTTAAACCTCATCAGAGTATTTGGCACCAAAATGACTTTGTTTGCTTCTACCATTCTACTCTTCTGCTATTCCCTCCTTCCCTCCTCCTCTTCTTCTTCTACAATAGTCACAGTCTGCCTGGTGCTCCGACTCCATGGCAACCTAGTCCAGTGCTCTACCGAAGATCTCGCTGACTGGGCTTTCAGGGCACACTATGCCTGTTTATCCAAAATCCGTGTTTGTAGGTGGTCTCCGGGAGAAATACTTAGAAATGTCTCCCTCTGAGTTTGTACACAAGTGGCTGCTCACAGAGACATAACTTATTTTGTGTCAGCACATATGCATGAGCTCACACATAACCCAGCAGCCCTGCAGTATGAATGGGTTTTGCATTTCATTGATGTTTTTATGATCAATGACCTTTTTGTAATCGTGGATCAAGTCAAAGACACCATTCATCTTTAGTTCATGATTATTTACTTAAGATCAAATGAAACGTTTGTTGTTGGAGTGCACTTCTCCTATCATGTTTGTTTGTTTTTTTCCATTTGCCTTCTCCAGTGGAGCTGTATGCAATTTTCATGGCTCATCTGTCTCAGTCAGGGGGTTGAATTCAGGTCAGGGCAGAAACGCTGAATAAACCTGTCATGTTTGCTCTATGGTGTGTCATGCTTGGAGCAAGTGCAACTACATCAGTCCATTCATAGCCAGTATCATATGACAGAGTGCTATCTTAGGACTAGTTAATATAGGCATTGTTGAAGAAAAGAAACATGATTTAACTACATCTTTTCCAATATTCCTGTGCATGATTTGAGTTTACATCAAACAGTTCTAACAATCAAACAGAGTCTAAGTTCTGCATTCTACGGTTATTTCCATACCCTGTGACCGGTGTATGATGGGGGTGTGCACAAGCCTTGCAGTACGCTTTTCTCCCCCTTCTCTACCACATTTTGCTTATATTATGCCTTTAAATAATAGGACGCTACCAAATTGACCATTCCCACAGACAAACGGGCACTGTGCATCTCGTTTCAACTCGGGTCCAACTTCCTGAATGGCTCATTGTGAGAGTGCCAAATGCCCCTAGTTTTTTTCTTTCAAAACCGACCCAGCAGTATCATAGGAAACACGGCAGTCATCCCAGCGATTACACACTTCCTAAAAACAAACAATTGATCTACAAATTACATACTGACTGAAAGCAGCAGGAGAATTAGATGATCTGACAGCACGGTGGTCTGATTGCTATTCAGAGTAGAGAAGAGTTAAATAAGCAGAGAGACACCAGAGGGGTGACATCATGAGCTGGAGAGGCTTCTCATTGTCTTCTAGCAGACTGGTCAACAAGCTGCTTTTGGCATCACACGGTTGACTAAAAAAAAAACAATTGTTTCCACTTGTCAAAAGTTCCTGGACATTGCACACATTCGTATGCACACTCATATTCCCAGAGACACACACACCGGGCTACAGTTGGTTGGGGGAAATCAGAGTAAGGGGACTGAATAAAGGTCAGCAAGCTATTGTCGACGAATACGGCAGTACAGTCCTGTCAAGTATATTTAACAGCTCTGCTCAAAGACACTTTTTATAGAACTATGGCCAAATCAATTCATATCAACTTCCACAACACCTTATCTAATGACCCATGTGGCCTTCTTCAGGCCTATAAGGAGAGTGTGAATGCACTTGTATCATCACATCGGGTTAAGATGCCCTTTGCAGCCCTAAGCCCCTATAGTCAGAGCAGATGTTATTCAGGTCTGTCTGTGCCATCTGTATAGAGCTCAGGGAGGTATCAGAGGGAGACAGGTGGCCTCTATTGATGGGTGCAATAGAGAGTGCATCAAATGTAGCTTAAGTGGAAATTAAGGGAATAAAAGGCGGATAAATGAGGGGAGAAACTTGTTTAGGGCTGCGGAAGAGTGAGAAAGTGTGGAAATTCAGCATAGCAGGTGGACAGAATGCCAAAACACCTAAGAAATATCACACTGTTTGTTTTAAAAGATAAATCTGACTGGCTGCAAGAAACTGAACATGATGTAACTGTAATGCAGAGGGAGAGGAGTGATGGTGAGAGAGAGTGCAGTGAGTTTCTCCGTGGTAGTAATTCCAGCCCACTAGCATTGGCAACAGACAGAGTGATCCTTTGACCTCAGCTTGAACGCATACCACCTTTGACAGGGATAACACAACATGAAAGCACTCATCCAGCCCAGCAGTGTGAACTGCTAACATTACCTCGGCACAAGCACATACACCCCAAAATAAATCTACATCCTTAGCATAACAACTGCAATGCTGTGACCACTAAAATATAGACTTTGGATATGTCTCATTGAAGTCAGATCTTGGCTTTTTAAAGTGGCTGAGCAGCTGTTGGTGACGGGGAAACACAGTGGAAAGACTGAAATCATTGCAGTCAGCAGCCAGCAGCCCAGAGGATCCCAGAAGGAAATAATTCACATTCAGGCTGGACTGGATGGAGTGCGGGTCTGACACAATTTCTAAAAATGGCTGTGAATGTCTGGTTAGAAACAACTAACTCTGGATTAGAATCATGTAGTGAAATTACTACAGTTTTTGCAAGTAATATTGATAATTATAGCCCTGAGAGAGCTTTACTTAAACATCCAGAGAAAATGTCTTAAATCCAGGTTATATAGAGTCCTGGGCTGCAACTAACACTTACTTTTATTATATTAGTTTTAGATTCATGGATAAATTGTTTGGTCTACAAAATGTTCCTTCCAGTGTCTGAAAGTCCAATGTGATGCCCTCAAATATCTTGTTTGTCATTCCAAAATTCAAAGATTTTCTATTCAACATCACGAAATCTCCAGAGCTTTAAAACAGCATTTTCTGCCATTTTTGCTTTTCAAATGAATATCAACATATCAATCAAAATAGTAAGCAATTATTTTTCATGTTGATCGACTCAATGGATTAGCTGGTCAGCTGTTGCAGCTCTAAATGACCATAGATACATGCATCAACTAGTCATGAAACACAAGCAATTAACCAGCCAGTAGGCTCATATCCCAGAGTCAAATCCCCATGGTCTACTTGACACATTTAACACCTCACCTAATTAAACTCACTCAACTTATCTGTCACTTTTCCTAACAGAGAAACAGCACCACAGTATAACTGATTTAACAGAATGTTGGTTCATACTTGGCTTGGCGTTGATGACCACCTTCTCCCCAGAATGAGGTGTTGTGTAGCGGGTATTTTCGGCCATGTCCTCGCTGGATCCAAACTCTAGCACGTCCACGAAGCTCAAAGGCACGCTCCACTTCAGGAGGAACTTCTGGTCGGGGGGGGCATTGCCACTGCTGCTCCCGCTGCCATCCTGACATCTGGACAGAGCCCAAAGAGATGGAGGTCATGAGACAAAGTGGCTCTGGTTCATATTGTTCTTAACATCTTGTTTGTGGACAAAAAATGTGTGAGGGGAAAATATGAGTGCAAGAAAAGATGGTGAAGAGGAGAAGAATAACATCAGTGAGGTAGAAAAGGCCAACAAAAGGTAAGATGAAATGTATTTCACTCAGAGGCAGATTTGTGCTGACCAACAATTACAGGACAGAAGCTGAAAAGCACAGAAATTGGAATCCACTAACTCTTTGCTAAATAACAAGGTATTTTGGGTCCGACCTATACACTCCATGAGGGGACAAGTCAACCTAAGGTTACACTTATTTACAACTACTTGCCATATTTCTCTATACTTGAGAGTGGATTTTAAGTCCGATTTGATGGTCAGAAAAATCCCGTTACATTAAATATTCCCAAACAAAAGGCAAAGTGAAAATAAACTATCCATTTCTAATTCTGTAAAATGGTTAAAAGATTATAGGACAATGCGACCGGAGAGCAGCAGAAGGTGCACATTAAGGTAGACAGTAAGAACAGGTCTGGTTTAGCGGTCACTCTTACCGGATATTGGGCGTGGCACACATGAGGACATCGTTGAGCAGGAAGAGGCGTCGCTCCTTCGTTTTGATGATTTCACCACGCTCATTGTAGACCGTCTCCACCATGTCGTCTGAGCGGATCAGGTAGCGGCTGCCGTTACTCAGAAGCTAAAGGATAATGATAAATATAGTTTAAGAAAATATCCTCTATACAAGCGACAACAAATGTTACCATGATTATTCATACATTTTGCAAACTTGGTGACTTCACATTATCAGTTTTGATATTTCTCTTTGTTTCAGTACCTAGCTAACAACACCAAGTTCAGTAAGGTCATGTAAACGATAAAGAGACTCAGAGTACTCCCATCTCATTTTATTGGTTCACACAAGAAAAAACAATCCTGATGCATTTTATTTATTTTTTATCTCTGGGTATTGTAACCTTCGTCTCATGTTATCACACCCTGCCTTCTCCCATGTTTCTCTCATATTCTACTGTACACTTTGGGTACCAGCCTACAGTATGTGGCAGCTATCAACAGTGGCTCTCAGCAATCAAAGGCCATGAGGAACAAAACTCCTCTGCCCCATGTAGATTGTCCTGTAAACACATGCTCCTACACTAAATAACAGAGTGGGTAGCTGCAGATAGACAAATAATTACACCTTTGGGGAAGCTGGTATTGTGTGTGAAGCCATGCGCTAAAAATACGCTATTCAGGCAAAAGAACACTTGAGAAAATGTGAAGCTCAATTGCCTGATGGCCGCCCACACTGGGACGGAGAGAAATGCCATACATATGCTAAAATAATCAAAGATCCGCCAAAAGTGTGCACACTGAGACCACTGAGCAATGAGTGAATCATCAACTCTAACCACTCAGGAATGAAGAACACAGAGCGACAGCATAATACTGTACATTGAAAACTGCATACGAATGTACGTCAGAGCGGACAGTGAGCAGACCTTGTTGAGGTAGCGCTCGTTCATGGCCTTTGCGATGTGACGGATCTCGCAGCGCTGGTCGGCCTCCCTCTTCTTCTCGTTGAGTTTCTCTGCCAGCGTCTCCAGTTCAGTCAGGGCCATCTGCAGGGGCAGCCGGTCAGCGTGACCCACTGGGGTGTTCTTCAACATGTCCTGATGAGGAAGCACAGAGGAGTCATGCTGCAGTCTTACACTGCATCCTAACTTGTATTCATGTTCCTGTGTTATTCACGTTTTATTGTCTTTGCTTTTTAATGTTTATAATGTGTTTCCGCTGCACTATTTCTTATTAATGTCTTTCATTGTTGTAAAGCACTTTGAATTGCCTTGTGGTGAAAGGTGCTATATAAATACACTTGCCTTGCCTTTAGTCAGTCATTGATTAGTAAGTCAGTAACTTTGACTGGCACACATACATGTAAATATATTTAACAATCCGGAATCAAATACTGTATGTATATATGTTCATTTAATTCATCTTAACAGTTACTTACCTGTATATCATTTGTATTGTATCTTTAATTGAGTGTGTCTTGTGTGAATCTGTACTGTCCTGTTTTTCAATCTCACTCTGTTGCTGCTTAAACTCCTGAATTTCCCCACGGGATTAATAAAGGTCCATCTTATCTTATCTTATATACACAAAGGACACATCTCAAAGTGCTTTATAACGGTTTCATTCATGAAAAGAAACCGTACTTTACAAGTCCTTAATCTAAATAATCTTGTCCAACAACATTGAAAGCATGCCCTCTCCCACACATCCATAAAATATCTATATAGCAAACATGACATGACCTAAGAACCTGTGTGGTCCAAACACGGCTGGAAAACATGTTCCTCCTTAAAGAAAGCAACCCAGTGTCCTACATTTTCTTATGTTTTCTAGAAGAGACAATCTAATAATCCAGGGCAGGATAAAAAACGATTTGAAGATTTCCACTCAGAGCATTTCCCTCACCTCCCCTTAAGGGCTTTGATTAACGTGTATGGAGCTCCCTCTGCTGTCAAATAATATACTACACTGTCTTCTGTATACTGCAGTTTGGAGCTTGAAAGTAGGACACCGCCTTAATTACGCATGCCAATATTATTTCCATGGCCTAGGGGGAAGTTCAGTCAATATTTGTGAACATGAGCTTCTCTCTCTCCACAAACCACAGAAGTAAGTCTCACAGTTGTGATGTAGACAATGAATAGGAAACTGATGTTGTGGACCCACAGGATGTTTGTATATATTTTCTATTGTAGTGTTTTCAGGTTGCGAAACAGAAATCTAGCGAGAGTCATTGATGACATTTCAATACATTGACTATGAAGCATTTCCAGAATGAATACTTAGTTTTAACTATACATGAGTTTTAGCCCTCTAGTTTTTGGAGTTAGGAAGACAGCTGTTCATGTTTTATAATATGTTTCGACACTATTAGACCATGAGAGAACATTTATAAATGTTGACAGAAGGTTAAGTTCCTCTATAGAATAAGAATTCATCATACCTGAAGGAGCAGAATGAACTGTGGGAATCTCTGGATAGGTTTCATCATCAGGCCGTACAAAGTCATCCGGTCACTGCTGGTCTCCTGGCGATGCTGTAGGGGGGAAGATGGGTTAGAATGTGTAGTGAGGAACCGGTCTAAAGGATGCATAAGGCTAATATGCACGCTAGCAAGGTACAGATATGTATTTACCAGGCAAATTCATGTACATACGAGTAGATTTATTTTAGATGTATTTAAATGAGGAAACAATTCGATATGTCCTGCATTCAATGTTATCGGCTGCAAGATTTTCAGTTTATGAATGGTTTTAACGGTGTCTGTAAAGCTTTTCTGGTAAAATGCACAATACAATTATTTTAAAAGATGTGTATGCAAATACAATGATATGTAACAATATTTATGGCACTGTTTCCACACTGCAATGTGGTTAAAGTTTTCAATTTGACACATTCATGCGTTTTTCTCAAACCTTGAGGAATTCCAGGAAGCCAGGTTTGGCGGCACACGTCTTCCTAACCACTGCCATTGCAGTGCTGAAGTTGTTCACATACTCACAGTAGGCATCCAGCACCATGGACTTTGAGAACTGTTGAGAAACAAAACGTTTCAACACATTGCAGGAACATACTGATACTGTACCAGTTTTGAAAGACAAATGATATCATGCTGCCGATAGTGGCATCTGATCAGAACAGCAAATATTCCTAAAATAGGTTTCTTTTGTACAAGTTCTATTGTTTAATTTGGCATGACAGTAGTGAGGTGATGAGGGCACAGAGCAGACTTCATATAGGTCAAACTGCCCCTCGGATGTCATGCCAGGGTTCAATTCCCGTACAAAAACAAGGAAGTAAAGTGAAAATCTTGGATAACAAGTTTAAGAATAACAGCCCCGGCTTACCGATGCAACAAAGACATCCCCAATCATTTCCAGGCTGTCCCACTCCGCCACTCGGCTCGCCAGGGCAATTTGGAACAGGAAGTGGGACTGCAGGATCTCACGCACACGATAAAAGGTCATCTTCAGTTTCCTGTCGCTCAGCAGCCTCGGCTCAAGATCTGACAGGGGCTTCTCGTATTGCTGATAAAGCAGACAAGATGAAATGTAAAAACAAAACGTATCAAAGTAGATTTGACATCACTGCAGCCACACGTGCATACCTCTAGTATCCTTTTCAGTGCTTCAAGATAGTTCTTCTCACTCTCCAATATCGATTCCAGTATACATCTTCTCACCAGCTGTAAAGAGAAAAGACCAAACCATGGCATCGTTTTATTTAAAAGCAAATTCACACAGAAAGGAGTTACACAAATTGCGATGAAAGATGAAAGGCATGTTCGTTACCTGTTGCTGTGACAGACCCTCGGGGGCTGGACTCAGCACTGGCTCAACATTGAAGCAGTCCACCTCGATGAAGAGTTCAGACTCTTCATCCTCAAAACAGGTCGACTTCCTCTCTGAGAGATTAGGAAAACAGAGCAAGTAAAGGACCTAAAATATATGATTGCAAATGCTGTAGTGAAAAAAGAAAAGCCAAATGTTGATGTCCTTTACTCATACTGAAATGTACACTGATTCAACACAACGAGAGAAGAGCCTAACTGGGAATGAAACAGCAATAGAGTTTTCTGTTTAAGAAGGAAAATGATATACCGTGACAGAATGACTTGGTTTTGATGAAAGAGCGTCCCTTCTTCACTGCAGCTTTGGTTTTCTCCAGTCCATCTTTGGTCCCTTCTTTAGCTGCCTTCACCAGCTTTTGCATCTTTGATGAGACAAAATACACTGTTATATATATATATGGCAGTAATGTAGTCCACAATTAATCATTTCAAACCAAGGTTAAGTTTAGTTTACTGTGTCTAAACTTATGGTCTAAACAAAGCTATTGAACTGAAATGAGCTACACATGAAGGGAGCAGTGTTAAAGTAGGGATGAAGATAAAAGGCAGATGGTTTAATACATGTTAACAGGAGAGTGAAGTTGAGGATGATACAGTAAATGGGACATCATCTAAAAGTAACAAAGTGGCCAAATACATAATTCATGTTCTTGTTCTACATTGTAAGAGATACTGTTAATGATACTGTTACAACAGTTTTCCGCTACTTTGAATAACAATCATACATCTCAATATCTGTTTTCTAAGTGTACTTTCACCAACTGTTACATTAAAATATATACTGAGCTTTACAACAACCACCAATGCATAAACATATAACAAGATAAGTGCCTCTGACAGGGAAGCACATGATCTGTGTGCAAACCCTTCACCATTACCACCACCACAAGTCATTCAGGTGAGAGCAGGCTGAAGGTACCGAGTCACTGAGAGGGGTTAGCTAGACTGAGAGTTAAGGGTTGGGACTACTTTGTCTAGCGGAGGCGGGCGAGGAGAGCCTCAGGTAGTTTACCTTCTGCTCGTGTTTCTGTTTTAACTGCTGCAGCTCTACCGTTCCCACTGTATTTGCCATTAGATCTTTCATCTTTTTCTCATAGTGATCTTTCAAACGAGTCAGATCTTCAGAGAGCTAAACAAAAGCAAAGCAGGCATTATGGTTATGGTTTTGGAATGACCTTGCACCCTCCACAGCAAATTCACTTTCATTTTTGATATACGATGGTTTCTGCTGACCATACTCCTCCAGAAAATGTACTTTTCCAGAGGGCATGTTCATGGGATCTGTTTTTCTTTCATATATTGGGTCCACTGAAAAATAGCAAAATACAGTTTCACAAAATACTGGAAAATATATATATTAAATATCAGCTGGAAACAGTGTTTTAAACCTCTTATCTAAAAGCTAGCTTTACTAGCTAGCTAGATATAGTTGACAAAGAAATCTGCCAATGACAGTTTTAATTCTAGCCAACAAAATCACAGATCAGGAAACATAATATTGAAATATAATAATGTGTAAGTGTCAGTTTCTGAGAGTTGTCACAACCACATTATCACAAAAAATGTTCCCCCCCCCCTTCATTTTGACAAACTCAACAATGGTTGTTTCATGTGTAAGTACATATATTTATGAACACCAAACGACATTTAATTACATCTCCTTAACTTATGACCATGTTAACACAGTTGAATTATTATTTCAATTCAATTAATTATTATTAATTCCACAAAACATTACAGTACAGCCAGCTGAAGCTAACCCAGATTGATCTCTTTCAGGGTCAAAGGAACTGTGGATTCCATAACAAATGCACAAATGAACTGTTTAATCCTAAAAAGAATTAAGCACAACTTCATGTAAACAAACACATCACATCTACATCCTAGTGGATAATGTAAAGGGTGTAAAAGAAGACAAGCCCTCACTAATTACAAATAAATTACAAATAAAATATACCCTTCTTCATCAACTCATGCCCACCTTTAGATATACAGTGATACTGAGACTGAGTTGTTTGTTGGTTGTAATGTTGACAGAGACATTGGAGGGTGATTGTTATACTAACATGGGTTTTCTTCTGGGGGGGCTTTCCTCTCATGAAGGCGTGGGGCAGGCCGTTCTCAGCGCGACCTTCCCCGTCGCTGGCCTCGTCGTAGCTTTCAAACTCACTGGAGCTCCAGCCGTTGTCCAGGGAGCTGCCGCAGCCTCCCTCCTCCCCAAACTCCACGTCATCATAGATCATCTCATCTGGATCTGTATGAAAAACAGGAGAGAAAAAGAACATTCGACCCAAAATACTAAAGGACACAGCCTACAGAACCATTGATCTGTTTCCATCTAAGCTCAGTAGCATAAGTGTTATGATGTATATGTAGATAAACACAATTAAATGTCATGCACTCAAATACAATAGCCTTAAAATTATTACTGTTTTTGTAAAGCTTATAATGCTGATAGCAGGTTAAAGGTGTGATAAATGTACGTGGTCATTTTCAGAGCAATAGCCTTTTCCCAATGTACAACATTGTATTATACCATAATGGGTTCCTGTAGTAGTAAAAAAGCTAATTTAATCAAAGTATTGACTGGTGATTTGATTGGATTGCAACTTCAATTCATATTTCAAGTATTCAAGTTTCAAGACAGAATACATTTGGAAGTGAAAGCAAACGATGCTGACAGACTTAAACCTACAGACAGGAAGTAAAAAACTGAATTTGTGAAATGTTTTTGAAAGAGTTTCACAAACCTGTGTTGGAGTCAGAGTTCTCTCTGGGCACGTCATCGTAAATCACCTCATCTGGATCTAAAGCATACATAAAACAACTAACTCATGATTTCCCACATCACAAGAATGTTCACACAACGAGCAGGATGCAATGTAGAAAGGATCTAAAAGAAAAGCACACACACAAACACACACACACACACAGGTCTGCTTCCTCAAAAGAACAGGGAAGGAAGTGTCTGGGAATTCAATGGTGTCAAAAGAAGAAGGGAAAAAAAAGCTAACAGCACCATGAAGGCATGCACTGAGTGGAGAAGCAAGTAGAGAACTGAAAGCAGTGTTCTATTAATGGATATGATGCATGTATCTGTGCTCGATGTACGAATGTTGTGGATTGTTCCTTACTTTCCATCCATGCAGTGTTGGCAGGATCAGAAGCCCATTTAGCCAAAGCATCCTCTTCTCTGATAGGTGGATGTTCCTCACTGAAAACACTTGAGAAAATATTGAAATAAACAAAAGTACAACTCGACAAACGATTGTATAGTTTGAAGAGAGAAGTAGCTCTTGCATTATACTAAACATAAAATACAAATGCAACACATTTCAACAAGGGCAAATAGACATTGAGTTCAATAGGATTAATACAAATGAAGGAATAAGTCTTACACAAAAAAAGAACGACATTAACTATAAGACTTATTAAATATATATGTTTACTGCTGTCATTTAAAAATGTTGACAGCGGCTGCATTTCTTATAACTCTACAAAGCTGTGTTTACTATTATCTTGGGCGTATCGTTTTGATATAATGCATATTTATTGATAGTTAGTGAGTATAGCTGAACATAAGGAACATACTTTGCATACCTCTCTAATGATAAAGGATTTAGCGTTAAATGTAATAAATCCCTGCTGTAGAACTGCTGTATACATACCCGTCAACAGCGGTGCTGCCAGTCCCAACCACAGTGACTGAAGAAGGAAAGACAGAACACTTTACAAAAAATAACACTTGCACAACACATTACATTTTCTTGCATGTAACCCTGTTTTTAGGTCCTTTGGTTGTCTAATCCAAGAACAAAAGCTGCAATGTAAATTAGAGTATGAACGTAAGTATTATTATTTAATTTAAATGTTTCTGCACGTCCTCCTGTACGTCATGGAACCCCAAATGCTCTCCCAATACCAAGATGTAGAAAGTCCCCGACCAGACCTAAAATGTGGAGTGTGGACTGCTACTTGGAGAGGTCCCAGTTCACCTCCTGCCCTGCCGTGGTGCCCTTGAGCAAGGCACCGGACATCCCCCTTCCCCCCTCACTCCCATTGCTCCCCGGGCGCTGTACAATAGCTGCCCACTGCTCCTAGTGCTAGACTCCTGGTACTAGGATGGGTTAAAAGCAGAGGCCAAATTTCACTGTGTGTGCTGTGTGCTCTGCATGTGTGACCATTAAAGAGGGGTTTCATCCCTCCCAATTCTTCTTCTTCTTCTTCTTCTTCTCAGTTGTAACTGTGTTCATATGCCACTAGGGGTCACTGATGATTCCAAATATCCATTATTGCCCCGGATTTAGTTTAGATGACATTTCCCTATACATGTGCCTCCATACATTTAACCTGACATGTACCCACGTCTAAACTCTAGGATAAGATACATCCGATGTACTTTCTCAGAACATGTCATGGCAACTGTGATAACTTTGGCAGAATGTCCTTGCTTTGTATATCATGTCCAGGACTCGCAGATTGCTTTGGTCATAGAGTTTTAAACATTTATGATATTAAAAACTATTTTACTAAAATAAAGTAGACTGAGTATTTCATCCTGTAGTGACCTTGGTGAGATAATGACAGTGTAATCAGACTCCTCAGCATGCCAAGCCTCAGGCTTGGAGAAGCTACTGCTAGTTTTTATGGAAACCGGAAAAATCCTCGCAGCCAAACCCAGATCTTTGGGGAGGGCTAAATTTAGTCCCTACTGTGTGGCAAGGCTTTAGGAAAAACAAAGGCAGAGGACAGAAGTAGTTGAGACAGCGTTTAGGTGTCATAGCTCTGTAAATCTAGGTCTTAGTGCAGTGAGAGGAATCATTTCACTCAAACTAACAAGAATAAACAGGGCCTTAATGTCCACAGAATTGTCTGTTGTTGTGGATGTTTAAAATAAACAAACATTTGTCATCATCTGATCCTCCTTTCTTAATTAGCTATTATTATTATAATTATTAAAGGAACAGTTCCCCACAAAAAAAACGAAATTACATATTTTTCCTCTTACATGTAATACTAATAATCAGTCTACATTGTTGTGGTGTGAGTCACAGAGTGTTAGAGATATCGGCCATGGAGAGGTCTGCCTTCCCACCAATGTAATGGATCTTGATGGAACTCTTTTTGTAGTACGTATAGTGTACATGTTTATTTGCTTTGCCTTGACCACTTCAAGCCATCGAGTTCCATTATATTTGAAAGAAGCAACTTCTCTACAGCCAAAAGGTAAAATAAGTATTTCAATATTTGGGGTGCACTGTGCCTTTAAGTACTTTCAGAATGTCCCTGCTGCAGGCTCTACTTTACCATCCTCGTCCGTGGAGAGGTGTCTGATGATGACGGGTGTGGTGTAAGCCGGTGTGATGAGCGGGACTCCTGAGGGCGTAGCATAGCCGCAGGGCACTGGGACTGAGTATCCTGAAGTGATGCCAGCGGGGGTGCTGAGGATATCCTGGACGTCCCCTTCCCGCTCCTTGGGCTCCACTGGAGGGGAGGGTCCCTGCTGCGGCTCAAGCTGCTGCAGTTGGAAAGGGTTGATGTCAATCACAGAGTAGGGGTTGACTTTGCCCTTAGAGGAGGACTCGGGGACGCCCTCTGGAGGGTGAGCGTCATCGAGGGACGCGTCCGGGCCTTCGCTGCCTGGTGAGGACAGGAGATACATCAGAAGATACATTAGATTTCTAGAAAATGTCGGGCACATTGATATTTAAAGAAATTGCAAAACAGTAACGTAACGTTTGGATGTAAAAAGAGTAATTTTCTATAAGCATCTCTAGAAAACCTACAACAAATTATTTTCATTATTGATTATTTTTACTGTCATTCTTTTTCTGAACTTCTGAGGTAAACTATATATATAGTACTACAAACGCAACATTATCCTCTTCAAAAAAAGGAGGGATTAGCATTGTATTATGTTTTGCATTTATTATTTCCATATATGCATTGCTGTCATTTAATCTACTCACATACAATACTTCTGCTGATTTTCTAGTGAATTTTGGTCATTTCAATACCTATACAACTTAACCGAACACATTTGTTCAAAGCTTACAGTCATTGGCATTCACACATATCCAAAATGGGCATATTTTAAGCAGCTCTTCTGGTTAAGGTACACAGTTAGGTTGGAATAAGAGATGACGATGAGCGGTCAATTTGAGAGGCCAGAGAATCCAGGGATATGTTATTAATAGCCAATGGAGGATTTCATGTTGATAGAAATACAAAGGAATGAATGTGTATGTGTATGTTCAATTATGCATGCTTTACAAGGATAAAAGCAGAACAATAATTGCAGTGTTGACATCCCATGAGAGAGAGTAGAGCCTGGCCTTGCCTGCTGCTGCTGCTGTCATGGCTTCAGTGATAAAAGCCAGACAACCTCCAGCAGCAGGCAGCCAGAGATACAAGGTGTCAAGAGAGAGACAGATTGCACCACTTTAACCTGAGCTGAAGGAGCTGGGTAACAGCCAGATAATGTACACAAACATGAAGGGGGGAATGTGTGGAATTTTTGATTGCGGCTGGAAAATATCAGAGTTGTTCTTTGCAGTCATCTCATTTACATACACAACTGTATTAGAGGAAGGGCTAATACTCTCCCTCCGCTGGAGCCAACAATAACATGTCAACACTTTTGGGATGCAAACCTGTTCTTCCAGGGTCTGTCTCTGCCTCATCATCAAGAGGAGGGGGTGGAGGGGGTGGTAAATCTGTCTCCATGTCATCAGCCCCCTCTGCAGCAGATGTCCACTCTCCTCCTGCTGCTGCTCCACCACCTGCTGTGGAGGATGCGCTTGCAGCAACTGGTTCCTCTGCTGATGATGGAGCTGTGTGGGGTGTGATGGAGGGTGCTGGGGGGTCTGGGCTGGGTAGATGCCCCTCAGGGGGACTAACCACTGTCATGTCCTGATTCTGATCAGTACTGCTGGGGGGTAGAGGAGCTGGAGGTGGAGGGGGTGGGCGGTCAGCCTCAGGGACATCATCACCACTGTCATCAAAGTCGAAGGCTTCCCCCTCCTCTTCATCAGCAAGATGGGGAACATTGTCTGCCAACACTGAAAACAGAGATAAGGTTCAGACATGTTCTGGGCCATATAACAGAAATGTCCTTTTTATGAAAAAAAAAAAGTGTGTAGGATCTACTTTCAAAGAATATTAAAATAATATTTATTGGGGATGCACCAATGTATCAGTAGTAACATTGTTTTACTACACAAGACAATCAGGATGTGTTTTTTCTATGTTAAATACATATATTTATAAAGATTTAATATTTTTTGGATGTTTTGTAACCTATTTACTCTAAATAAATGTAGCATTTTATTAACAGAAAAGTTGGACACAACTCTTTTTACTTGATTTGAGTACTTTGCCAAAATAAATAGCAGTTTTCTTTTATTGAAAACTCTTTATTTTTAATAGCTTAAATATCATGTGACCTAATCACTCCAAATCAATAAAGCATAGTTTTACTAGACTAGAAAAGTGGGACTATTTTATGTCAACATTTATAAAAATTAAGCAGTTTTTTCTTAGAAATTCAGATTTATTTTCAGTAACTTCCTTTTCATTCGACACATTGACTCACAGTCCATGTCAGAATAATATTCATAAGATATTAGAGGAATAACAAGCAGAGCTCTGTGATGACAGGCAGGGTCATCACACCACACTGTATGCTTTTGAGGATTTGGCTGAACATACGTAGGATTTAACTCTTTAAACTGTGGGTGGCAGTTTTAGTCCTTGGGCTGTTAAAGTTAAAAGACTGAGCCACAAGCAGACTTATAATTAAGGGTGGGGTCTACTACAGCAGTATGTTTTCTTACAGACATTTTTACAGTTGGGATTTGCTCCGATGTAGCACATCGGCTGTTTTACTTTAAAAGCAAAACCAACCAGGGCAGAGCTCTGAGACACAGTCAGGGTTCAAAGGCGTCACACTCGCATCAGAGCCTTCACTTGGCAGCAGACAGGAAGGGAACAACAAATGTCTTTCCAGTTTCCAGGCTGCAATTAGGCCGGCAGGAAAAGGGAGCTGTTACTCCCTTCAGTGAGGAGCACAGCCTGAGTATTGCATTATATATAGTGTGGGCCTGAGTAAGTGAAGCTCAATCAAGAGAAAGTAAACAGATGTGGAATGTAAAACCTGGCATCATGCTTTGGCCCTTAGAGCTGAATGTGTAAGGAAGGTGTTTTAGGTTGAATTCAGTAGTGCAGTGAAAGAAAAAAAGGAGAGAAAACATTCAAAAAATGCACCCTGAATTGAATACTGTGGAAAATATTAGGAAATCCTTTAAACAGGGTTCACAGAGGGATACACTGAGTCACAACCACAGAGCCTGAAAGGAAGTAACTCCCATTCTCACCACTTAACCCTTCAGCTCTTCTCAAGGGTTGAAGATTTTCCTATATAAGTCACATTTTAGGAGTTCTCCTAATCGTCCTATGATAATATCTTTGTCACAGTTTTGATGGCTAGCATACCACAGATTCTTTGTGAGCAATTTCATCAGTAGTCACAGCTTGATTGTATTCAACTCACAGTCCAAAGCCTGACTCTAATATCCTGACTGTGTTCCCAAAGAAAACAGAAAATTCCAATTTAATGGTCGACGAGTACACAATGTCACCATGAGCATTCTATGCCGAAATAGCTCAGTTGGGAGAGCGTTAGACTGAAGATCTAAAGGTCCCTGGTTCGATCCCTGGTTTCGGCATTTTGACCTCTTCCCTTCCCCCCCCCCCCCAGGCCATTTTGAGATGCAATGTAAACCCTTCATAAAGCGTTCCTGTAACACCTGGGATCCACCTTTTCCTCTTGACATGTTTAGCTTTCCCTAGATTTCCAATGTCCTTCCCGTCAGACCTGGTCAACTGAAGCATTTATGTGACCACAAAGATCTACTGATAAGGTTATTCATTACACACACTTACCATCAAAAGAACCACGTTAGCTGTTAGAACATGCTGTGTTTAGCCTGCAGGCCTGAGCGGTCCAATGAAAGTGACCAGGTAAATCTTCTCACACTCCCTGCAGCAAACCTAGTAGCTTTGAAGTCCCTCACAGCAATGTATACAGCTCTAAATCACCAGTAGCATTCCCTCAGGCTTTGACAGGTATTTGTTCCACCCTGTAGTCAGTGTGTGAAGGAGCGGTCTGTGACTAATGGTCCGGGTCAACTTTGTCGGACCCCATGTCCATCTGCAACCGTGACTAACGTTGCACAAAAAAAGAGAGGTGCCAAGAGCAAACCTGGAAACAGAGATGCTATCTGTCGTTTTCCATCTGTGAAATAATGAATGGTTTGGGAGACAGAGATAAGGCACAGCTAGCTGGCTTAGAATCAGCGGTACTCCAGAACGGCGCCATGTGTATTCATATCTGCCAATAATTGCTACAATTTGCACTCAGATCCTCTCTGTGTGGTGTCAATGTGAAACACTTGACTTTGCCAAAAGAGAACAGGACCTGATTTGATTGGATTTGGCCAGATGACCAGTCACGACTAGCCATCCAATAGTACATCTGCAACTATGCGTATGAGTCCATTGATAGTTGGCAGTCAGGGTACGCATGCCTGCAGCTTAATTATGGAGAGTGCTGGATGTCGACCTTACTCTACAGTGCAAGCCCACATACTGTATATGTATATATTCTGATTTCATTCTAAAATCCCTTAACTGGAAATAAAAAAGTATCTTTACTCTTTACTAAAATGCAAGATCATGGAGAGATATACATGCTTGCACACTGGCATGCATTCCCTTGCTGAGGTGCCCATTGTCAATTCATAATTACAATATGGATTCTGTTCTGTGGTCCTATCTCCACTCCGCCACATAATGGTCTGCTCAAATGAGTCACCGGGTTACGATCTGCTCCAGCATCGCCCTGGCAACAAAGCAAGTGACTGGCCAGCTGGAGACGAAGCATTTCTCGGTCCTGTGTCTATCCCCCGAGGCTGTGTGTGTGTGTGTGTATTCAGTTTAATACTGAGGCACATTGTCTGGTATTCACAGCAGCGCAGCACATTTGACCCTTCTTACTGAATGCTGCTCTGCCCACACACTCCCCAGCCGTGAAGAAGAGGAGGAGAGGAATCTGTGTGGTTTACTCTTTATACTGTCCAGCTTCAGGAAGTCATGTGACCACAAGATGACCTACAGAAGCTAGCAGGTCACACTAAAGTCTAACACTGTAATCTTAAGTAAACCACAAACATACGTGACAAGAGTAAACACAAAGTAGTTTGGAGTTTGGCAATACAGCATCTCACAATTTTCTATCAGCTCTTTGTGGATTTTTTTAAGACTCAACTGTGAACTGCTTGAAGTTTTACAAAAACCTGCAACTAACGATTTATTGCAATGTTGATCCGAATATCTGCCATTTAATTTCTTGTTTAAAGGAAATGTCATGTCTTCAGATTTCTCGCTTTTTTAAACCAGCCCAAATATATTCAGCTTGCTATCACATATTTTCCCTACAATATTTGAGGCTGAATGTACAGAGTTTTCCTCTGTTGTTGGAACAATTGGATTTACATTTGACACAGTCTTTACGTCTTATCTAACAATCCAAACCTTTGGCCAGTACGGGTATCGAACCCGCGACCTTGGCGTTATTAGCACCACGCTCTAACCAACTGAGCTAACCGGCCTACATTAACATACATTTTCCAATCATGTTTCCAGAGTGGCTTCGCAAAGTGCATGGCATGTGTGAGTGACAAAGCTTTGTTGACTTTACTTTCAGGAGGTGGGGGAGGAAAGTCTTCCACGTCCATGCTTGCTGCTCTTCTCCTGCACAAGCTCTTCAGACAGCAGCATTAAGCGGATCAACTACGCCAACACAAGTTCCTAAAGAAGAAAGACAAACCACATTAAATGAGAAAATGGAAGGGGTGATTCACACAGTATTTCAAATTAATTTAGTGAGGCACTTCTAGCTCTGCATTTGTAAGCCAGTCAGTCTCTAAAAGCCCAACAGCACTTGCTATTCAGTGTTATTCAATCACAGCAGCACTTTGTCAGCAGAGGCTGTGATGCGGTCACGGTCTGGTACCTTTTGTGTCAACATCAGAATCTGACCCAAAGCTAATTCAGACAAATGACTGAGTGAATGAAAACAAAAGAAGCTCTTATAGTGCTCCTCAGGGACTGCTGAAACTACCACGTGTTGAAGTGTACACAACATTCACACATGCTAATTGTGGGTGTGTGTCATGTGTCAAGGGTAAAAACAGGCTTGTAATCGATAAGACAATGTGGAGACATGTGGAGAAACTAGTGTGAAAAGAAGGGTGGTGGGGGGGTGTGTTTGTAGCCAAAACAAAACTATTCAAATCAGGCTCATGGTCAGATTTTAATTCAAGTTTACTGTGATGATTCAACAGTGAACATGAATCCCCTCATTTGTTTACTCAGCTTTGTCCTTCAAAACAAGCACATTTACTAAACCTTAAATCAAATGGTTTCCCATTCCCATTTGCAGACTATATTTAAATAAGATCCAGTACATCCATGCTTGGTTTATCAAAGGTTACATGAAGCCAAAGGCTGTCAAATGTATTTTGATGTAACCCAAAACCCAGGAACGTGATTCATGTCTGTGGGTTTCCCTAAACTCTTTTCCTAGAAACTTGACTCTTGAAATTACTTCAATGATTTAAAAATAAATCTAGTATACTATATGGGCAGAAATGGCATTTTGTTACAATGTATTATATTACCATTGCTGCTACTTCAACACGTTTATATACCTTTTTTTTTACCATTTATTAATGTGCACTTAGATATTTTTATAATATGTTAGTGCACTATTTTTGCCTTTCATTTGCACTGTGCAGTTACAATCTTAATTTCCCCACTGTCTGACAAACAGAGCATGTCTGACTCTGATTTAAGGTGCAGTGGTCATTTGCGTTTTTGACGTGCTACTAACCACACATGTTGGCCCAGGGAAATGTCATTAGCATGCTGAGGCAGGAGAGACCTTTGGACTTGCATGGGCATGAGAGACAACGCATTCCTCAGCAGCACTGCCTTTGTTTGCAGATGTACAATTTGTATCCAGAGGTGACAGTTTCTGTCAAATGCCTCCTATGGGAGAAAAAAAAGTACTATTTCCAGACTACTTCAGCTTGCTAGTATCCACAAGAGCAGATGACATTGTCATGACATCATGTTAACATATAAAGCAGCCATTGTTGTGGTATGTATCTCAGCCTCATATTCCATCTATGCAACCTCTATAGTTGAATTTAAAACCACAACACAAGTTCCCAACAGTTAACTTCTGACTAAGACAAACCTACACCACAGCATTGCAGCAAACAAGATCCAAAGGATAACTCATTCTGAGTCTCAAAGCTCGTTTTGTCTACAAATAATGTGAAATCCTCTGCTTCTTTGTCCTCCACCCAATTCGCAGGGCACGGTGCCAGAGCAGTGGATGTGAGCACACAGGGCCAGTGTCTGCTGAATACAGTGCGGCTGACAGATAGTGCTAGCGCTAACCAAGGCAGGTAGCGTATGCATAGCCTGAGGAGAAATATCCTACGCAAGAGAAAGGCATCCAGAGAAAAGGACAGGAGGAGCGGCTACAATGTCAAATAGTACGACTGACGGTGAGGCCCTCTTTAGGTTACACAGCACAGCCTGAGAAACTGATGTATGAGTGTGAAGCACGTAGTTACATGACACTCGTGGTTTTAAATTGACTGACACATTTTGAAGTGACAACGTACAGCCAAGCACTGAGAGGAGCTTTGAGGGGTGACTCATCTTTCTCGAAACATGCGTAGTTCAACGTTTAGGAGAGCAGGAAGAAGAAGGAAGGGAGCGGAGAAGAAGTAAAATGTTCAGGTGTTAAAAACGAGAGAGGTCCCTGTGTTTGGTAAAGAAAAAATACTTATCTTTTTCAATTTACGTCCCTTCTTGTTTGTAATTTGCATTCAGACAAGATGATTTACCTTATCTTAACATCTTCCAGAAGAGCTGGCTCCGTGTTTTATTGCCTTGTCTTATTAAGTAGAGAAGCAAAGCCATTTTTTCTCACATGTCTGACAAGCCTGCAGAATCCTCAAATCATCCTCTCTCCTATAATTACTATGCTTTTATTTATTTTTTTAACCTGCCTCTTGAAGAAAATGCACCTGTCCACAAATGACATCCTGCATGGCCTGCGGTGTGGTGTGACTTCAAATGTGAACCACCTGGCTCACCCCACGGGATGACCAACTGAACTACATCTGTGGCCTCTGTCAGCACCTTGTCTATACTGCCATCACTGTCTCAGTAACACACTGAAGAAACCAGCAGGTGACGAGGTGTCAAGAATCTTAAAGAGAGGGATATTCACCATGATTTATTTATTCATCTGCTTTTCCGCCCAGTGTTAAATCCGATTGGTACTGTATCATGATTTAATCTAACAGCAATGATTGAGGATAAAGCGGAAGACAGCGGAGAGGAAAAGTCAGCCGTATGGTTGATGACAGACTCAGCTGAGCATGTCATTACACGCTGGGACGCGTAAATTGTGCTCTGCAGACAGGAAAACAGTCCCTTTGCCTGCTGCTGTAATGCAGACAATTTGCTACTGACAATGACATGGATCAAAAACATGTAGAGGATATTTAACATACATATTGTGAACATAATCCATAGTGGTACGGATAAATTGCGACCTATGTTTACTTAAAGGAGCCTTCTAGCTGTCTATAGGATGGCACTCTAACTCTCAATTGCAATGTTCTTGCAAAGTTCCCCATTTCTAAACAATACTACTTTACATCAACCCTAAACTACTAGATGTGTCATCTCAGACTGCAAACACTAAACTAGTTTATTCGATTTGAAATGTTTTCTCAATTCATGGATGGGCTGCGAAAGCACACGGGTCCTCTACAGTAACGGCACGTTTGACTCAATTCATAATAAAGCACAAACAATAATAAAAAGTAAAAAACAAGGGGTGATAGAACTGGCAGACTGGCGCAACAGCATATGGTAACTCGTGAGAAAAACATTTATTTCATGTTTTTAACAGATTTTAAAAACATAACATTATACATCACTTATGGCGACCAGAGATCATTTAAAAATGTGATGCGTGCGCCTCTGACTCCCTGGTTTTGTGAGGGATTTAGGTTCTTCTGGGGCACACTTATGACATTCCAAGCACGCGCTGAAAGTCATAAACAAAAGCCTGGAGGAGAAGCTGGGAGGAGAGACTTCAGTCTGCTGGGGGGGGGTCTGTCTTTAGCTTCGCAGCTCTTTGGCTAGAGGTTTTATTGAGCGCTGTGTCCCAATCTTCTCCTTCTGCCAGGATTACAGTCATCAGGCTTCGACTGACAACAGCACATCCCAGCCCTACAAAGAGCGGACGGACAGGCTTAAAAAAGTCATGTAAACATATTTGAGGGGGGTTCATGGGAAGGCAGGAGGACACTGCAGCCTTAAGGAAGGAAACAATGTACCTCTTTCTTGCCCTTTGAGACAGTATTTAAGAGTTGCAAAGACATTGTACTGAAGGTTTGTGGAGCTTATGTGTCATATAAGAGTTGAATTATTACATATTGCTTGTGTGCTGTAGCTACATTGCTACAAGCCACCTAGCGTTACTTGTTCCAACACACCACACTTCACCACCCACCATGACCTCAAAAAGGGTGGGGAAGCCTACAAGAGGCACCAGATCGCTGACTTTAGCGAGAAATCTTGACTCCTGGCAAACTGTTGATTAGATAAGCATGGGACAAATTGAAAGCATCTTTATAGACACTAGTATCATAATTAATTGTAGCTGAGCAAGCATAATTATACTTTATTTTAGTTTCTATAGTCCCTCACTCAGTGTAAATAAACCTGCCGTCAACACACTGAACACAAGCAGAAGATGAGTCTGGTATTCCCCATCAGCTACCAGTTATAATGATAGGTCTAATGGAAGTGGATTGTGGGGATTACACATCAATAATGAGGCCTGCGGCTGCAGTATTTCCATTTGATGTCAGAGGTGTGAAATATTGGACATGTGAGTAGATTCAGCTACCAGCTCTGGAGCCATGTTTCTAAACAGAATGTGGTCAGTGCGATGACACCACAGTAAGTCATTACTGCATGCCGTCATTAATAACATAACAGTATGTATTGCAAAGATGATATATATATCATAGCAACCTATTATAACACGTTCCACATAATGGATTTTTTAAATTAGAATTGACTTGGAGGCAGTTATTGTTAACAGTAAAGACAGAATACTGACAAGGCCTTCCCAGCTCAGACAAAATGAAACACTGTGTCTGTATAATATTTAAAACATGGTGTCCATTTGAAAACTGCCACATAGCTGTCTGTCACCCCTCCTCACTGGTCTCCACCCATCCAGTGAACCACTGCTGTGGTGAGCAGTGGATACGCAGCTGCTTCTTAGGCCTTTTGTTGACTGGCTGAGTTTAAGCTCTGAATGCATTTTAATATGAATAGAGCAACTCAGTACGATTACAATAAATTACCACAGGAAAACAGCTTTGCCCTTGACTGTCAGAGTTCCAGTCACTGCACTGACTTCAAAGGGTGGAGAGACTCCTTCTGGATTGCCATCGACCCCTGACATTACTCATCGAAATGCAGACTCGTCATCCTCAGCTCAATGCATAGAGCATATACTAACATAGTCTTTTGAAATCTTGGTGATAGGGTGGTCTATAATGGCTCTCATAAAACTGTGCTTCCTGCTCAATTATGGCTGACTTTTTCTGACATGGCATAACCCTCCCTACCCCTCCCCCTTCATTTCCTGTCCCTCGTTCCTTTACTGTCAAATAAGAGTAAAAATGCCTTAGACACAAACAGTATACAATGTATGGTAAGTTGAATACTATAAAAAGATGTATTAAGCACTAAATATATCTGACATATGTTCCCATCTGCTAAACAAGTGTGTGGTATGCAAGCAATTTCACACATCCACCTGCAGGAGAGCGGTGGCTTTCCTTTCCCAGCTGTTGCTGGACTATGTTGCTAATCCATGTCTTATCTCAGGGGGTCCTTAGTGGGGTGGTGGGTGGACAATGAATCCATAACGACCTTTTTAGAAATGAATGGTATGTTCCTCTGCTCACTGTGAGTCCGTAACAGAAGGGATTTCCACGAGAGGCTATTGGCAAAGTAAAGTTACTGCCTCGTCACAATTACTTTAGAAATTTGCAATTCCTGCCACTGAACTGCATCTGTGTTTGCAGACTACTAATGACAGGAGAGGATATTGCTGTTCGACTGTACTAATGTGTTATCATTACGATGACAAATGACATTGATAAGATGCTGAAATGCAGTCTCCCTACTAGCCATATTCATAACAGACACATAGCTTTAGCATTGACTGTCAACATTCCTTTCTACGAAACACTGACATTTTTGAGGTGCCTGAAAACATCCACGGTGAAAGTGGCTGAGGTTTTTGATTATGAAAAATGGTCCCAAATAAAGGACTCAGTGTTTTGCATGGGTGCTTCCATTAGGAAATGGCAGTGAATTTGAGCAGGGGAAACACATCTGTGTTCCCTGGTCAGCCTTCGTTACTAGGGGTTATAACAATGTGGGAAGGTATTAAGCATCTGTATTTGCAGGCAGGCCACTCTGGTTATTTGCCTAACAAATGATTGGTAGAGATTGTTGTGTACATGCACGTGTGTGTGATTCCCACCAAATCTCTCCCGTGTACTGGCTGAGTGAACTAGACATGCATGAAACTAGACAAAACAAATGAAGATCAAAGCACTTGTAATTAAACTATTTTTGGAGGTTGTTGGCTTCATACATTCCTGAAAGCATACCTTTTGCTGTAAAACAGTTTAATTAAATCATGGTTGTACTACCTGTTTAGACGGATCTTCCAGTTGACTGAAGCCTTGCAGGGCTCTCACTGAGGAATGCTATGCATGACTACTTAAATGTGTAGATGGGCCCACTGCTGAGCTCAGGAACACATTCTCACTTATTCATAGCTCTAAACTGAAAAAGTCCACATGGATTTCTTTACATTTTATATCTTATTTTGTATGAATAAAGTTATGCTTGGTTTCAAGATGGCAAACTAGACATTGTTTTTCAGTCTCATCTTTCTTATAAAGGCAAAATGCACCTGCAAATGTATCATTGAGCAAGGCTTCAGAAAGTATAAAGTTGTGTTCAACATCTGTCAACATGTTACACGACACAGGCAAAGCCTAAGGAAATACAGTATAATATCCTGTTCAGTTAAAACAATGGTTCTGCTGGTTGATTTCAAGTTTTTCGAACTGTTCAAGTCGTGTTATGACGCAGTTGTTAAGCTAAGAAAAAAAAGGTACAGAAGTTAGATGACATTGTTGGCAACTTTGTTGGCGCCACGTTATAGCCACGTTATAGCCATCTCCTAATGTAGCGTTTTAACAAAAATAGACTTATTTTACTGATGATGCAAAAGGATACACTTGACATGACTTTGTATCAATCATTTAGCCCAACGTAGCTGCTCATCTGAACTTACTGTTAGCAAACAGTTAGGGATATCTAAAACTTTTTCAGAAACTTAGAAAAATGTCCTCAACTCACCATTTTATGACTTTTTTCCAGAAAAAAACCTTATCCTTTCGCATAAACAGGGAGCAAGTGTTAAACGTGGTGCATTTCTGACTTCTTCACAACTTAAAACACATCAAAACACATCCAGTGCTCGCTCAGTGTCCTTCTTTTAACTTTACTCTCTTCGATGCAAACTGACTCCATCCATGAACACCCTTTACCTCCTCTAAGCAGCTGATTGGTCGACGAGTCAACATAGTGCGGCTGTGATTGGCTGGACACAACGTCACTCAAAATTCCAACGTCTTCTCCGGTAGGATCGGCTAGGGATCACTGAGGAGTTCCCAAACGGCCACGTGACTTGTGAGGTGGCTTCCTTAAAACAGCTGTCCGGAGATGATGTTGGAAACGTTTTCTTAGTTCAAAGAAATTTACTTTAACATTTAAAAAAACTATCAAGGCTTTTTCAGGAGCTTTGCTTGTAAAATATGTGCGTTTACTTTGTCACTCTCCCTTCTATATTGTGATGGAGAGACACAGCCAAGTTTGTTAATACTTTTCATTATCACCAATATTGTTGGAAATAAACCAAGTAGCCTGCTTTGTAACAAAACCCTTTTAAAAAGGTTGCAATACAATACATTTTAGACTGGAAGAAAGTGCCTGACAAACAGAATTCTGGTAAAATGGGAAAAACTGTCACACAGAACATACAAAGTTAATTACTCCTATTCTGCCACCTACAGGCGGATGCTCCATTGCAGTGAAACTTTTTCATTAAGTGTTGCCTTGTTTCTATCATGGAGTAAACAGACACCCCCTGACTACATTAAAGAGTCCTCTCCTGCTGATGTTCAGGTGTATATCAGTATGTAGTGTCTCTACTTTAAAGAGTCCTCTCCTGCTGATGTTCAGGTGTATATCAGTATGTAGTGACTCTACTTTAAAGAGTCCTCTCCTGCTGATGTTCAGGTGTATATCAGTATGTAGTGTCTCTACTTTAAAGAGTCCTCTCCTGCTGATGTTCAGATGAAGTTTTTCATTCATTGCATAACTACACCGTAGTTGTGTATATGATATGTCAATAAACCTTAGAAAATCTTGAAAGGGATGTGCAAAATAGCCATTATATACAGTTTTTAATGAACTATTAGTAGAGAATAACGAGTAATGAATATACTTTATAGAGATCTGCAGATAAATGTTTAGTCTTCTCAAGCACCAACTATCAAATATCTCTCCTGATTGTTGGCACTTGACAATCACCTTTCCCTGAATTTTACTCAGGTGTAACTAAAGTCTGCTTTAATGTTGCGTTCACACCGGACGTGATGCGAATATTCGCTTCGCTCTAATCGCTCCTATCGCATCGCTCTCTAAACGCTCGAGTTTCACCACGGCTGCCAGCTGTGTTTACTCCCATCATTCAAACAAGACGTGCTAGCTCGGGAGCTACAACTACAACAACATGAACATATTTTACCGTGATTGAATTATGCGAGTAAACACAGCTGGCAGCCGCGGTGAAACTCGAGCGTTTAGAGCGATGCGATAGGAGCGATTAGAGCGAAGCGAATATTCGCATCGCGTCCGGTGTGAACGCAGCATTAAAGCAGACTTTAGTTACACCTGAGTAAAATTCAGGGAAAGGTGATTGTCAAGTGCCAACAATCAGGAGAGATATTTGATAGTTGGTGCTTGAGAAGACTAAACATTTATCTGCAGATCTCTATAAAGTATATTCATTACTCGTTATTCTCTACTAATAGTTCATTAAAAACTGTATATAATGGCTATTTTGCACATCCCTTTCAAGATTTTCTAAGGTTTATTGACATATCATATACACAACTACGGTGTAGTTATGCAATGAATGAAAAACTTGGGTCGCATAAACTGCACTGTGTCAATGGTCAACAGTGCATTGCAAGACATCTATCAATATGTGTGTATACCATTAAACTGTCAAATTCTGCACATTTCTTATACTATCTACATACATAAGAGTATAATTAATGTGTATAATATCAGTTAAAATAAGTGCTTCAACACAGTTAACATAGCAGGAAAGCAATATATTAGACGTTAAGTACTTTGTCAGGCTTAATATGTATGTGTAGATATGTAGTGTGTAAGAGTCGGGAGGAGCTGATAATTTATTCCGGCAAATTACTCAGATCTACTAATTAACCTAAAAGAAGTTATTGAGTCTATGTAAGTTTACTGCTTGGCTCAGATCCACCAACGTCAGCAAGATCTCACCTCTATTAACTCCTGAAGAACCAGGTTCAATTAACTGCTGTTTCAATTCAGATGACCCTCTAAATCTGTTTAAGCGATCCCGAAGGATTTTGATATCAGTAAATGAGGTGTGGCCCTACCTAAGTGTGAGTATGGCAGTGTGCAATCTTACCTTTGAAGCAGGAGAGGAGAGCGCATATGTCTTTTAAGTTGTCCCAATCCAAAAGGTGGGATCAGTTTATTTGAAGACAAACAGGTCCAAACTCAGTGGCGGCCGGTCCATAGGGGCGCTAGGGGCGCCGCCCCACCTCTTCCCATATTGAAAAAAAAAAAAAATTAAAATTAAAATAAAAAAAAAAAAAAAAATGTTTAAAAAAAAATATATATTTTTATTTTTATTTTTAATGAACAAGGTAAATATTATATAATTGGTATCAGTAAAATGTATAATCTACAATAAAATCTCGTTTAAAATTGTGTTACGATGTCTAAAGTTACTGATAAGTCACATGTTTCCTGCCTGGCCTTGCCCATGCACCTTCTCTCGTCTGGGCGCTAAGAGAGGAGCCTTCAACCAGTGCAGCAGCAGCCACTAGCAGCTGACTGTTGCTATCTGTAACGTGTAAACTATGCCGCGAAAATATAATTTCAGCCAATCAGCGTCGTCAAAGATGACGGTCACCGGGCGCCAATGTCAGCGCCCAGTGCAGTCTGTGAGTAGTTTGGACAGTGACTCGTATCCGGTTGACGCAGTAGTTGATGAGGATGGCTTCGTGTGCAGGTGGAGTCTCCGGACCTCGGTCCCCGCCTAATTCTGTTCAAGAGCTAATCTCCAATCCTTTCGAAAGGAGAAGTTTGGCAGATAAATTGTTGCTTAAAGACCTTGGACCGGACCAACCCGATTTGAATATATCGCAGCAATCTCGTGAAAAAGACAACATTTATACACGAGGCTTCACAAGTAGCTGGTACACAAGAAAGGCTTGGCTAGCTGGATGCAAACAGGTAAATGCTGTCTTTTGTTTCCCATGCTTGGATATCACTTTATATGTAGAGAGGAGGTTTCCCATGGTTGTTAGAAGTTTATTAATAAGTGGGCATTTATCACAGAAGTGATTGTTCTGTCTCCACGTTTGTTGCATTGTCTGTGATGTATTTTCCAACGGTTATAGCTCCTGTTCTGTCCCAGCAACACTACACGGTTTGCAGCTCCACCACATTTTTGGTTTATCTTCGGTGTCGCTTAAAATCTGCTTCCCATCGGACTAAAACCTCCACGTAATCTGAAGACAGATACTTGAAGTTATTTAAACCTTTTGCAAACTTTATGTTCTTTCTTGCTCTAGCCTTGCCAGTTACATTGTACATAACACATATATTATCATTATGCTAACTGGTTGTTCGTGTTAGACGATGTAGCTTTTTCATTTCTGAGTTATTGCTATATGTAAATAAGCCTGTTTGTAAATAATCCTCAGAGAAACAAAGAAAAAAACACAATTTATGACATTTTGTGCTGTGGTTATTTTTTTTAAATTGCATTTATTCACAGTTCAGTTTGAAATGCTGTAGTGACTTGTATTGAACCACTTAAATATTTATAATTAATGCTACTGAAAAGATGCTATTAATTTTATATCTCACATGCAGTTCACTGTAAAGCTACTTGGTGAAGGTGTTGGTTCATAAAACATGAACAGTTTTAAGAAAGAAAAAAACAGACCAGTTCTGAGAACACAAATTCCTGGTAAAGTAGTAGATGTTCAGGTTGATAAATAATATTTTCCACACTGAAGATTATGGAGGTATTGATCAGTCTTCTCATATTTTTAAGCCTCGATTTCTCCTTTCCCCCCCCCTCTAACATCACCAGAAGTCATCATTTAAGGGGTCATTTCTCGAAAAAAAATTACGGGGGGAAACCCCCCGGACCCCCCGGGTAGGTCACTTACGGTACGTCAAGAGCCCCACCAAAAAAAAAGACCACCGGCCGCCACTGTCCAAACTTATACAGGGTTTTTACCTTCTCTCTCTTTACAACATTATAATCATATTATACCTATCATGCTGTGATCATGTTCTAATATGAAACTTTAATTCACAGTTTTACATTTATTACCATAAATTGTAACTTTTGTAACACAATTCAGTTGTGACATTTAAAATCTCCCGATAGAATTTAGAGGTCTCACCTCATAAAAGACCGGTGATAATAAAAAGCACATTCAAACTTTCATTCACCAAATCAATTCACATCAATTCCATACCTATATTCCGACAGGTGGCGGGACTAACATTCACAAACACATACCTATATTCCGCATGAATTCGGAGGAAGATCCTCACAGGTGGCGGGTACTAATACTCACAAACACACTCCTATATTCCGACAGATGGCAGGTACTAACATTCACAAACACATACCTATATTCCGCATGAATTCGGAGGAAGATCCTCATAGGTGGCAGGTACTAATACTCACGAACACACTCCTATATTCCGACAGATGGCGGGTACTAACATTCACAAACACATACCTATATTCCGCATGAATTCGGAGGAAGATCCTCACAGGTGGCGGGTACTAATACTCACAAACACATATCAATTCATTCCACTCATTCAACCCAGAAATTCAAGAGATATTTACCAAGTTTGAGAGAACCTTACTGAGAGCAAAAACCCAGCTCTCCAGGGAGAGAGCTTTACCGGGAGAGAGTATACCAGGGGAACCCCGCCCCCCCCCCCCCCCCCTCTCTCTCTCTCTCTCTCTCTCTCGTTAGCTCCCTCTCCGCCAGTGTCTTTATGCTCAAAAACAAAAACCTAAAGACACCTCCTCCATGCCCATATTTGTGGAAACTGGGCATGGCCTCTGATGTACAGGACTGGACATGACCAGACAGGGGTTGCGGTCGAATAGTCCATTTAGCTTAGGAACCTTCCTATCGGAGTGAAATGACCCGGAAGTCCCTCAGTGGCAGCCATGATAAGTGCCGTTCGAATTCTCTAAATGAAAGGAAAGGAGGTTTCAAACTTCCTTTATAACCTCCTTTAGCTTAGGAACCACTGGACCTCCCTAACCTAAAGGAGAGGAGAAAATGCTGCCCCACAATGCCTTGCGGCCGCGCCCGCGGCATTTGCCGTCACACAACAGTCGGCCGTTCACGGAAACAACCAATTATGAACGAGAAATGATATCATGAAAGTTACGGTGCTTATTAAGCATTTTAAAACGTATGTGGTAAGTTGCCAAAGTGCTTTGTTTTGAACGTTCATCAGTATTATAATCAAAAAGAAAAATATGAACGTTAGTTTTTACTGAAATTATCAAATAAAGTCAACATTTCACAGTCTTTACTGAGCTGTGTGGGGTTTGTTCAACTTTTAAAAGATGTTTGAATGGTGATATACACAGTGATAGATGTTAAGCACTAACGTTTATAATAAATACATTTGTATTGATTTTAAGATCTTTTCATACAATCATACGTATTGGGATCATTTGTATTAATGTGGACCGGAGGGAGAGGGTGACGAGCATAAGTTTCACTTTCCTTTTTTATTTCAATTCCAACTTTGGTCATGAAGAATATGTTTCTCTGTTGTCCCCGTTCATAAAGCATAAAACAACAGCATCAGAGCACGGTGCAGAGTCTCTAGATGAGTTTACAGTAGTCCCTCGTTCTTATTATACATCCATGTTGTAGTCCGCTGTATAGAAAACTGTAGTTTCCATAGTTTCCCCACAGCAGCAGACGCACATTTATGACCTCCACTGGCGCATCATAAACACGTCGGATAGTGAAAGTGCAGTCGGATTCTCTAAAGTACCGCAGTCTCTTCTCCTAAATCCTTTTGAATTCTCCTATCCACTATCCCTTAACCCCGTGACGTTTCACTCAGAGGTCAAGGGATAGACGATAGGGATAGACGTTAGGAGCTGATTTTTGGACTATTCGACCGCAACCATATTCTATGGCTATGGCATAAGACACACCTTCCCATGTTTGTGTAAAAAGTTCATGACCCCTACTCTGCAGGACTTGCAAAATATTATTCTCGGCTATGACATAACCACCTTTTTGGGGCCTCAATGTATTTCTCCTTAAATCAGGAGCCCCCCTCCCTGTGTACTGCTGTGAGGGGAGAGGGAAGAAACTGCCTCTTCTCTTAACAGTGACACCCATAAACCATTACAGGCCTTACACTCAACTTAAGGGACATTTAATGGATATTTCACATAATATTTAATGCATGACATTTACTGTACAGAACAACTGATAAACTGTTTGTGAAGTTGTGTAAATGCGGAATTTCAATAGATTTTGAGCAGATTATCTCCTGTTAAAGTTGCTTTGACGACCCCCAGTCTGGTAACCACTGCTCTATTGCACAACCCTAATAAGGAAGAAAACCACGAGACACAATGCTGTTTGAGAGCCAACCATTTATTTTGTCACTCAAATTAACTCATGTTATTGCATTTCCCAACACAGACAGGATGTTAAAACTTAGAGCTCCCAGGAAATCCTCCACCCATCTCATAATGTTAATGATATTATTTCACAACAAATGAAAGGTGAAGCGAAAATCCAACACTCTTCGATATTAGTAATGTTTTATAATATAATAATAATGTACAATAATAATATAGTAAGATCACATGTATAAAACACTCCATTCAAAATGATACAATGTGTAGCTTCCTCTCCATCGTCCTGAGGCAGATTACAGTTATTTGGATCATTTTTGATGAGCTAAACCCAGCTTCATACTTCTCAGGTTCAACTCAAGTTGTTGCTTAATACTGTAAAGCTGTTACTTTTGAACATAGATTCATACTTAGGGTAAACATTATATGTATATAATTCTTCCGAGTATAAACAAACGTACATATGAGCTGGAGTGGGGCCTCTGACAAAATTGTGAGAAATGTAGAGGACCAGTTTGCTGTTTTGAGTGAACCAAACGAAGCTTCTAATGCCAGAGATACGACAATGGACAATCCTAACACACCATGCCAAGGATGCCAGTACAATGAGGCTATTGTGTGAAAAACAAAAACATCTTCCCGAATTCTTATTTTGCATAACTAGAAATAACGCTTTTCTTGATGCAAAATGCCCCAAAAAAAGATCAGGATCAACATTAGCTAATCCTTAACAACACCGGTAATGCATTGCCACATCAAATCTCCATTTTGAACAAAAAATGGAGTGGGCCAGTCCTTCAAAAGGCGGTAAATATTTCCCTCTCTTCTGAGGGAGGACTCCCAGTGCAGAAGCACCATTAAATGGACTGATCCAATTGTCCACTTAGTATGTAATCGCTGCAGTGAGTAGCCTATAGAACCCCATTGTTTAAACGTAAACCAATGTTCTTTCCTACTCTGCCAAATCAGCACCAAAGTGCGATGTATTAAAAAGTCCTCATGATTAATGGGGGGTTCTTGTCCCCACATAACTTATTAAGTGTCTGTTGTTATTATTATTAGCATCAGACAAAAAGCTGTCAGTAGTCAAATATACTGTAAATATTTAAATACTGCATGTGTTAAGTTGCTTCAAAGTGTTAAGACTCCTGTCTGTACAAGCTTCAATTTGTAAGTTTGTGCTCCTGCATGGCTCTTGTAAAAAGGTCTCATGATTATTTTATTGTAAATAAATAATCAATAACATCATTTGTAAACTGGATATTTTCCAACCCAGTGTTCTGAAGTTGATGTAAACTAGCAGGGTCCTTTCCCACTGCCCCATATAACCAAACCTAATGAAATCACATCAAAAATAAACCAACAACACAGTAAAGCCTGAGGGAAGACAATGTAGCAACGTTTAACAAAATAGTTCCAGACTGGTTAAACTGTAGGGGCCTTTTGAAATCACAAAAGTACTTGATGTGACATTTCCAGATTGGAAAGCTATGTCTTTTTCATAATCATTTGCAAATACTGTAAGGAACTGCTGGTGTTTCACCAAATGTCAAGAGACAATGATGATAATGATGTCCTGAATTACTCAGTTGTTTTGAAAAGATTCTGTCCGGTGCTTGCTTAGACATAATGAGAAATATACTATCTTGTCCCGACCTTGCACATATCAGTCAGTCTGCATGCACTATATTACTTTTTTCTTAACATAGGTAACATTAAGCTGTCTGTGGCTCTTTCCTGCTGTAACGATGCAAATGTCCCCTCTGTGGGACTAATAAATGTATTCTGATTCTGATTCACTATAAAAAAAAAACCTGTCTTGTCTGTCTTGTGTATTTTGTTCTGGGCTCACTTGACTGAAGGTCCATCCTCAGATTTTAAATTCAACTTACATTGTTGACTTTGTGCTTTGCAATACTGAAATTGCTCCCAGAAAAGTTTTATAAAACAACAATCCCATCAAGCTCTCGCCACTCTCAAAGTAACTTCACACATCACTCGAAACGGAAAAAATATGGCATCTTCAGATAGGAAAATATCCTCGTTGGTGCCCATTAGCTGGCGTGGGGTTTGACAGGAGCTTCAGAGCGACCCTCCATGGCGCCGTTTACAAGGGCCGGCTTGTTTCCAAAGTTCCAGTCCACAGGGTTGAGCAGCTGCATGGTCTTTTTGTGCGTCCAGATGGGGTTGAGGACGCACGTGAGCAGAGCGAGGCCGATGAAGAAGAGGAGGAGTAAGGGCGTGGCCATATGGGTTCTGAGGTCGCTCCAGTGGGTAAAAGTCACCCACCACATGTGATATGTGAGCACCATGCGACAGTGGAAAGTGTGGATCATCACCCACTGGTTGGCTCTCCAAAGCAGGGTGCGAGCCCAGCCAGCCTATCAGGGAAGAGAGAAAATTATATTAAGGATTTCTCTCCTTTTTTCACAACATTGTAACTTCCGTGTACTGAAATCAGATCTGTGAGTAGGAGGAACAGAGAAAGATAAGGTAGTGGCTCAATCTTTTTTTAGTAGAACTTCCTCTTTCTAAGAATTTTGACCTTTATCTGTTGATCTGAAACCTTGTGAAACTTCCTGTGTTAGTTGAGAAGAATCTGTGAGAGCATGTCTATGTTCATTATTGTCCATATCCCTGCTGATTATATTAACTTCAAATGTGCCTCATGTTGCAAATTAGTCAAACAGGGTTTCCATCACGGGCGATCGCAGACGACAAATACCTGTGACTAGTCATTTGTCCAGAGAATGAATGCCAATTGTCCGTTATACATAATATAGAATTAGTCATATTTTTGTATATCAATTAGACACCGATTAATTTTGTATTGTATAATAATTCTCACGTTAAATATTTGTTTTACACATTCAAAATAAATCAAATCAAATCAAAATTGTAACCTTTCCCCACTAATGTAGTTAGCCAGATATTAGTGGGTTTTTCATACAGTGAGAAAAGGGTTTAATAACTAGAGCCCATTGAACCAAACAATCATTTGGTTACTGCAATTTTTCTAAAAATGAGATGAGGGAAGGATGCCATGTGCAAGACATGTATGGAGCAAAGTAGTTACAGTAAGTCTTGCAGAACCCAATACACCAATAGGTCCCTACCTTCAGTAACATCCAGGATATACATGTGAAAGGCGTGCTCATCTCCAGCAGCAGTGTAACCATCGGCAGGAAGTGGCCCATTGAATCAGACACCACCGCTCCTGCGTACCCTGACAGGGCAAAGAAGTGGTGTGTCGCCAGTGGCAGATCAAATGACCGAAACGCCACACTGGAAGCATGAAGAGCTACATTCTCAAACACAAAGAAGCCTGTGGCTGTGAGGACGTTGAACCAGGACCAGTCTTCCTGTCCTCTCACTTTGTCTCTGGTTAATGCCGAGTCCTCAGTCAGGCATCTGAGACCCACTACAGTGCTCTGGATGCCAAAGGCTCCCCGAGTTGCAGCCAGGTTCCAGAAGACCTTCTCCTTAGCTATCAGGGACTTGTAGGTGCTGGAAAAGGCCACAGACAGGAGGTGGGAGAGGAGGAATATCCCTGCATAGAAGCCAAAGCCTAGGCCAATAAGGTAAAGGCGGTAGTCCCAAGAGAAGTACTCTGCACTGGGATGGGGGAGAGGGCTGGGCTGTTGGTCAGGATCCATGATGTTTGAGGGAGGGGCTCAGCTGAAGGTGAGGCTGGAAGGGGCTGGTAGGTGCATGATATGTGGGTCAGCTGCATGACAACAGAGAACACACATTAAATACATTACTATAGCTAGAAACAGACGACAGAGGCTCCATTTAGTAACACGACCGTGTAAATGTTTCATATAAAACGACTTTTTTCAGCTTTAATGAACCTTAAACAGTTATGAGAGAACTTTGTCTGCACTCGGTAATAACTACACAACCAATTCGACACCAAGTACAATGTATCGCTTTATTAGTTTAACGCTAGACCAAACTTGAAGTCCCTTTAAAACATGAGGAGTCAGTCAGTTTTAACCCCAACATACAGTTACCGTGTTGTGAAGTTGATACACAAACACGACGACTAAAACGTGTGACTTAGTTGGTTTAAGCAAACGAAATACTAATATGGCCAAAGCAGCCATTGTTACTCACCACACACTAGTCAGCGGACATCATTCCGAACATATTCAGCAGAGGAGTTCCCACTGAACACGGTGTCCCGGTGCTTTGTGTGTTTGTGCAGTTTCCACAATACACATCATGATCATACGACTTCAATTTGGTCATATGACTTGCAAACAGGAAGTGACGCCCACTTTAAACATCCGGACATCCCATTGGTCAATACATGTCTTCCGCTAAGGGAGAACCCCATCCTATTGGTTATCTCCTGACTCGTGAATTGTGTCCATGAAGTGTGGTTTGTCTCTGTTATAAAACCAAACATTGCATAGTTACACATTACCAATGCTCAGGAAATACACAAAGTTAATAGCAAAGATAGATTAAAACAAATCTGATTATATATATATATAGTCACAGTAATACAATAGAATGAAAACAAATATATGAAACATTTTCAATAAATATGTAGGGGGTACGTATTTAAAATGATTATCATTTGATATTTCTGACCTTCATGTGCAGGAAATGGTGAAGCTTTTTTTCTCATATGCACTGAGCAGGAATCAATGTGCACATTTGGCATGTTGCCATAGTGATAACACACATTCACAGAACTGATGGAGGAAACCCACAGAGACACAACATGCATACTCACATACCAATGAGCTGGTGGAAACAGGACCCTGTTGTGATGTGCTCCAGCTCCACCACTCAAACACCATCAGATAAAAGCTGGTGACCTTAGGCTACTGATATACTCTCAGTCAGTTATCTGAGACACAGTATCTGTAATGTTTATGTGATCTTCTTCCCACTGAAAAAGGTTGAGGTTTTTTAGCCATGTCAACTCCCACAACTGTTAGGAAATGTTGATAAGGTTCCCCAACCAGGGCCTCAGGGCCCTGGAAAATCTATTAACCGTAACTATCAAAGACATCACTCCCTGCTATGGGGGCAGGCCTTCCTACAAGGCAGCACTTATTACACTTTGTGTATCAGTAAAAAGTAATAAAAGGAAGAAATAGTGATAAAAAGTAAAAACAAACATCTGTAAATTGATCAACCCATGCATTTCTCTCTTTGTCCAACAGGGGGTATTCTTGCCTTGTATTTGAGACTATATGAGAGAAGGATGAGTTCTATCAAATGTTTGAATGGAAATGCCCTAACCCTATTAATGAATGACTGACTGATTGCTAATCTACTTTTATGACATCTCCAATAAGATCAAAACAGGAAGATTCGTTATTGTTGTTAAATGATTTGCATCTTCCTGCTAGATATAGGAGAAATTACAGCTCGACAAAGACATGTAGGTGAAAGAATGCAATCATTTGTCTGATTCACCAATAATGCAATGTTGTTCTTGTCAGCTATAGCATGGATGCAAAATATTGAGAAGGACTATTCACATCCAACTTGTCTAATTTTTTATTTGTCGAATTTGATTTGATGGTGTCTTGAGTGATATTATATTTTATTCATGCCTTGATTATACCTTTCAGTGCCTTGACAATATGAAATAAAACCTTTGTGTTTCATTCACATTTTTTCACTAATTGTTATATGTTTTACTCGTATTGGCAGAGCAGTAAACAGGCACCACACAGACAAACATTTTTTCAAACTTTTTCTTCAAAAAATTTAATTGCAGTATTATTTACACTGGATGACCTCAGCAATGACCAAACTACTCAAAGAGGCAAAAATCTTTCAATAGCTCAGCTAGGTAAGAACGGAGGAAAAGGATGCATTTGTTGTTACAAACTACTTAAATAATACAAAAATAACCCAATGATACATTAACTTGCACTGAAGTAACACACATTTAAAAATGCACATGTGATTGACTTAAATAAATACATAACATATCAGTGGGACAGTGTTGTAATTTCAAACGAAAGAAAAGCCTACATTCAGAATCAGTATTTCGCATGCCATCATATCAGCTTATAAAAAAACAAAAGAAAGTAAAAACGACAACAAAACATGAGCAAATGCAGAAAATAGTAATGTTTCAATGAAGCATATATTATATATTTATATATCTATATATATTTCTTTATAAATAATGAATATTTGGCATTATATTCATCTTAACTATAGATATGATATACAAGAGATGAAAATAGTTTTAGCTAAACGACTACCTTTTTAATTTTTATCTAGTAATTATAGAGTTTCACATTCCAAGTTCAAGGAAGTGTTGTATCAGTCAGTGAGTCCGACACTTCTTTCAACAGCATGGTTACGAAAAAAGTTCCCTTGAAATATTTCACATCACGGGTTCAAGATTTAAAAGCAGACAGTAGACAGTCGTACCATAAGTGGAGCCACAGATGAAATGATAGAAATATGCGGTTGGAAATAGGAAAATGTGGGCGATGGCAGAAAATGTTTTGCTTACTTATAATTCGATGGATGATAATGTGGCTGTGTAGAGTAACAATTTTACAGTATGCTGGATAAGTAAAAAAAGATGGCACTTGTAGTTATTTGCTGCCCTCATGATTAAATGTGACACTTTTCTGCCCTTGGGGTTTTCACAAGATTTTGGTGGAGCTGTTAAATTACCATCATCTCACCACAGTCACGATGAAATCCTCTAATGCTCACAGTATCACATGCGCACCACCACACAAGCATACATAAAACACCAACTTTAGTACGTTTCAAGGAAATCCAAGATCACTTTGTTATAGGAGTCCTTTTTAGCTGTGCATGTGTCTACTTGGACAAAATGAAGTGTGAGGAAGTTCAAATCTTTTCATAGATGAAAAAGTTAACTGTGAGACAAACTTGACCCAGCCATTATAGCTGAGAGAGTTTGTTAGAAAAAGGCTTGGAGGGAGTCTCAGGGGTACCAAGGTAGTATTTTCTTTTCCACAAAGGGAAGGTCCTTAAACTAACTTAACAGCTCTTACCTACACTGCACACATCCTGTTCAACATTCTTCGCTCCCCCTTGACTACTGGAACTGAGTTATGTTAATTATGTGGATGACTCTTCAACTGAACCAAGTTTTTCCTCACAGCCCTGATCAAGTTGCATAAAGGAGAAACTTCCTGTTATACTTGTAGTGCTGATGCTTAAGTTCTACAGTACAGGCCACTATTCAGCAATACATTTATCAACACAAGCTTTAAAGGGCCTCAGAGGCTGCTTGCTTGATCTCGCCAAGGACCCGAAAATATTACATAAGCTGCTTTGCTTAGTCAAAGGCAGGCGAAAAAATGTGCACAGAACAGCCTTCCAGCTACACAACAGCAGCAGTTTGGGGCTCAGCGCGGCACTCTCGTCTCCTCTAAGCCAGCATATGTCAGGCCGTGTCTGTCTCTCGGCCGTCTGCCTGCCACTGTGGCAACAGCAGGGGAACGTCTCTGCTCTGCCAACTGCCTGGCATCACATACCCCGACGCTTTCCAGAAACACACTGTCATACTGTTAAAGGTCCCTGCCTCTGCAATGAAAAAAAAACAACAGACTTAAGGATGGGTGTGCTTTAAAAGAAATTAGTAATCTAGCGTTGGGCTTCTAAAAGCCACATCTTGAATTGAAGTAGTGCACTGCATATTTGAAAAACTATCTCTGACTTTGGTTACTTGGTGATTTGTTGGACTGAGTATACTTGTTGGCTCTCTGAAATGTATTGTCTGAGCTCTGCTACAAGAATTTATATTTAAACGATGTCTCACGCATCATGATATTGTGAATGTAAGTAAAACACACTGAGAGCCTGAATTCTCACACAGAGAGTCCTGCATATGATCAAAACATCGGAATGTATTTGATAAAAGAAATACAATTTGTGGCACAAAAAGAAAAGTTATTATAATGTATGGTTCAGTAACCAATATATGTTTCAGGAGAAAGCGTATGGTTTTGAGGGGTGTGTGTGTGAGTGTGTGTAAGAGATCCGCAGGTCAGGCCACAGTTGGGTAGTAATGGAAATTAAGCCACGCTGACCCCTGATGTAACCTCTCTTCTCTGAATGTCAGCACTGTGCTACAAAAACAAGATACACACACAAATAAATCAACAAAACATGTATGCATTAAATATATATATTGAGAGAAATGTACTTTGTGTCACTGATAAATCTCCCTAGTCCCATCCCATAACGAACAATGGCACACTTGCTCAACCAAAATGTAATGTATTGATCAGCTGATTGTTTTTCTAGTACTGTATTTATTGAATAAAGAGCAGCAGCATTTAGTTTGTTGATTATCCAATGTTTAACCCAATTTTACCAAGAGATGCCAGCTTTTAGGCCAGTGATTTGAATACTGTACATTCACTGCATTAGCAAAGTGAAATTGGCAACGTGATTGAGGCTGATATTCTGTCACCAAAAATGAATAATAAAGTGCAGAATTTTTGCATCTGTCTTAAGATGAGTTTACCTTTGGGAGAAATCTACTTAAAACTGCCTAAATTCTACCAATATGACCAATAAAGACTCCGGTCTAAAGGCCCATAACTTCAGGTTTCCACTTTTACATCACGTATCATGACTAGATAGCACCAGTTATTCGTATATCCATTGATAAATGTGTGTATGTAAACCCTTCCTAAATTCTTATTAACAACTGGCTTAATTGAAACTGGTGATTTACTAAATCGGGTTGCACCATAAAAACTGTCAAAAAAGTCTAAGCTAGTAAGCATTTAGTATTTAAAATAGAAATGTGTTTCAGAGTTAGCAGTATTTGCTGGCTGTCAATACCTGACTATGCTAAGTATCAATTTAGCCAACACGTTATGCTAACGGTAAATTAGCCGGCACGTTATTAGCATAGGATTATTAAATGTGAGATGTGTTGTGTTATTTCTATGACCTTAAAAATGTTAATATTTTACCTTATTGATAAAAGACATTGAAGAAATGTCAACCTATTTGATATTAAGTATTTTACTACTCAAGCTAAATGTGTCATACTGTATGTTACCAAGCTAAAATTAGCTTGCCATTTGGTTCAGTTAGCTAGGTTGGGCTAGTTACACGAGCCAGTTAGTATATGCAAGTAGTTTGTGTGTAACTAATTACAAACAAGATTTGTTTGTGTAGTCAACTTGTTTTAATATAATGTGGAAACCTTCACTTAGCCCTGTGTGTAGGCTAAGGTTGAACACAAGAGGAGCTGGAGCAATTGACTATGATCTCAAAACTATGATGGGATTCAAAGTCAAATGTATCAAATTAATCCATCATATTGTGACACAACATCACACACTGGTCTGCACAGCCACAGACAATATCTTATTCCTTATGTGTTTCAACAAACTTGTGATGTTTAAGTTATTTGGGACTTGCTGCTCGCATCATTTTAGCTTCATTCATTTCCAACCTTGCCTGGTGAATGCAGTTATGATAGTTCTTCAGGGGACTTTTATCTACACAGAACCTTTCCAGGAATATGAAGATTACAAATCACTTCTTGGGTGACTGAAACTCATATGCAGATATTTTGTTTTGGCAGTTTTCCTATCACTCCTGATTAACTGTGGCTGAGACTTGAAAGGGCCTGAGAGAGGTTTATTAGATGAAAACACAGCAGTTTTTTGTTGTGTGTTCATGTGATTGATATTTGCAACAAATCTAGACTTGTCAAAAGCAATAGAGAGAGCAGACAAGAAGTGAACAAGAGAACAAAATAAAATAAAAGATGAATATTCTTCCCGCTCACAATTCAAAAATACAACAGTACTATTGTGAATGTGGGTATGTACATTTCCCTTGGAAATAGAGAGATTTGTAATAAGTGCATAAGTGCATTTGTCTACACATTTTGATCTAAGGAGTTACACAAACCTTCATAGTTTTTTTTCTACTGCATCGACAGAATGAAAATGTTGGCACAAGACTTGCATGTTTTCAGCTTCAAGTAAATGTCGATATTAGAAAGTTGGCAATGAGATATATAGGAACGTTTTTTGAGATGTGCATGTTAATGAGCTGACAGATGTAGTCCTTCCACCAATCCAGACCCAGAAAAAACGTTTGACCACAACCAGATTGAGTAGAGAGCTGCATTTTTCAACACTGACCAGTCCAGAGCTTATAAGGGCTGCCTGAATAACCTTGAGTGGGTGATCAGTGCCACATGCACGTAGTTGAGGTATTTCAAGCATTGGCACTTTTCAAAGTGTTTGAACTTACAACAATTTTGTGATATTTAGCTTGTAATTAACATTTACCCCCCAAAAAAGACCAGAGAAACAAGAAAAAACTTAAATTATTGAAAAATACTGAAGGGTTAACTCACTTTGACAATTTTTGAACTTTAAATAAATTATAGTTTCTCTCATTTACTCGTTTTAGCTCAAAGGCCTGGTTGCTGGTAGGTTTTCAAAGCTGCACTTTTTAAATGGCACTTTGCAAAATGCTGAAAAACTACAGCCTTACCCATCCAGGACATTGGATGAGAGAGTGTGTAGGCTGGGGATCACAACGCCCAGCAAACCAAGGAGAAACCCAACCAACCCATGTCAGACATACATTTCTGCTAACACTTATCCTGGCAATGGGAGAAGAGGCTCGGCACATCCTACAGACCAATGGGGTTGGCGATGGGCTCTGAGGATGGCTATTGAGATCAGACAACAGATGAAGAAAGGAAGAGTAGAGAGAGTAGCAGTCTAGAAAAAAGGCTAGTTTTAAAGTTGTTTGAACGTGGGCGCAGGGAGACGTGTCGACCCTGGACCCCGTCTCTTTAAAGTCTAGTCTGAGCCTCGGGAATATAGATCTCGATGCTGTCTGCTCGCTCCGAGGCTGAGTTCTGCCGGAAGGAGGCCGCGCGCTTGCATGCCATGAGCCGCCGACGGGCCTCCTGCCGCCCCCGGTCCGGGAGGTCCAGGGATTTCTCCCGTGTCACCAAACTCCTCTGTCGAATTGTCTTCTTTGGTACAGGAGCCGGTGGCTTTAGGAAGAACAGAGGATGATTAAGGGGGACAGCAGTGATACAAAAACACCAACAAACCCAAGTGTTGAAGATTTGTATGCAGCCCTGTTGGCATGTTTTGATCTGATCACAAACAAATGTGACATTTAAGGTTGCCAACTGTCTCAAAAGCCTGGAAAAGAAGGCATAATTATGTATTTATTTAATAATTCCTGTGACACATGGTTATCATTCTGTCAGTGATTTACCCATTTTGTTGTATTCAATGATGATTTGAAGATTGGATTTAGAAAAATGCTTTTGTTGGATTTGCTGTTAACCCAAGGCTGCTTCGGAATAGTAAAATTGAAGTCCCAATAATAGTCATTTCTTTCACATACAGTAGACAAAGAATTGGACACTTTGGAAGTCCTTTAGAAAAATATTTGTGCTTAGGGAGTATTTAAAGAATGTGTCTGAAACGGAAGCAGCAACAATCTTCCATAAAAGTAGAACAACATTGAAAAACAATTTCTGGTTTTGCAAATAAATATAAGAAAATGTAGATATTTAATATGCATAGAAAATATAAAAGGTTGTATTGATACGAAAGTCAACAGATTTAATGTAGTCATTGACTTGCACATGTGTGGTGTGGATAGATAGAGTTGATAAAAAAGCTAAAAGTCTTGCTTACATACATTTTTTTGATAACCCTTCAAAACTGACAGTGACCCACCCTTTTTCTGCCCTTCTCCCCGCTTATAATTTGTTGTATAGTCCCTAATCTAACATTTTCAATCAAGTTCATTTGAATGAAAGAAGGATCAGGGCCTAGCTCTTTCTTATTTTTCAGTTTTTTATGCTGCTATCGGGTGTGATTGAATCAGTAATGAAATACTTGGTACATACGCCTTGTTTGGGTTCAGTGTAGGGGGGATCCCTCACCTTCTTCTCCGGGCTCTCTAAGATCCTCCAGTTGTTGTTCTTGATCTGCTGCAGCTGGTCAAACTTCATGGTGACGTCGTCGATGGAGAGCTGCAGGAGGTCCCAGAACCCGGCCAGGTCCTGAGAGGTGGGCCGCGGCATCGCACTGGGGTCCTACAAGGGAAGGAAGTGGGGAGAGATCCAACAAAGGTAACATTATTGTCGATTAAAGAAGTCAAGAGCCAGATTGTTGGTTCAGTGACTGCGGTCCAGATTATAAGCAATGGTGTGCTTCAACATCCAGTCACTGCACTTCAGTTTAGATCCACTAGATGTCCTTATCACTCATCAAACAGGCATGAATGCCAGTTTTAGGGATTATAGTAAAAATGAGGGATCACAGCTTGTGAAAGAGTCCAGTCCTTTTTTATATTTGCATGAATGAGATCAGAAATAATAAAAAGCCTTTGTTAGTTCAGTCCTTTTCCTCCCTCAACAATATATTGAGTGTTGCCTCATTGTGTCTATAATAAACATAGGAATGCAATCAGCTGATGTTGAGTGAGACGTGTTACCAGAGAGACTAAACCCACCTGTGGTACCAGTTGCTTTATGCACTCTCAAGGTAAAAAATAAAACAGCAGAAAACAGAAATACAGCGTGATTTGAGGCGTGATTTGAGGTGTGATTAAGGGCTTTCCCGCTAAATGTTCAAAGCATTTTACATTTATGCAGAAAAGATCTTACATGTATGCAGAAAACTTTGTCTGTGATTCACGTTTTGTTGAAAAACGAATTTGTTACTAAACATTTCATATTAAACTGGTGCAGCTATCCAAATAAAATGCTACATTTCAATGGGAAACGGGTTCTCTCCTCATAGCGAGGACTCATTTGAAGCTTCATGTATGATTTATGGACATCTAAGAGGCAAAATTGACTATATGAATAAGTGCAGTTTTTCCATACAAAGCTGTTCATGTTTTTTAGATAAACGTTAATAAAACCTTAATTAAGACCTCTGGGTTGGCTTCAGTCCGCTGAGTGTTTGTTCATTTACCCGATCTTTTCCTATGCACCTACTGTTTGTAATCATACTTGAAATGTACTTCAAACCGTTTTTGTGATTTAGAAATTAATTGTAATAACAGCTAAATGGCATATTTATAAATCCATGTTTGCTATGGGAGTAGAGTTGTATAATAGTGTTTGGAAGTTGTGCGTTATAGTTTATGGTTTCTCCCAGTCCGTCTGGAGCCAGCAGAATCTGCACCTCCAGCTGTGATGTGACGTGTCGATCACCTCGGAGACATTTCCCACGCTCACAAATCTCATGACATTTAGATTAGGTGGCTGCTGAAGGGTGCTGCTGTCTTGTTCCAATAGATTTACAGTACGATGGTATTTTATATGCTACATTTATGGTTGACATATTTCAGATGTTTTTATCCTTTGGTATCAACTGGTTCTTTCTGCATCACAATGTGTCATCAGCTCCTTCTGCACTACCATACCACTAAGGAGAAATAGATGAGGGAGATGCAAGCAAGACCCTCCCATAATAGTGATTCATATAGAATTCAAATATTCATGATCCTGAAAAAACTAAATGTACTGGCATTAAACAAACAAAATGAATGACAGACCTTTAATTCATCTTTATCCCTTAATAAACCATTACATCAGATCATCTTAGCAAAAGGATGCATATGCATATTACACTTTGTCAGTGATATTAAAGTATACAGTAACCTCATTTTACTTTATATTTAGTTAAAAACTCTCATAAGGCCTGATTAAAATCCTCTAAATTTGATAAATGTTCCCATAGAGAGCCACAGTTTTACTTTGATACTGCTTAAGCATTATAGGATTAGTATAATTCTCCTTTCTTCAGCAAATACCTAATCAAAAGTACTCCAGATTTGAAATATCAGAGTGTCCATCATGTAAAGTAAGCTGGGAGCAGAATGCATTTCTGTTATCTGTAATTACCGAGGGAGAGCCTCAGCACTTCATCAGCTTTATTCTGACCCCTGACCCTATGATGGTCTGCAAACTGTCTCAGAAGTGTTCAGATGTACACAGCTGGCAGGTTCAGGAGGAGTCGGTGAGTTTTTTAAGCCCTGGCTGTGACGGTGTGTGTGTTTAATCCTGGAGACGCACACTGTTTGTCTCGCGTTTAGAGCATTTTTCAATCAAGCTTAATAAAAGTGTATCCAGGTTTAGAGAACTTAGACCTCTCGTTAAGCTTTGTGGGCACTTATTTAACAGACAAAGCCAAAGTATGAAGTTAATACTGTATGTGCATTTGTCGTGTGGAGAAATGCTGCATCTTTCACTGTGTGTGAATGGGGTAAACATTTGTTCCTGAATATATACAATCATGTAATTTCCCCACATTAAGACAACTATTTTTTACAATACAAGTTTTCTGAAATGTTGTGTTTAGCTATGTGCTAATTGCATACATTTCAGAAAACATAAATCTGAACATTGGAAAAAGCCAGGTTCAAACTTCTACTTGTATGTAATCTTTGCATAAGAGTTCAAGGAAAACGCTCTATTAATGACTCTTTGATAATATATATAAAATAACTGTGCATATAGGAGCTACTGAAGTGGAGATTTCTGACGCTGAGTATGTTGGTTTAGAAAAAACAACCTTTCAAGCTATGTATTGTATCATTTCATACATTTTGTAAGACACTACAGGGGACTAGGGTTCAAAAACAGTACTGACAGATATCACCCTAAAACTTCCCCAGTTGTTCACTTACATCACAACTATTTATCACCCCGAAAAGTGATGTGCAACAAATAGATATCATGCTTGGGGACTTATATATCTGGACACATACAGCAAATAGACAAAGTTAGGAAAATAAACTCCTACAAATGTAAGGCAAAAAAGCTTAGACCCTAGAAGTCGACCAATCGAAACACAATGTTTTGCCTTTAGTGTCTCACATTCAGTGGGACAAAGCACCTAGCTGAGTCTAAAAGGCCGGTTCACTGCATCAAATCCCTGAGCAGTTCCCCCTCCCCTGAATGAGCCATTTCTGCTGCACATTGCAAAACAAGCAACACTATCTTTCACAACTCCGCACCAACTTTGTATGAAATATTGTGTTTCTGCTCAGATCAATAAAACCAGTTGTGAACAGTGCAAGTAAAACACGAGGCAGAAATCTCTGTGTGTTCCTGCTCAGGATGATCAATAGAGCGGCCGATGTTTGGATGTTTAGGTCCATTTAAACTCAAATGTCTGTCCTTCTCTCTGAGGACAAAGCTGCCTTCAAAAACACACCTGTCCATATGTAACATTCAGGTCACATATAAATGTGTTAAATGGCTATTGATTCTCAGTGTTGTAGCTTTCCACAATCAATGATATTCAGGGGGTATTAGAGCACACTGAAAGTCTGAGAACAAATACAGAGGAAGGAGTGTAGAACTGTTTCTAATTATACAAGTTAATTTCACACTGTTTGTGGACTCTGTTATGCTTTGTTCACTCTTCAGCGGTGTCAGACTCATTTTTCGTGCTCACTTAAAATTCAGATTTGATGTTTTCTGATGTTTGCAAATAGAGAAAAACGGCTAATGGAGTCTCATTATTTCAATTCTGATCCGGAGCTGACAAATGGAGTAGAAAACTGGATTTGACCTACATGTGACATTAATGCTAAAAAATGAAGTTTTTATGTGTGGCTATGAAAATGACTAAATCTGACTTTTCTACTACGACTGGGAAGTGGTTCATAGATTGTATTATGAAAAAAAAAGTGGTTTGATAATGAATGTGGCAGCTGGTTCCTTTCTCCCACATTTACTCCCTTTAAGCATTTTTCCAACTTTTCATTTGTATTATTATATATTATTACATATCTTGATAAAAATCAGATTTTATTCGTTACTTATTTTATTAATATACATATGTTTCTATAAATATTATACATCATTATTATTCATATTTTTCTCTCTTCCCTTACACACATAAGTCACACTAAGAAGTTAATATTCAACTCATTTTTACAAATATTTTAATCAGTTTGTTGCGTCTGTAAAGTTACTACTGTTGTTTTTAGTTTTTTTTTTATAACGATAACCAAGCACAAATTAATCTGCAATAACTTAAGAGTCTTAAAACTACTAGCATGAAGAACAACACAGATGTAGGAAGAAAATAAATTCTAATACATCTTAGAACACACACACAGTCTCTCTTTGATGGGTTTCTTACCAGGTTTTGCTGACACAGCCAGTAGAACTGCTGGAATTTCTGAGACATGAGCAGCTGAGCGCTTCCCACCGCACTTCGGATTTTGCCTAGGACTTAAACACACAAAAAAATCCATCTTTCCATCATCCTTCACAAGAGAAGCCCTAAATCCGACATATGTGAAGCTTTCAGGTAACACTCACTCTCCTCCGTCAGGTCGTTCTCCTCAGCCTCGGCCTCCATCTCCTTACACCAGCCCTCGATCCTCTTGGTCTCTGTGTGCAGCAGCTGCATGAACCAGCTCCCGTCCCTCCTCAGGGAGGGGGGCACCCTGCCAGACTCGCCCGGTGAGGCCGCGCTCTCCCTCGGGGAGGGGGGCTCCAGCTGCCAGGGGGCCTCGCTGGTGGTCTCCCTGGGGCTGGCGGGTTCAGCGGGGGTACGGTAATCTTCGCGGTAGCTGAAGAGCCCCTGGGTACGTACAGTCCGTACCGCCCCGTACTGGGTGGGCGTGCTGGGCTCCGATTGTCGCTGGAAGCCCCCACCGAACTGCAGACCCTTGTCCTCCATGGTGGGGAAGCCCTCCAGCTCCATGTCGGCCTGCACACCTGCAGTCACACTGTTGGAGCGCTTGAACCTGCCCTGTCTGAGGTAGAAAGACGAAGATGTATGCACACAGACATTTACACACCGGCCAAATTGGCAAATAATGGCTGAGAGCAAACATTGAGTTCCTCTGATGAGCTTCAAGTCCCAGAACCATTATCTCACCCTTTCTTATTGTCCTCCACCTGGATCCCAACGGAGTGGTACTCCCGCAAACCTTTGCTTTCAGATTCAGAGTCCGTGGCTGCTTCCACCTAATGTGAAGAAATGATACAAACCAACAGTGCTTCTCATTACGTGAGCTTCCATTCCCCAGTGCTTCTGGGCTTATTGGTGTGGGACTGGATGGAGCACCTGAACTGTACACGGCCTGTCAGAAAGTAAACACTGTATGATTTATGGAGGCAGCAAAGGCAATGCGACTAAGAGGTTTCCTGCAGAGGATTTGAGGTTTGTACAGAAGTGAATAAAAAAAAACGAGATAAAAGGGGAACTGCTAGGTGTTATATTGCACACTATACAGTATAATGTCTCAAAAATATCATTTAAGTCCTAATAGTTCACAGTTGACTGACATTTGTAGAAATATTATATTATAGTGCTACAGTGCTGTGTTGAAAGTGATAACCTGAGGGCTTCACATGCATGATGTTACAAGTTAAGGTCATATGATTTTACACATCAAATATACAGTATACGGTACTTGCAGGAAAAAGGAACGTATTGAATATTTTTCTGTGCAATACATTTTATGAATGAAACTCTTTTCCCCCAGGAGACAGTACACTGCTATGTTAAAGCTGCACTCATCAGTATTTAATTATATGAACAATGGGTCAAATAACACAGCTGCAATAATGAACCTACAAAGAATTATAAGCGGACTCTTGATTTACCGTCAGCTTATGATGATATTTAGCATCCTTATTGCATATTGCTTTGGTTTCACAGCCAATGAACTTTACTGTTTGGTTTACTTACACCAATTTAATCAGCTTCCTTTCTGTAGATGGGCATGTGCTCTCAGTGATAAAGCTTTGATACAGCCGCGGTACGCTAGCTGCCCAGCACTAAACATAGAGGACAATGTTAGCATCTAGCTTGTGAACATAGTGCAAGCATTAAGCTAGCATGAAAAGCTAGATATGTTTTAGTTAAAGCAAAGGAAAAGCTAAAAGGAGAGGAAATATGACTCTAGTGGCCTGAAACATGACTTGAATAAATGCTAAAGTTGATCCATGTCTGTTGCATGTGTAAATAGCTAACTGTTAGCTTGCTATTTCAAATGATAAACAAATACCTGGAACGCACCCAAAAATGCTCAATACTTAAGGCAGATAATATGAATTCTGAAGTTTCCAAGCTACTTGACAACACAGAGACAGATAGGGCAACATAAGTGGATATTATGGGCTGGACAGGTAGAACGACTGATGGTGATCCTTCCTGATCCTGCATGGCTGCGGTCCTGATCCAGAGCCTCTTTATCGCCCTCTGCACCACTCTCTACTCTCTGGAGCCTCATGTTTTACTGTCTATATGGAAGCCCTGTCATTCCTCAACATTTTTGCTATGCGTTTCCATCTGTCACTTTTTCCTTTGTTTCTCCAATTGCTCATCTATTTTCGCTTCAATTTCTTTGCTTTCAGTTCTCTCGTTGTCTAGCGTTCACAATTTCCTGCTGGCTTACTGTCACAATATTTCCTTTTCTTATGCGGACTTAAGTCTTTCTTTGTCTTTTTTTGTCATTTCAGTATTTCCTTTTTAAATGCCCGCTGAGCCCAGTCGCTCAATGCGACTGTATCAGAAATGGCCTGCAAATCAAAAAGAGGATGGGACAGAGTGGTTGGATATTGAGATAGATGTATGATTACTGCAAAATACCTTGGTTCATGACCAAATACTTTCCAACAAATCCCATCAGCTGAAGATATACTTCATGTTTTGTGCTAATTAGCACATTTTAATACCTTTGAGCTTAAGTACGAGATGCTTGAAAAAATATATAAATCCCTGCATTTCTATTTCCAGGATGATTGCATGAGCAGTCAATAAATGTCCATATGAGACCATTAGAAACATCTGGCATCCATACATTTTAATGTAACGTAATGAGCATGAAAGTGATTCAAACACGCTCGTTCAAAGTATGGCGTCCATCTGTTGTGAGGAAGCGTCAACCCTAACTTTAGAGCGGTCATTACTGAAGCTGGGGAGTAACATATTTGAAGAGGTATTTTGTAATCTGTCAGGCTGTTAGTGGGGAGGAAATGAGTGTGGAGCTGCATGCTGAGGTGACCTCCATTACTCTTTGTAAGAAACAGAGCAAAGTCCACCTCATGAAAAGAGAATGAGTTTCATGTTGGTGATGGATGAGGTCTAAAGGAGGACAAAACATCCAGGAGGCGGTGAGATTTATGTCCCATAGGCTTAGCTACCCTGAAGATGTTTGGGTCTACCTACAAAGAGATACGCTGGTGTTCACATACACACTGCATTAGTAACCACAGCCACAGCGTATGCACAGGTGTGGAAACTGTCAGAATCAGCAAAAACTTGAACAGAGCGACCGTGCCTTTCATACGGAACACACAAACACCACCTGGTGACATTTCCCAGCCAATGGGAAAGGTTAAAAGCTTTGATTTCCCTCATTATGCAACCTCATTATGGCTCCCATTTAAACTGTTTTTGTAAATACATCAATTACTTCTCCAGAACACAAACATGTGTCTCAGCTGTAGCAAAAGTGCACTGAGGTCAGCAATAAAGTACGGGAAGTCCGACAGCACCATGGCCACAAGGTCAAAGATCACAGAGACGGTGGCCTCTAAGATAGTGGTGTCAAAAGGAAATGGCAAATCAATAAGAGGCAGACTAATTCAGGTTAATTACACTTCCAGTAGTGGGTGAAGCAGGCTGATGTCCATGCAGCTGAACCTTTCTGTGATACAGACAAATCTATATTTGACCTATCATTTGTCTGGTGCAACACATTATTGTCATCCCTTCCAAACCAGCAAGTGATATTTTTAAAATGGGAGGCAACTATATAGTAGTTTTATAAAGCAGCCCACACCCAGACACGAAGAAACACTCAAACATGCTTCATTATTGCACACTTTTTGTTATTTATAAAGTTAATTATCATTATTTTTAAAAATATTTTAAATGGAGAAGTTATTTCAAAGAAATGCCTCCAAATGCTTACAAACTCAACCAACCAAATTCTTATTCAAATAACTAAATCTGAAGTTAAACCAAAAAATTGAGGAATAATGAAGAATGGTTTTATTTTCCAACATGAGGGTCTACAATTGTCAAAACTAAATATATTGAGAATAATTCCGGGATTTCTCCTACCCAAAAATACACCACATATGTTTTGACTATTGCTCTAACAGGTTGATAAGTCATGACCCCTCACTTGTGTGTCAACATGTCGCTGCCCAGCACCACAGGACCCCAGTCGGTTGTACCCCCTCACCACCTCACCCACCCAGACCTCCCTGATCTGCGGCTGGCCTCCTGCTCAGCTCTCTAAGTGCCCCTTTCCAGTTCCCAGACCACTTGACCCATCTCACCTGCATATCTTTTTTACAGCATAGACTTTATAGTGTTGCAGATCCCTTATTAGCTAGCCTTCCCTGCCAAACACCATTTCATTCATTCATCACCACATAAGCTCACCTCCTTTTGTGACTTGTAAAATGAACACTTGTTGCATGTTGTTTCTTTTGCCTGTGCCGTCTACCTGCTGCTTCCTGTCTCCCTGATCTACTGCTCTTTGACTCTTACTGTCAGTAGGAATTGTATCTGATGGTGAGAGAATGAGTGAGTGAGAAAGTGGGAAACATTTGAAAATGAATGAGCGTGCAATGAATTAGTGTTTTGCATTTGAGTGAGTGAATCACATGCATACATGAGGCGCGGAATTTATATAACACAGTATCTGCAAAAACTGCATTCATATTCCACATTCAAATGTAAACAAGGCATTCACCATGTGTTGGTGATAATTGATAATGACTCAGATACATGCTCTGTTGTGAGATATCAGCATTTTAGCCTACTGTTTATAAGACACAAAGGGCTTATATATTAAACAAATGTATTTGGGTTTTAAATACATTTTTGTCACAAATTGAATTTGTACTTAGAAACAAATATTTGATAGAATTTGGGGTGTAATGCCAGATAACAGATGAAACAATCACTAACACATGGGCCCTTTAAAATAATAAAACACAGATATTTAAGGTGATACTTTACTAACTTTCTGGTCACTATAAGCAAGTTAAAGTCTACAAATCTGCTGTGAAGGTTTCTAATTAGGAAAAATGACTATACATCATATTAATAAGCGGCTAGTACTTATGTGTTAGAGGCTATTTTTAATTGCTCCCATTTACACAGTTAAACGTGATCCTGGGCAAAACCTGCTGCTAGGTATTATCTAAGTTTGGATGTGATACAACGCAGAGGGTGAAGCAGGATTAATGGACTTTAAATGGATTATGTATCCGCTGGCTGACTCTGTGAAGGCAACATCTGACAGTCAATGCGATTCTGCGTAATTTGGGTATTAGCTCTATTGCCAGCCAAAGGACTTTCTTAATATTACCTGAGTCCCCAGTAATAACCTTTTAAAGGGTGCTTGATTTATTTGTGAAAACCGTGCAACGACATTCAGGTACCTTCAGAATGATATTAATGAAGTAGTCTGCTCTCTTTTCTTTAAATATTTGAAAGGATTAAAGTTCAACATTGCCCCAGAGTTTGATTAAATAGCGTAAAATACTGAGAATTCGGGGGAGAGATGAATTTAAGAAAGAAGACTGTTAATGGGGCGAGAACTAAAATATATGGAGCAAGAAGAAATACAGAGAAGAAACATGACTACTCCCTACAGACAGAGCAATCGTATACCGACCAATGGTTTTCAAATTCTCAAATTCACAACAACTTTGAGATTCTGCTTTGATAAAACCCTCTGAATGTTCGAGAGGTGATGGTGTGAGCTCCACAGATTCCTCACTCTTTGTTTTGTAACCTTTAGAAAGCAGCTGGAGATCAACAACACCAGAACCCCAAGTAGTATCAGAGAATGTGGCAGACAAAGCCAAGATATGACCACACAGAGTGGGAGGTGGACGGAGACACAGAGGAAAATAGAGAGGAAAAAAAGAGAAAGGCAGAAGAAACTTGAGTGTGGCGAGAAAGAGAAAGAGAAACAGGTACAGTAAACGGAGAGTGAGTGAATGAACCGTGGAGTGAACTTCCATTCACTAAAACTTGCTCTAGCATGAGTAGAATCTTAATTGACGGATTGCAGTAGGATGACTCACTTTTGCTATTTTTAGCTGCTGAAAAGAGAACACTGTTTCAGAGTCGGATGTGTGTGTGTGTGTGAGTGGTCTGTATCATTATGCAATCATGCACAGGATGGAGTTGTATTGGATCCTATATTGGACAGAGATGGCAGAAGTACAAACATCCTTTACTCAAGTAGAAGTACAGATACTCGTGTTTAAAAATACTCTGGTAAAAGTCGAAGTACTGACTAAACTTCTTTACTCAAGTAAAAGTAAAGAAGTATGGGCTTCAAAATGTACTCAAGTAAAAGTTCCCATAACTACCAGCTGTTTTAAAGACTAACTGACCTCACTTTATATTAATAGAACAATAATGTCATTGTTAGCTAATGAATGTTTCGATGCTGAACAACGGCAACATGACAACGCTTTCATTGGTCCCTCTTGTTTAGAGAAGACCAGGAAATGATGGATACACGGATCGTGTTCAAATCAATAGGCACGCAATGACTCTAAATAATAATGATCACGCCACCAAACACAGATTAAAACTAAAGTAACGAGCCAGTTCTGAAAATGTAAGAAGTAGAAAGTACAGGTATTTGTGTTAAAAATGTAAGAAGTTGTCAGAAAAATAAGTAGTGGAGTACTGATACCAGAAAAAATGTACTTAAGTACAGTAACAAAGTATTTGTACACCACTACTTCCCACCTCTGATATTGGATCTTCTCATAAAGCACACCTAAAGAGACGTACTAACCTGTATTCCTATAGAAGACCTGGGGGTCTTCAGGTACTCCTCAGCCCTGGACACCAGGATGGCCTTGTCGCAGGTGAGCACCGAGCTGTGGCTGTCTGTGGACGGGTGTCGTTTTCCAGACATGACTCCGGCCGCCTCCATGGCGATGGTCACAGCCTTGGCGCTGTCCAGGCTGTCGGTGGAGTTGTAGAGGCCCCTGCCCGGGTTGAGCCCCAGGCAGAGGCCGTCAGGGGCCCACATGCCGCCGTGAGGGTGCCTCCCCTCGTGGTAGGCGTCCTGGGTGGACTCGGTGCTGCTCTGGGCCGTGATGGAGATGAGGGGCTTGGAGGTGGTGCGGGGCGGGACCGGTGGAGGAGGGGTCTTCTTGTAGTTGGATGTGTAGGTGATGGCTGGAAAAGGTGGAAAGACACAATTAATCAAAAAGTCAATTTTAAAGGTCCCCTATTATACTGTTTTTCATCAATATATTATAGGTCTCAGATATATACAAACATGTCTCTGAAGTGTTTGGCTCCAAATACCAAAAAGATCATGCATTGTAGCATCCCATAATCCCCTCTGTTTCAGCCCTGTTTCAAAAGTGCTGATTCTGTGTCTGTTACTTTAGATGAAAATAAGGAGCCACTCCCCACGCCCCTCTGAGAGATATTTGGTTAAAAAGAACACAATGGTGCTCTAGGAGGATATTCAGGTGATAAGGGGGCTTGTGTTAACTTGGTTGGTTATTGGCTAATGGTTACACAAGCCAAAAAATCGTTATGACATCACAAAGTGGACAAAATCCGATCAGCTCATTTCAGACAGGTTTTTATATAAATGGATCAGGACATAAAGTGAGGGAATATTTTTTCCTGAAACTTTCAGAATCTCTTTACACAGAGGGGACACATGTTTATGTATAAAAGACATGAAAAAGTGGATTTTGCATAATAGGTGACCTTTAAACAATATATTCACCGCTTTATTTAATTGTATAAGTTTGTATAAGTGCATTATAGTGCATACATTTACCTATTATTTCAGTCATCAAGTTTTAGGAATATAAAATCCAGCCTGTAAAAACATTCAACACCTATCAATCGTGAAACTTGAGTATATCCTGTAAAAATGAAAAAGTGAAAACAAATTCCCAGTCATTCAGAGGAGTTTAGTATTAATCATAAATATAATCTCTGGTATTTGATATAATTATTTATAAATACTGAGTTATAAAGCTTCAAATCATATTGAAACTACCGCACACCCCAACGCCTCCTGTTAGTCATAAGCCTGACAGAATGATGCTGCCGATATTCTATTCATTATATCAAACTACAATTAATAAATACCAAAACCTCCAATGCATTATTCTGTCTCTTAACACTTGTGCTTTTTCCTACTTTGTAGGAACAACATAAACACCAACATAAAATCTCTCAAAAAAAGTAATTACAAAAAAGGCTGAATAATTTCCTTAAACTGCTGGGCAATCTTTTTTAGGTCACTGTACTCAATCAGGAATATATAGTGAATTTAATTGGGAATATGTTCAGCAGTTGAGTAATACACATTTAAATCTTTAGTTAGAATTTTGAAAGCACAATGGTGTATGTGGCTCCAAAAGCTGCACCACATGGTACCCAATTTGGCCAGCTGATGATTTCTTTCCAGTATTATATAATTTCTTTAAAAGTTTTTGGACAACAATAGAGCTTCACGGCATGGAGATTTGTGTTATATCAGACTTTGGATAAAAATACTTTACTTTCTTTTCATGGGATTTCTTAGTAAATTAAAATGTTATTTTATTATCAGACTTGTCTTTCAAACATCTGCCTCCTGATTGATCGTAGAGATTCCTTTCAACACAACATCTTAATATCAGTATATGGCAGAAACATCATGCAGGCACCTAATATTCTACCCATTTGTCATATGACAACAAGCTGATAAAGTACTTTCCAATGTTATTAGCAGTTCATTTTATTGCTTAATTAACTTACTTTTATTACTTAATGACATCATTAGCATATGTGTAGGCTAATATATTACAGTGATTATGATGGCACATTAGGCAGCAACACCATTTGTTTCACAGCTTGATAAAAAGTAGCTTGTTGCTAAATATGGAAAATGTATGGAAATCTGCTGATCAGCTTATTGATCCAAGCTGAGTCAGTACTCTGTTTCAGATGTTGGCCTCTGTTTGAGGGGAAAAAAACTTTGAGTGCTCAGATAAGTGAGGGAAAGGTTAACATGTGGGCACAGTTTAAAAAGCTCTGATATGTTCCTGTAGAATAAGTGGATATCAGAGAACATTAAAGCCTCTGTGACATGAGACACTCAAAAGACATGAACAACGGAAAAGAACCAGAGAACTTGTGTGGAGGATCCTGTTTGAAAGTCTTTAAGGAAGCTTGACAACTTTCATCTTCTTATTCAGTCCATTTCATGTCAGAAAGAAAGGGGATTACTTTCTTTCAAGTGTAAATGAGAATCTGGACTTAATCCATGGAGAGATGGACTTGAGGAATGGGTCATGAACGCCTTCTAAGCTTTGACGTGTCTTCTTTTGAAGGCTTTTAGAGAAAAGCTTACTCAGTGTGGTTACAAGCTGAACAATCTGAAGCACAAGCCTCGTTGAGTGTGTTTTGATCAAAGCTGCGAGTCTGCCAGATACCTTGAAGCTAACACCAGCAGAAATAAAGAGCTGTAGAGGAAGAACAGTTAGTCATGCTGCAGGTTAAGTTATGGGTTATCGTTTTCCTTGAGAAAGAAGTAAACCGTGTTGAACTCAGTGTTTCTGTTTCTGTCTAACAAATGCTTACATCACACAAAGCAATTAAGAATGTCCTTATGAGACCCAAATGTGATCCATTTTGGGGTGAAATGAGCTGCGCCCCACACGCAGGCTCCCAAATGTTCTGGTGTAAAATTGATAGCATTTCAGCCTAATTACGTTGTAGCTTGTGTGCAACGCTTTTTAGAAACAGCACCTTGTATAATAATAATAATAAAACCCTAGGCTTCAATTCACACTCGCAACACCTTTTGGCCTCTTTTTTAACCATGTTTTGTTTTTGTTATTTAAATAGCTAGAGACGTCTGGTCTATGAAGAGTGTTCCGCTCCGGGGGCTTAATGACTCATGCTGCTGTCCATTCACAAAATGTACTTCTGGTTGATGAAGAGATGCATTAGGGTAGAACAAGGAGGATGGGGCACGGAGAAATCTGTGGGAGGGAGAGAGGGTTTGTGTGTGTGTGTAATAGAGAGCGACAATAAATCAGGGAGCGAGGAGGGTTCAAAGGAGGAAAGAGATGACCCATTCAGGGGGCATGATTCAGCAGGAGGACCAAAATAGAGCCATTATTAGCCAGTCGGTCGTGCAAAGGGGAGTCATAATTCTTGCTCGCATCTAGGCAGCGCAGTATTACTCAGCATTTAGATCTGAAGTGAACACAGACAGTGTTTGCCAGAGTTTCAACTGAAAGCCTTCATTACTGTATAACCATGAGGGGTGTTAACAAATGAAGATCATCAATTGTAATAGACGGTCAATTGTAACATTGTGGCGTACACCATGGTCAACCACGATTAATATTAAACAAGGAAACCACAGGGCCACAAAGCCCAAGGTTATCTGTGGTATTACTCACAGCAATTTCATATTTTTGTACCCAGATAATGTCCTTCTTTATTACCTTATCTTGTTTTCACATTTTAATTCAGCTTTTATCTGAACGGTGCATGCCACTGCAAGGCCGACTGCACATGACTGGAGGAAAAATGCACGTAGATTTATTCAGACAGTAAAAACGATATCTTATTAAACGATGGTCAGATTAGGGACAAAGAAAAAAGAAAATCTGACATTTATACATTCAGCGAACTGAATTAGATAATATAAAGGTTATATTATCTAATTCTGCAGGCTCAATGATTGGTATCTCAGATTTAACCTGGTCACTTCCCAGAACTGATTTACAGTAACTTCCCGTCCTTGGATATATTGGCTAAGAGGTACAAAAATAAAATGAAAATCAGTGGTAAATATGTTGCATATTTCTAAAGAAACACTTATTAAATTACGTCAAATGTGTACAGAGAACTTGGGGTAAATGAGAAATTGAAACATTCACGATCTGGTTTATTTTTTTTGTGGACAGACATTTTAACACAAACCTTTTTTCCATAAACCTAATCAGGTAATTTTTGAATTCACAGCCTGAAACACAATAACCACGTTAATGTGAGTGTCTCACAGCGTACACCTGTTGCTTGTACCATCCAATAGTCTTAAATGCAGTTTTTTGGAGACATTGGCAAACTCCCTATTCTTTCTAAAGAAAATATTAGACAGTTATAACAGTATTAAACAGTTTGAATGGCCAATAGGCCTTTAAAGTATCTCCATGACAGCAACATTTTTTCTTTTGGTTTCAGGGAACATTATGTACGGTGAGTGCAGTTTAGAAGAAGTGTTTTAAATAGACAGGTAAATGTGTTCATTGTGAATACTCCATTTAATCGCTCTCTCTCAAATGCGCGCACACACACACACACACACACACACACACACACACACACACACACACACACACACACACACACACACACACACACACACACACACACACACACACACACACACACACACACACACACACACACACACACACACCACACACACCACACACACACACACACACCACAACACACACAACAACACCACTGTGCCAGTGAGTCTGATTAACGTGAGACACAAAGGAAGTGATTCAACCACTCCATCTCTGTTAGGAGCTCTCCATCTATCAGGCCTGGCTTGTATGCTAACATGGGGGACTTGGGGGTGGAGTGGGGTGGGGGGTATTTTGCTGAGTGACACGTCGTTAAGAGTCTTTCTTCCCGATTGGATTCATCACTGTAAAGGAAATGCAGCAGTTTGTTTTGCAGCAGGCTTTTAAGGATATGTAAATGATCTGGAGCGAGGGAGGGAGAGGAAGATGGATTGGTTAACTCCATTATGGGCCCTGAGTGTTGCAGACAGATATAATAAAGAATGAATATAATAATAGCAAACAAAAGATAAGAGAAATCTGAGTGATTAATCCAACTCACTCAATGATGAATCACTGAGAAAACAAACAAACAACACACTAGAAAAAAATACTCATTTCATGGCAAGTTTCTTTGATACGTAGATTCAAGGACGTTCTTTTGTCCGCCTGTAACGCCAGATGTGTATTTTCCTGCTGTTCATGGAGTCACCTCCTGCTGACCCATCTGCTTGTCACCATTTAGATGCATGTCACTGTGGACTTAACCTCACCCAGCATGAAAACAAATCAGCTTCCTCTCGACTAGAATGCACAAGGAAAACCAGGGGTGTTAGTGTGCTCATGCAACAACGCACACTTTGGGATAGAGAGATGTATCGGAGAGTTACACTCTGCCAAGCTATGGCAAAAAAGGCTCCAAAAAAGCACTTTAACAACTGCGCTCTGTCATGAGTGCTCTCAAACAAAGTATGGAGAGGGTTTAGAGCAGGGGCGTCCAAACTTTTTTCACCGAGGGCCGAAGGGCTGGGCCACTCGCAAGAGGTATATTGCCTCATAAGTTAAATTATAAATTAGCAAAATCAATCAAATGCAGGTGAATTATGCATGTGAGTGTTGGCAGCTCATCCCTTAAAACAGAAGCCTCAGATTGCTTATAATAAGGAGAAATAGGAAAGGTGTATTTCAAGCTTGTTATGTAAATAAGTCATTGGGCTTTTTTCTTATCAACTAAGATATGAAAATGTTTCCAACTTTAATTGACTGAATTTATTTGAAAAGTGGGCTTATTAACACATGAATACTACTGTGTAATATATGTAACCCTTTATATTTAAGAAGTACAATATAAGACAAGCACAAGTTTAATTTGTGGGCCATATTCCATAATACTTTTTTAATTTGCTGAGGGCCGATTTAAAATGGTCCGCGGTCCACAATTGGCCCCCGGGCCGTAGTTTGGACACCCCTGGTTTAGAGTATTGAGGCCTAGTGCAGGTGTAGAGGAGCAATGGCATCCTCCAGTGCCTTAGGAACAGATATATTGTAGTGTAAATTACTCATTTTTTATACATGTGCTTAACAGCAACTTGCCACTGTTTTGTTTCAATTCCTCACATTGACACTGAGCACTGATGCCCCGTTAGCAGGATTACCTGGGGTTTGTTGGGGGATCCGATCAATGCTGCAGGTGGAGGGGAGGCAGAACTGGATCCCTGAAAACAAGGGAGTGGTGTGTATATTCAGAAAAGGGCCCAAACATAAAGTACAATCTATCCACATTACACATGACTACACACAAAGGGGATCCAGAGAGTAACTGCGCAGTAGGATGTATAGCAAATCAATAACAAGGAAGAAACTAAGACACTCTGCCTAGGCCATTTTGGAAAGGGTGCAATTAAGTTATCAGTAATCATTCAATTACTACCTTTTTACTTTGATTATTAACTGAGATTACACATCTCTGACGTTTTTTGTATACCAGTGTCAAGGCATGTAATTTAGGTTGGTGTGCATAGGTCAACAAACATCACCTGCGTTGGCTTCAGGATCCTGCCCCGAACATGGGTTTACCATGAACCTGAAACTGCTACACTCTTACAAGATTATCAAATACAGAAATTAGAAAATCATTGCAAACGACCCCTTTTAATCAAATGAAAGCTGACTCCCTTCGAGGTCTAATGTACTTCCTTTGTTACAGTGATACATGTATAATACCAGTCCTGTCTGGGTGGAGACTTTTGCTTGAAAATAAAGAAAGTGTTCAACTTCAATTAAATATGACTGATCTCTTCCTAGATAACAATATGTAACATTAAGACGTTTGTGATTTATATTGAGTAAGAATGTTTCATTTGTTTTTTTATTGATGTAATATTCAAAATGACAGCTATTAAATGTGTAATTGTAAATATTCCACCCAATCTCAACAACTTAATCCCTCTGTTTTCTGATTTTATTCATTTTATCAGGAAAAGAAATCTGTTAAAAAAGCTTGCTATTGAAACAATTGCTCATCTTTTCAACCTTTTTTCACAGTGCTTAAGAAATGGAAAGATTATGATCCTGATATCAAGTATTTCTTAACCTTGTCGTTAGTGCATGATGCTGCAAAGGGTCACATCCCTGTTACACTCTCCACAAGCTATACCACGTTGACAATAAATTAAAGTACATGAATACATAAAACAATCCAAACATATATGCAAACTGCAGTAAAACAGTTCATTTTTCCTGCATGCCATTTAGGTTATACTGTAGGCTTACTTAAAAAGGCTTTTTAATAAAACAACAGTATATATTGTATTATAATAAACACAAGTCCAGCCAGCCTGTGTAATTCTCTCTGCAAAATCTAACATCAATAAAGAAAAAAAGATGGATATTATATGCCAATATATTTCACTGCATGACTGAATCCAGAACCCGTTAATATTTGGATTATATCTTATGAATACATATTATGTCACTGCAACACAGGGTTAATTATGTGCTACAATTTTGCCATTTAAAAGGTAAATATGGATGGGATCCATGGAGGAAAAGGTGGTGCGTTTGATGCTGCTGAAATTGACAAAATGAATACAACAATTCAACCTAATTAACTGTCCATCCCTTTAAAAACCTTTCAGATTCAGTCAATTTAACAAACTTTGCTCTCTGCACATATTCAATTCAAAACAACACACGGGAAAATCCTTTCGTCTTGCAGCTCACTGATGTTCGGCTGAGAGACTCTTTCTGTTCCAGCGCACTTTATTAGAGCACAGACTTCAGAGGGCGATTTCATATAAAGCCCATTAATTAGACAGATAACACAGATGTATCTTTGCAATTTCTCTTGACTTTTCAGCTGTTCGTTGCTGGTAACAGAATTGTCCGTATTCTCTGGTATGTATGCTCCTTTCCTTTCACTGAATATTCAAACACAACAATGAGTAGAACCAAATAATTACAATGAGGCACTGTATATGAAATGCACAAAATATTGAGGCCATCTGTCATGCACCATTATATTCATCATTCAGTGTAACACGTGTCAAAAAACGGCCACATGTTGTACACCCATTTCAGGAAGCAACACAGTTTAACATGTCATTACACTTATGTCCCAACATAACATTCTCAGTCTTTGATTCCTGAGAATTGAGATGACGTCTTACCGTAAAAAGTACAATATCATCTCTTAACAAGGCCTGTTTGTCAGATTATCAGACACATTTTATTTGTTGTGTATTTTTAAAACAAATGTGTCCTTTTAATGATCCTCCACGAAAGATGTGTGTATATATGGCGTGTGTTTGGTACCAAGTGTATGTGCATGTAACATGAGGTTATGTGAAGAAAGGCTACATACAATAACTTCACTGGTTTGTAATCATTTTTTAGCATGAAATACAAATATTTTAAGTATCCTTCTATTTTCTATTAACAGTACAGTCTTCTTTGAGCCCCCTTATGGTCATGGTGAAATGTTGTTTAGAGGACTACTTTTGCGTAACCTCACAATTTGCATTCTCTCGCAATACTTTTGTGTTCCCTCACAACATTTTTTTCTTACATTCCTTCTGATCCATATGTCTTTTTTCCCTAAGCTGCTCCCAGTGAAAGTCCCTATGATCAGCTGATTGAGTTTTACTCTGGGCATTGGGCGAAATGAATTTCTTAATCACAGTTCTAATATGAGGAATGTATTATTGTTACTCGATACGGTAATGTGATTTGAGCTAACTTTCCCTTTAAATGTATCAACCTTGTTGGTCATAGGGAACAGGAAGCAGCAGACATGGCCAATAAGTATGGTGGAATAACATTTTTGCAAGAGAACACAAAACATTTCCGGGGCGAGAAATATGGCGAGGTAATTCACTCCTCAAATGTTTTCCTCCATTAGCCATTGGGGGCTCCGTAGAATTCACGCTCACTCTAGGGTTGTGCAAACATAATTTCACAGCATCACTTTTTTTATCTCTATACCCGCAGAGTCCATCCAACAGCTCACATAGTAAACAGTTTGTCCTTATAGTTATATGATAACTGCGAAGATTCACTTCACTCCAATCTAGAGTGACAATAAACAGAGAGCTCGAAATAGGTCAAGTAAAGAAAAGATTCCATCATCACAGTAAGGATTGTCAGGACCTTGTATTAATTTAGCCATCTTTTCCGTAGTCTATAACAGAGCTCCGATAGAGTCTCTTAAAATAGATGTGTCAAATGTCTTTGATGTAATAAAATGATTAAACATTTAGTAGTGTATCTAATGATTAAAAAGGCAGTACTGTTCTGGAAGATAATTCACATCAGTGGTGACAACAGCTTCAGCAAAGTTCATACTGCTTTTGATAAATGTTTGTGAAGCAATGTTGTTCAGTAAACGCCACAAAGGGTTCATCATTTTCTTGCAGTATGGTGCAATCCATGAAACATTTTTTTTTAAGCTACCAATGCAGTCTGTTGCTGAAATAATACTGCAGGTTTGAGGAAGTCCTTGCTTTGAATGCCATTGCTCACATGACATTTCAATCTGCACGTTGCTCTACAGTGAACTAGCAGCAACAAACTGTGAGCTATAAATATACATTGGGCTACATTTTGTCTGCTGAGAATGAGGTATGAGCTCACAGGGTGAGGGACACGTATGTAATTTCTGCACTGTTGTAGTCGTATCTCCTGCTCCAGAGTTCCACGCTGGCACTCCTGTGCATTGATTCTCTTCTTTGTCCCCTCCTCTGCCACCTGCACCACAGAAAGGCCTCCTCCCTTGAGGAACTCTCTGTAGTATCTGGGGTTTCTTCCTCCACAAGTTCCCCACACTCCTGGGATATAGCCACACACTCCATTGTTTCAGCAATCATATCATCTGGCTCACTGTGTGTCAGGTCCACTGAGGGTAGGTCTTCAAGGTCTGGCAGTGATGGGTCTGTATCTGATGGAAGATCATCTGGGGTTGGACTTGAGGGTCCAAAGTCCATTTCCAGCGATGAATCATGAGACACTGAACTAGGAGGGGATATTGTGACAGTGACCTGTGGTAGTAGGACTCCATGTACTTCTGGGGGATCATCCCGAGGCATGTGAGCTAGGCGATACTCCATTGCTGGATCCAAACAGATAGATTCTGTAGATGATGTAGGATCCACTGCAGGGTCAACAGTGGGTAGTGGTGAACCTGGACAATCTGATTGGTAGATAGGATCTAAATCCTCTGTATCATATAGATAGTCACCACTCAGGTTAAAAGGTTCTGGTTCAGGATCCATGAACACTGAGTCAAGATCATCTTGATCTAGGGAAGTCAGCATTACTAAGTCAAAGTGGACCAGATCGGCATGAAATATAGGGGTGGTATCAAGGGGTTCAGGGAGGGGTGGCCAATCTGAGTCTTGAGACTCTGGGTCAGTGTCGGGTAGAGTATCTACTGAAGTGGAAGCAAAGGTTGAGACCGATGTCATTTGCTCGGGGGGAGGGTCAGAAATATAATCTGGAAAGGTGATAATGGGATCTGGATTTGTGTCACTGTCAGTTGGACTTGTAGGAGAATCTGTGTCGGGGTACTCTGACACCACAATGGATGGATATATAATGTCAGTTGCTAAATGTAATTCTGTAACAGTCTCGAGATCAAGTGTGGGTGCATCACAGACCAATAATGGGTCTTGACCAATGGGATCAGATGGGAACACCATGGGTATATCTGAAGGTTGTGATTCTAATTCTGTTGGGTCTGCAGGATCTGGATCATCTGATCCTGAATATGGCAAAGACACAGCAGCAGAGTCTTGATACACCGGATCTGGCTTTTCACCAGAGAAAGGACCGGGAGACTCTGAATCTGACATGCTGTCATAATCACGTTCTTTAGGTGGAGAAACAGTTACTACAGGAACTGGATATGGCAGCAGTATTTGATCCCTTTCAATAAGTACGGAGTCTGGGCATTTGGTGTCATTCGGTTTAGAAGTATCTGAACGGGACTCCTTGGCTGGGCCTAAGTTTATCAGCTGCGGAGTGACTAGAATTTTGTGATCTGCTATCACTGAATCCTGAGGGTTCTCAAGATCTGCTTCTGGAGGAATTGGCACTGTGCCATGAGTGGTGACTGGCTCACAAATGACCACATCAGATGAAGTCACAACTGTATGGGCTGGTAACTCTGTTTCAAGATTGGCTTGAGAGGGCAGAGCAGTCAACTCAAATACATTTGGTTCGGCTGCTCTAATAGAGCCTGAAAGTATTGGATCCAAAGAAAGTGGTATGGCACTCTCCACATACATTGACTGTGGACAGGCCAGAATGCTTGGGTCCATAGAGAGCTGTTTTGGCAGACGACGGGCACCTTTCTTCTCTTCCTTCTCCTCTGGACAATTGACAGCTGCATCTGCAGTGCTTTGCCGGACAAGGACCTTGCTTCTGGCCTGTGTCCCCACAGACACTTTAGATATCTGTGGTTTCTTCTCTTTAGCTGCCCCAGTGCCTGCATGTGCTGCAGAGGTTCCAACTCCTCCTGCCCCTGAGCCCTTCCCTGCCCCAGCACCTACTCCTGCTCCTGTCCCGGGGCCTATATCTGCTCCTACCCCCACTCCTACCCCTACCCCTGCTCCTGCCCCTGCCCCTGTCCCTGCCCCTGCCCCCGCCCTGGGTCCTGTCCCTGTTCCAACCCGTCCTCCTAAACCTGCCCCAGCAGCCATGTTACCACCTTGGGGAGACCATGTGTTGTAATGCTGTGTGAAAGTGTTGAAGTTACTGTTGAAAGCACGAAGCTCTACACAGAGGTCCCTTCTCAGATCAGCTAGCTCTCTACGCATGGCCGAGACCTCTTCTTTCCACTGCATGCTGATAGCTGCAGCCAGAGAAGCAGACTCTTTGATACTGGCCTGGATTGCTTTTGGTGATGGCCGTTCTGGGGCACTAGATCTGTGGGATCTGAAGAGGCTTGGAGAAACAGGTGGTCCCGACACAGGTTTGGCTCCTGCCCCCATGTTATCTTCTTTGTAAAGTCTGTCTCTTCTGATGGGGCAGCCTAGAACATCATGATCCAAAGGGGCCGCTTCTGCCAAATCCTCATGTACACTGGCCTGGTCAGGCAAACAAGAGTCTTCCTGAACATAATTTCTGTCTGGAAGACAAATATAAATACGTATCTGTAATATGGCCACAGGTGTGAGCAGCTGGAGAGAATGTGCTTTTTATTGCCACAAAGCAGTAACATCAAATCATGCACTGAATGCCATGAGTCAAAACAAGATAATAGCAGAAAGTGCTAATCTTATGATTATTGCCCCAATTCACCCATCTGTATGCTGTAGATGTGTATACACATCATTTGTTATTAATCTGTAATATCGTTTAACATTTCAAACCCAGTGTAACACTGGGAAAGTATTCCCACTTTGACTCATTTTCGTTAATGGTTACACTGCCTTCTCAACCTCTAATTGTAGCATGCATTCTTCGCATCTTTTCAATGCACAAAGCTAAAACTCCAAGCTCCCAGAACACATCACAGAGAATACACATTATTTTTTCATAAATGAGGTAGGAACAATCCTTGCATGCTCGTCTGTTTCAGTCGAGGTAAAGAAATGTGTACTTTGTGCAATGAAAAGAGGCAAAGATGAGCAAAGCTTTCTAACCATATCCCATCAGTCATAGGTATAGTATGAACCCTATTGAAAAAATCAGGTCCAGTTTGACAGATTGATGTCCAAAATTGTGGCAAGATCTACCACATTTCAAACACTGTTTCCTAAAAAAAGGAAAGATATTTGAGTTTACTGAGAAAGCAGTGTAAGCAAACATTTATAGGTATGAAGAATTGATCATAAGCACAGCTCCAGATGGCCACACCTCTAACCCTCCCTATTATAGTCCAGCTAATGTTGTTAGTTCATGAATCTACTGGAAAGAGGTGGAACCCCCTCAGACTTCTCATCCGGATACTTTTTCTTCTTTTCTTCCCACATTCTTCATCACAAGGACATATCATTTCCTCTGTGAATCCAGCAATGCAGTAATTGTTGAAACCACCATCAGCTCACAATTTGTAATCAAGGATCAGTATCAGAAATGTATGCACGTCTCAGCTCATTAGGTTAGGATTGATTGTAGCAAGTTTGCAAAGGTGATCTATGTGACTAACCAGTGTGACAGTTGAGTTATCAGTATAATCATTGACTCATGTAATGATCTATTATTCGGGTCTGGACTTAATGAATGTGCAATTCTTTAAAGTGATTGCATTGTGAGTAAACATGAGCTTTGCAATAAGACACAATTTGTGTGAAGTGAACAATCCAGGGATGCAGAATATTCACAGTTTATGCTGCAATAAGCGTTAAACTGGGTTTACAAGTACAACAATGCATACTTTGCAGACAGCAATTTCAGATTTATTTGTTTTTTTGCAAAAAAGCTTTGAGTACGTTCAGAAATGGCACCCTGTGGCACCATAAAGAAAGTGAGTATCCAAAATGTACCAGAAAAAGCAGTCATGTCTTTATAAAGACCTGATTTTAACTTCAGACAATTTCCATTTGTGATTTTCAATAGGGTTCATAGCTTTACTCTCTGATGCATCCAATGGATGAGCAGATGAAGCACTGTATCCAAAATACAGTAGGATGAACTAGCACAGCTCACAAGTGGTAGCTACAGTAAACTTACGTCCATCAAAAACAATGGAAACATAGAAGAGTGATTCATGCAAAGATGTAAAGCTGTTTGACAGCACAACCAGTTTGCACTAACTGCTTTGTATTCATCCAATTACACATGTTAATGACAAATGTAAGCTTTTGGTGTCAATTTGTTCAAACAAAAATACTGACATTCAGGATTTCACACATTGTATTCTGCAAAATAAGTCCATATTTCCTTACCTGTGGTAGCCCTGATGGTGGAGGCGACGCTGGACGCCATGGGGGGGATGCAGTCATCATCCTGGGAGTAGCCGGCCTGGATGGCTCGCAGGTAGCTGTGACTCCGAGTTCTGAAGCAGCCGGGCAGATCCAACGCCTCCATGGCCTGGGATTCAACCTCACTGAACACCGACTCGCACACTGATTCAAACTGGCCGTTTATTTCTGTCTCACTCACCTGTGAGAAACAAAATCCGTGAGCATGCTGTCCTAATTGTTAATCCAGAGAGTACATTTTAATAAATGTATGATCTAAGAATAATAAAAAAATGTCTTGTTGCTCTGAATCCAACACTTGCATGTGGTAATATATGTCTCAAAAATGATTTCTGTTCCTGGAAATGGATCTTTCATATTTGCACACTGGTAGATAACCTGGGGGCTGATTGCTTGTTCTGTAACGGCCCGTTCACACGGCGGCGTGCGTTGAAGCTTCAACGCTTCTGCCCATTCACTTTGAATGGGGTGACGTCACGTTTCGCCGAACTGCATTGTGGGAGCGAAGCGTAGCTTCAGAAGCGTTGCTCGCTGCAAAAGTTGAGCAATGTTCAACTTTTGAAGCTTCGGCGGAAGCGTCAGCCAATCGAATCATATGCCAGTACAAGCTCTAGCCAATCAAACCGCGTGCTTCTGTGTCCGGGGCGGGGGATTAATGTGATTGGTTGTTGGTCGAGTTTCAGCCCCCCCCCCGCCGGCAAGCTTCAACGCACGCCGCCGTGTGGACGGGCCGTAATAGAAAACAACATCAATCATGGTCATACTGTGTCAGAGAGTTTGCTGTAAAAGACCTGTTAATGTCAAGCAGAAGTATTTCTGTTTCCTGTTTCAGATTGTATGATGTATTGAGTAATGGTTCTGAGAAAGTCAAGTATCACAGATAAACATCTTGTTCTATTGGGATCTTGAATTTGTAAGAGTTTAGTTGAGGCTTTTAAGACTCTGAACAAATCAATAAACCTCTCTTTTAAGAGGGAGATTAATATCTCAACAACCCCTGTAGGCGTCGTTTAATCCATCCAGATAAACAGTGTGGAATGAACTGTCAAATCAAATAAGTGTAATAAGTCAAATGAAGCTCGAAAAAAAGAAGCCACGGGTTTTGAAAAACAATAACTAAATGGTTTACAATTGAAGATTTGCACTGAGAATAATAACTATGTTTTGGACACTAAGCTTTTAAATCATCAGCAACTTAACTCATTTCCCTGTGGGCTCCATGGGATCTCCTCAGGGTCTCTCGGCTTCTCCCCGAGTAAGAAGTACTTTCACAGTTCACTTATTGAAAGGGTGCAGACTCACCTGGCTCACTTGGCTAACACAGCTAGCCTGGCTGAGGGTGCTGACTGCCCGCATGTAGCTCTGGTTCCTGGAGCGAAACTTGGGAGAGTTGTAGTTGGCAGAGGGATCCAGGGCAATGCTTGGGTGCACGTCCCTGGTGGCTTGCAAGTGGTAGCTCTGACTGAACAGAGAGAGAGAGAAGAAAAAGCAAGAAAGGAGTGGGACTACAGCCATGATGACTACTTCCTAAGCAAGTCAATTAAACATAATTGAACTTATAATCAAAGCAGATTGCCAAGTGACTACAGGTTTAACATGATGACAAAAACAATAATGTGTTATCAAGGGAAGGGGCCTTCTCCAGGTAACCTGAACTTACGAGGGAGACTGGTAATGACCTTGTGTCTCCCGAGAGGGGAGCCTCTCTCTCTCTGTCATTTTCTCTCCCCCACTACATTGATGTTTTCACCAGCGTCCTTACAAAGGCAGTTCGATTTCTGTTGTGCTGAAACGTTCAATCAATGCTTGGAAATGAGGGAAATGCAAATCAGGAGCTAGTTAGTGAGCAAGCACTTCAGAGAGCACCCCGGTGTCAGCCGGGTCAATTAAATGTGCTACACCAGCAGTGCAAGGGATGTTCAGAAACCCAAGTGTGGTTTGAAATCTGCTGGAAGGAAATAGAAAAACATGGAAGAAAAATGCGCTTTGAGTAAACTAGAGAATACTCTAGTTCATTGCATTAGTAATACCAAATTGAGGTCCTCTCCGCCAGATCCATTTCTAATGGCAGGCAGGGATGAGTAAGCAGTTTCTGTGCTTTTTATAGAGATAAACATTGGGGTTTGGCAGCGAGGAAAATGCCAGTGTGATTAAAAGTCCCCCAATCCATCTTGTCCTGCTGAAGCAAGGCTGTGTGTGTTTGCAAAGTAATATCAACCTTCTACACGTCCAAAGGCATCCTAGAGAAGAAACATCCAGAGGAAAAGTCTGAATGAAGTGGTAAAAGCAAATAAGCTATAAATAGGAAGTGCTGGTGTTACATATAGAAATGTATCAGATCATATCTATCATGTGTTTAACAGCGCCTTATGCTTTGCCAGTATGAGCATATTGCCCTAGGTGACCTCTCATTGACTGGTCTAGAGTGTTTGCTCTGTGAGGCGGCCATATTGGGTATGTCAGCAGGGCAGCGAGCCAGCTGGCTCTGGTGTCTGACCACTGCAACACGGCAGCAACAGAGAGCGAGGAGAGGGGGGGTGCTGGGCCTGTATTCACCTTAAGTCTGCCGCAAAATTGGTGATGTAGTTACGCATGTCACTGTTGATTTTATCCAGGCGGAAAGAACTGTGGGTAGAGAAGAAAACAGAGTTACTGGGTCCCACAAGTGGGAGTTGGATGGATATGACGTCACTGGGTAAAGGTCCAATGGAACTGGCTCTGTATGGGATTTGAGGTGGATTAAATGTTTGCTTGGGAGTCCTGCAAACATTAGGGTGATAGAATATGACCAACCTCAAGAAATGTTAAAAGTGAGAGGATGATTCTGTTATATTACGTTGGCAGAAAGAATCGCCTGCTCAAGGCAATATGCCATAAATGAAACATGTACATACACAAGTGGCGATATGAAGTGTGTATTATGAGTTTTGTCTCATAATTTTTGTGCAGAAATGGTGCACACAAAATACAATTACACCACATCATAAAACTTGATTATTTCCCGTGTGACTAATTAGATTTGCTTAAGTGGGCCAAATGAGAATTAAAAATACCTACCTAACATCTTTCCCTGAGCAATGAAACCTAGTCAAGCTTTAAAGCTGATCAGATATAAGTGCACTGCCTGACGCATATCGGAGGCTTCCTACATCCATCCCGGCCTGTAGAGATGTCTATTATCGTCAGTTGATTGAAGGGAGGCTTTTTTTGAAAAAAGCATTGGCCCTTTATCAAATCATGCCAGAGCAGATTTCCTCTAATGTCTCTGATTGGTTCTAATGCACTTCCATTGTTAGCCCATATTAAGGCATGGGATGATAGAAATCTCACACTTCCTGCCTTTCCTGCGGCTGAAAGCAAGGAATTTGATTGATAGAACAGAAAGAACAAGGACAAAGGACAATCTGTAAAAGAACACAGCAGGAGAGAAGATTTGGCATAAAGTGTTAACATACAGTATGTACTCACGTCTCACATATGTGAGGAAAAGGGAAGGAAACCTGGGGGGAATGTGACTGCTAGACCAGAAATAAGTAGATATGTTTCCGTCTTGACACACAAAAGGCACTCGATGGAGAACAACTACATTTTCACACCAGGGAATACATGAGAAGTCGATAAGTTCAATAATACACAACAGTAGCATACTCATTGTGTGTGTTTTACAGGCCTATAAAACACACACAACTATTTGTATTCAACTATATTGCCGACCCAAGCTATGAGTCAAAAGATCAATACAGCAGTTGATACGTTTATAAATGGGACATTAGGTAGCAGGATCTTTGACATAGTATAAAGTGTTCTATTCATAGCGGAGGCAAAAAGGTGTTAAGAAAAAAACCCTCCCACAGAAAAGTGAGCTAACTATGCATCACACGTACCGCACAGCCACAAATCAATGGATTGGAATTCTGCTTTGACCTTGAGATCTGAGGGAAAAATGCTTATACAGTATACCCAATTTTAACTGAATGAGTAATTACATTATGAGGACTTAGGAATTATCGGAAGATTTGTCAGTGTTAACTATGATTAATTATGGTGCCTAGAGAAGCTAATCATGGACGGGCAAACAAATGGGTGTTATTTACCAAAATTACGAAAATGGATGGGATTGATTGGCTTGTGGTGTTGAAGTTATTTAAAGAGGAGTGAAGTTGCCAGAGATGAATACATGTGATTCTGTTCATGTGTGTCAATGCAACGTGTCAATCAATATCAATTCCTATCATCGTTAAATAGTCTTTAAGCATCTTTCAGTTCTACTTTAGCAACGAAAAAAAAAAGCTGATTCATATTCAATTCATCACAGCTGTCAGCTCTGCAGCCTACAGGACCCCAGGGTGAGGATGTAATGGAAGGGGTAACTGATTATTCATTAAAATAATCATTGACATCTAACTTTCCTTCCAGTGCACAGGCTGTTCCAGCTCAGCGGCCCCCATGGCTGGGATGTATTCTTTATTGGTGAGACGAAACAAAGAGGCAATCCTGTCAACAACGAGAGTGACAGAGAGCTCCAAAGAGGTAAAGATGGAGGAAGGTGACACAACCTGACAGCCTGTTCTCACTTTAACATGATTTGCTTCAGGGAGCAGATGCTGTCAAATTTGTGTTTGGTCCATCTGACTGCCCCTGTGGGACATTAAATTGCTACAAGAGCAGAGGAAGTTGAACCTACACCATGTCTGTCTGGTATCCAATCTAATTCCATCCCAACAAACCCAATGAACCATATTACCATGAGAGCTCTGTCAGGTGGCGTCTGTGAGGCCTTTTATGTGTGGATTTAAAACGGTAACAGGTATTGATGACAAAACAACGGTTTCAGTTAAAAGAGAGTATCAGTATAAATTGCACTTTTAATTAATTTTTTTACTGGATGAGTGGGGTTATAATTACATTACATTCGAGATTCCAACATGAGACCAAGAAATGAACTAGCACCAAAAAAAAAAAAAAAAAAAAATACCATATAATAAAAAAAAAAATATGAAAAAAAGGTTAAATATAACAGAACAACGTTAATAAAAGCTTAGTCATTAAGTTATATTTCATCAAACAAACAAACAATGAAAATAAAATAAACTGCAATTTTCAATACAAATAATTATGTTTTGAATAATTGGTGCCTTCTGTGTTTAGTTTATCTTCAATTTGTTCAATAAAAGAATGTTTGAAATAATTTCCTTTAATTTATTTATTTACAAAGCATTTTGTCGTATAACCCTAGAGTATTTATTGCTTTTTCATGAAAAGTGTTTAGTTTCCTGTCCCTGTTGTGGTTATTTGTTATGAAATGATTATAAAGCAGACACGAGTGTGCCGGGTGCCATTTTGTGTAAGCTGATTTATGGGAATCAAAGTTAAAATATGTTTTCAGCTAAAACAGTATTCCACATAAATCACTGTACTGCAACAACATGTATTCTAACATAGAGACACTGTTACATTTGTTCTTATGAATAACACAACATTAATACAGTATCGACTATTATCCAAAAACCGCACTGGTTTTGCATTTATATTCCAACATCAGGGTGTTAGCTGCATATAAATATTTTCTCTCCACTTCTGTATCCTGTTCCTATCAACCTCCTTTGTATTCTTCTTATGCTGCTGCTCAAAATGTTTCTCTTGGGATCAATACCATGTGGTCTTATCGGATCCACTAAATGAGCTTTATAAAGAGCTGTTACTAACTGAATGGAACAATTTACAGCTGAAAAAAATAACTTGTCCTCTCTTTAATGGTCTAATTGACTTTGCACATATTTTACCCTTCTATTTCTGTACCGCAATTGTTGTGCTAATTGTTGCCCAACAAATATGCCAATACAAATGTACATCTGTCTTATCCCGGTTAATATCGATCAATATATCGACTATAGGGCTGCACCAAACCACTCTCTCAAAATATAGAAATAATAAGTCATGCATCTCCATTCTACGACAGGAGGAAAGATAGCACATTATGGCATTCTCAGAGAGGTTTCAGGCTATAATCGTGGCTCTTCTGTCAAGCAGCAGGCCACACAGCCTGATCCATGCTGGTCAATATCTTCCTTTCAGCAGAGCCCAGCAGACTCTTGGCCTAACCACTGAGAGGGCCATTATTTAGAGGGGCCTTGGAGTACAATAACTGCAACTGATAGCTCTTCCTGCTGTTGCATCCTCATAAATCATTCACTGTTTACAGCTATTCAAAATGGATAGCCGGGGGAAGCTTTGCAAGATGTGGAAAAAGAAGCATACGTCACTGGAGCTGCCTCATACATTACTTCACACTCTGAAAGAGCTGTTAAAAAGGCTGAACGTCTGCATCCTCTGTGACAGATGTTATTATGATCCTGCCTAAATCACAATCAATAAGACTTGATTTGATTTGAATCACTCGCTTATTATGTAAGCATGCGGGGGCACTACTTTTGGCCCTTGACTGTAAAGGCTGAATATCTCTGCTGCACTGCTTCCATCGCCTGTCATCCTGCAGAGAGATGTCACAAACACTCTTCCAGAGATGCCCGACGTTAATTCTGTTTCATGTGTGTTTGCGCATACATGTTTTCATCAGGGTTAACAGTGTTACCAGAGTCTGTGGGTGTTGCTTGCTGCGGATGCCAGGGAAAATGCTGATCTTTACGAGAGAATATAAACCTTTGCTGAATGGCAATGAGCATGGGGTCGGAGGCGTGAAAAGCGAGAGACGAGGACATGACAATATGAGCGGGGGAATCATCAATGTTACTCAATGTGTCTTCTTGCTGTGACTGCCTGACATCACAGACTGCATTTATGTGTCTGTCACAGGCCATACTCTACACTGGGGTCAGACACAAGGTCTATGTGCATAATGTCTACACTTTATGTCACATTATGTGCCTTTGGTGCTAAACCAGAGACACATCAGACTTTGAAATATTCTGGCAGTCGTGTCCCTAGACTACCCCTATTTCACGTTTGAATGGATTTATATCATATTGTTTTTTTGGTGACTTTTTTGTGAGTTTGCATCTAATAGTGCATTTATTTCTCCTTTTTCTCTATCTGTAGCCCAAATGTTTAATTCAAATTCTGTCTCATTTCCTTGGGACATCATCCACTAAGACCATTATGAACCATCCAGATCTCTCAGGTCTTCTGGGACAGGTCTGCTTTCTGTCCCCAGAGTTAGAACTAAATATGAAGAAGCAGCGTTCAGTTATTATGCTCCAAATATCTGGAACAAACTACCAGAAACCTGCAGGTCCGCTGCAACTCAAACTACTTTTAAATCCAGGCAGAAGACTTTCCTTTTTGCCGCTGCTTTTAATTGAACTAGTCATATCTCACACTGCACTGTAACTTTTATTCATGTATTTCTATGTTTATTTTATTATCTTTGCTTTTAAATGACAGTTTTTAAATGCCCTTTTATAATGAGTTTCCGCTGCATTATTTCTTATTCTTTCATTTTTTGTGAAAGCACTTTGAATTGCCTTGTGTTGAAAGGTGCTATATAAATACACTTGCCTTGCCTTGCTTAAGACATGTTGATGAAATAATGATTCAACCAGTTTTAAGCCATATTTATCTATACAGGAGCAATTCTGTTTGAAAAAAGGACACCCATTTTGTCTGTTATTTTTGATAATAGCTTTGAAATATTTGACACATTTCTTCCACTCCATATGATCTCAAACTGATTTGAACTGATTGGAGAGAAAACTGGTGATTTAACTGGTCAGGAATAAAGAGAGGGCCACAACTAATTGTATTTCTTTTCTTCAAACAGTTGCCTCTGCATGGCTCTGTTCACACATTATTCTCAAAGATAAATGCAAAACAAAAGACTGCATGTAACTGTCCTAAAATGAGAAGGAACAACAAGCTCTTCTTTGGGGCCTTTAATGGGGACCTCCACACCGAGATCAAACCTTGACTGGTAATTGGACTTAATAAACACCGCTTGCGAAGCAGAACAAAGGCAGATACAAAAGAGCAGGTCCAGAATATTTTGAAGACTGTCACATTATTAAGATAGACTTGTAAATCTCGGCTGTAATTATAGTTTCCACATTATGCTATGAACAAAAAGGATTGCGTCCCTTTGAAGAGCAAACAAAAGGGAATTTGCTTTTGCGTATTCCCATCTTTTAAAAAATGTACTTGGGGTCAAGGTTAAACCGCCAAGCAGGATGTCATCATTTGGTATCTCAAGCACTATAACAATACAATTCAAAACCACAATACTGGGTCAATTAAGACAATAAGCATAACTTTAAAAGTTTCACTTTCATGAGATCATAATTGAAAACTTAACATTTAAAAAACTCGGACGGAAACACCTTTTCTGCTTGTGGCTGGGGTATAACCATACACTGTACTGTATATATGAAGGGGTATACCCAGCACCAAGTTAACATGAGTTCATAAAGAGATAGGATATGAGGTGCAACAGAAGGTGAGGCAAATATGGAGCAGGGGTATAAGCAGACAATTATCAGGACATACAACACACAGTAAAAGCAGCAGCATAGAACATTATCTGACCTATAACAGCTTGAGAGTAACCTGCACTGTATCATCTCTGTATCTCACTATGATTGGCTTTGCTAACATACATAATACAAAAGGTACATCATCCTATGTTTGATGGTAATGATAACACAATCATTGAAAAATACTTAGGGGAAAAAGCCATTACTCAATGGTGTTTTCAAGGTCTTTTTGGCGCAAGTACTCTATTATCCAATTTCAACCTAATCTAAGGGATTTATTAATGCTGTGATTATAGTAACTCTCCTTGTATCTCTCCTGAGCAAAAAAAGCTCGAGTTCATTTCTCTGTGATATTTTCTTCAGCTTGTCTCATCATGTAATCCTCTTATGAGCGTTTTCTTCCGCCGCTGAGTTACAGTAAACAAAAGCCCTCTGTTTTCTCTGCGTTTAATAGGGCACATCCCCTGAAGAACACACTGAACACTTTCTTACCGTTAAAAGATACTGATATGAAAACACATAAAGGGATTCTAATGAGTACAGGATTCAGCTATCAAGTGCTTGACACTGTTGTAGTGGTGGAGCAAAAGCACAAGAAAACTGACAACACTGCTCGAGGGATTGAAAGTAAATAAAATAAATTACAAGTATGAAATTGCTCAAAGCTGAGAAAAGCTGTTTTCTGAAAAAAAAGGCGAAATAGGAACACAGAAAGAAGCAAGTATTGGAATATTTTAAAGCCACTCTTTTAACAAATGTGTTTTTGGCTACCCTAATAGTATTATCTAAAATCTCAGGTTCCCATGTCGGATCCCTGAGGAATCCCAAACTGACAAATGGTGTGATCACATATCCAGCACAATATGTAAAGATAAAAAATGCGACTTGAAATTATAAAGATGGACAATGTTCGCCTAGCACTATATACCTTAGAGGTGAAGTGAATACATACAAAAGGACAAGAGTTAAACACTTTGAACTATTGGCATCTTAAAAATACATGTGTTTTACCTGTGGGAGTCCAGCAGTTCCCTGGGTCTGATGATGGCTTTGACCAGGGCGTCGGGCCGCACCACCTTCTGAGGCGATGTCTTGGGGCTGGAGTCCGACTCTCCGCTCTCCTCGTCCCCCATGGCTTTAACATAGCTGCTGCTCCGCATCCGACGACAAGGGATCTCATCATCCTTCCCGCCGCCAGGGTAACCTCCCCAGTCATCCTGGGGCACCTGAGTGGCATGGGGAAGATAAATAGTCAGTGAAATAATATCAATATTTTTGGCCACTTTGGGGCAGAAGAAGAAGCTATAAAGACAACATTGTCATATTATCAATGTATAACATTTTTGTGGTAGACATGGTAGCAAACAGCTGCAGACATATCCAGCAGACAAGAAGAAACGTGAGAGTGCATGATGATGTAAAACCAACACTTTCCGCTATTCCTAAATGGAAATGTCTGATTCTGTAGCTTCTACATGTTTGGTGCTAAGCAGTTAGAGTTTACTGTTTTGAAATATGTTTTGCATTGTTTGTTTCTTCCTAAAAAATTAGCTGTGGATAAATGGTCATAAAGGGTAGTACATTTTAAAGTACATTATGTTCCCACCTCTGCATTGCAAAGTGCACAACGACCATGCAATCTATAATCATTTTATAAAAAGGACTGAGATTTTGAGAGGACCGTATTAATTTAAATAAACCAATGTTAAATGAAGTTACACAGGATCATTTTCACGATGAGTCAACCCACATTAAAACCATACCACTTCCATTTAAGCTTCTTATTAGTTGGCCAGGCTACAAAATGCAGACTAAAAATGCTGTTGATCCGGACTGGGCTGTTTTTTAAAAGAATTACTAGTAAAATACAGCTTGGAAATGGAGAAGAAGAAACTATCTTTGCTCAACTTCACCTAGCTAATGCACATGGAAAACCTGCCACTAAAACAAGCCAGGCAGTTTGCATGCTGCACTTTTCATCCACTCGTTAAAGCAGGTAATTGAGTATCCAGACGTCAGCATCACCATTATCCCATTCAAAGTGAGAACAGCGTGACTCACTTGCACTTTCATACATATGGAGTGCATATTTCACACCGCACACACAGCTGTCCTAAATGTTGGATGTTGAGCGACATGACGACAGACATCACCCTGCAGTGGTAAGTGGAAGTTAATGCACTTCTAGATTAGTCCTTCATGTCTTGCTCATTTAAAGCAGAGCACATGTAAATGGTATAATAGTACAGAACATTTCTGAACACACATCATGTGGAGCCAAATTATGCTCTGAGTCATGTTCTTGGCGTGAAAGAAAAAATGGGACTCCATTATGGTACATGCCATTATACAGCCTGCTTCAAGGTTATTAAACGAGCCTTTCTGTATCCGAGATGGTGGTCTGGCTTATTAAAATCTGCGGGGCTACCTTCACAAATGCATTGTAATGAACTGATGATGATTGTTCAAGAGCTCATTTTACAACTCTCCTTTTCTCTCTCTCTTACACCATAGATGATATTTGGGAAATAACAGAAGCAGAGTCAGAGTCTCAGCCTCTTCTACTAATAATGCGACACAATGCTCCTTCTGCAGATATACAAAAGCACAAAGCTCTCGCCTCTGTTCCTCTGTGTTTATATTTTCCTTTAGATGTACCTTTTCACAATCTGCTGAATCTGTGTTGTGGTCAGAAGCTTACATGGTCACTGATTTGGACTTATAAAATGTGACATTGTCAGTTTTCATTTGATTTAAATGGAGTTTAATAATTCTCTGATGCTGTATGCATCCTTCATACACTACATCTGACTTAAGTCCCTGTTTCTTTAACTTTAGTAACACTTTTCCAGAGTAACCCCAGAATAACAAAAAATGCCTCCTAACCACTATTTATGATTCTAATATTATACTATTGTGTGTATATTGCAAAGTCTTTGTCTTTTACTGCTCAATCTCAGTATTGAATTTAATATAGTTGACCATTACTTGACAGAGTGAAAAAATGGGTTTGACTCTTTGATTCAACATCAACCTGGTTTTAATCCTCTCTGCAGGAAAGATACTATTTTTTGTCAGTTTGTAAATGATAAAATATCATATCATAATTATGCAGACGACACTAACATGTACATAACCCAGATTATAATGGGACATTACAGTCACTGAACACCTACACGGGACAAATCATCAATTGGATGTACCAACATGTTCTGCAATTAAATAAGATGCCAGAAAGAAATGATCCAAAATCAGTGCTCACCTCAATGTTTAAAACCTTTAACAGTGTCACAAATCTTGTGGTTCTGAAGCTTACTATATTACAGCTAGACCTAAAGAACTCATGCCTTAACAAGACTTAAATAAACGTTATCATGCATTTGTCTTTAGTTAACCTGATAATGGCAACAGTGTCTTTACAGGTCTTACACAAACCAATCATTTAACTATGGATTTTCCTAGACGCTGCTGCCTGTGTCCTTACCAAAACCAAGAGGGTAGAACACATCATGTCAGCCCTCAGAGTCTGACACTGGCTTCCTGGTTTGGGGCCAGAATGCATGTTTGATATCCTGCTCTGTTACCAGCCACCCAGAGCTGTTGGATCATCTGGGACAGGCTCGCTCATTCTCCACAGGGTCAGAACCAAACATGCAGAAGCAGCTTTCAGTTTTTTTGCCCCGAAGATCTGCAAAAAGCTCCTAGAAAACATGATATCTGCTTAAACCAAGAGTTCTTTTTAGTTCACAAGTTAATTTAAAGATTTCACAATATCATTACTTCTTACCTCTTGACTCCTTCAAATTTCTCTACTTATCAATTTCTTTTGTTTTTGTTTCAAATGATCCATTTTAATAAACATACCTTACCGATTCTATGTTTTCTGAAAACATTCTGTGGCCAGTCAGTGACTAACTCACTCCTCAGACTTTTACAATGAACTGGATGGCAGCTGACTGCATGTTGGAAATGTCAGGAGGTGATAGCTCGCCTCAAAATGTCACTAATGCATCACACAGATGACCCTCCTCCTTTTCTGATGCAAATGTCTTCTATTGGAAGATAACAATTGAAACGCGATTATTTTTCAAAGAGAAACAAAAACAGACATTAACCTTTCCAACACTGCACTTTTAGGAATAAAGCCGCCCTTTTTATGTGATAAAAGCACCAAAAGCAGCCGGGATTCTTAAAAGAAATTGTCCATAGTATACCATTGAGACATGTCAGTTTTTTAATGAGACATATGAGACAAAAACGATTTCCCCTGACACTAATTTGACTTACCTCTTGCATCAAAGAACCCCCACCCACGTTAACTGCACTAACGAGTGTCACATCCAATCAAAACAGCTGAGTAATTGATCAATTATGGCTTTATTACAACCGTCTCTGTTAATCATAGGGAATAATGGGTCAAAGCAGCCTTTGACTCTTCTATTTCATCTATGTTGTGACATTAGTGTGTGATTGATGGGGATTATGGTCTGTCCTCTAGGCTTGTGAAGCTAGGTAGTACATGTCACTACAAAGCTGTGGTTGTACATAATGAAAAAAGGTAACGGCAAATAAATATGAAAGGCAAAAAATGCACATCACAGAAGCACAGCCATGCAAAAATAGAACCGCACGACTTTAGAAAACATTAGCTAACTGCGATGCCCTCTACCCAAAAATGCACAGCCACGAAGCAGCACACACTCCCAAAAAGACACACTCTGATAAAAGTGATTCATCTCCCCTCCAAAGAAAGGCATGCACCAGCTACCAAATGAAGTCGATGGGTTAATTAAGTCTTGGAGGGGTTTGATATTTTTAGACGTCTAATTAATGAACGGAACGCTAGAGGACAGACGCAAGCTGTGGTGAGATTTGTTTAATTTGGATTCGCTGATAAACTGGATAGATTGCAGCGTGTCTCCCCGTGCTGATAAAGAAACAGGTTGGGCAGCAGCTCGCTCGTATTGATTGATGTGAAAGCACACACGGCGTCCCAGCATCCTTAATGGAGGTGAAATATGGACGCTTGTCACCATGAACGCTCACCTTGACCCACAGAACCTACAGAGTGAAGGCATGGGATTCAGAGGTGAATGTGCATCCACACACCTGCTGCCATGTGCAATCATTCTGTGTGACTAGATAAATGTGCCAGATCCTATTCTATTCAAGGGCTTGGTGAATATGAGCCGAAGTTAGTGGGAGCCGTGTGAAGTTTCACAGCTCAAGTGTGAAGATCCATATTTAAAGTTACATTATGGCAGTCAAAGAACTTTTACTTCCTTGAATTAATTATGGTTAATAAGTAGCATCACTCCTCGACCAAAACTCGCAGCAGCGAAAGCCAGCAAAGACAACACACAACTTCACTTTACGGGGCCAAAACGGCAAATACTTCTTACCTTTGCTGTTTTCTGATCTCAAGGGCATTACAACGCATATAAACGCTGCTGAAGGTTAATCCAATGTCTCTGTGTCACTTTGAAATGATTACTGATAATCCATCATCATATTTATGTCAATAAACTGAGTTTTCATATAGAGTGAGAGCTGTAACCCAGCTTCCGGTTTTGGGCTTGCTGGCTGCGCATCACTCTCATTCACCAATGGTAATGTTTAGATGGATTTAGGAACTCCGTCTCGATTCTATTGGCTCTAACGGTTAAAAAGAGGTGTCAATCACCAAAATCTACCGATGGGTTCCAGAGATATGGCAAATACACCCAAATGACAGAGGTGGGTTTTTTTTTTCTAAACCTCTCTAAAAAGGTCAGATTTCACTTGTTTTGCATCAATCTTGATACAGGGTACTTATTATATGTTATAGTTTGGATTCCTAAAGCTTTTAGTCTACCATCCCATCATTCAAGGGTGGTTTTCACTATGAGTAATGTTTTTTTTTTTTTACTGAAACTATAATTTACATTTTTTTACTACATTCAATCTGAATTTACTTTAAAATAAAAACATCTATATTGATTCTGACTTTTCTACATCCAACTCACAAGTGTATCATTGCTTTGAGAAAAAAGATTATTAATTTACCCCTTTTAGCAACACACTCTCACTCCCTAAGCGTCCAGGAGCGACGCTTGGTCAGGGTCTCGTGGCGTCCAGTTGGGACGCACCGAGGCTCCTTCAGCTTCATAAACGGACGCAAAGAGCTTTCAACTGATTGCAATGTATTCCCATCGGCGTCGGTATTTGACGCTTAGGGAAGCACGGC